TCTCCTGAACATGATGCTGCATCACACTTCTTTCGCTTCCACCATACCTTCGTTGCTCGCGACGTTGCTGCATTCATAGGCGCAAGCCACGAAACCTTTCTGAAATGAATATTCGTGCGTCTGGTTCAAACGTGGGAGGTGGCGTGTCCCGCATAACCACAGAAGGCGAACACGACGACTCGGATAATGACCGGACAATCATGGATATTTCACGCCCGCAAGATATGCGTGGAGACCCTCGTATACGCTGGGTATACTTTATGCTAGGAGCCGCTACTCTGCTATCATGGAACGGTATGTCCTTGGGAAGATATGGACCAGTCGATGGCTGATATTTTCCGCCAGCAATGATTAATGCGAATCCATTCTTCATGTCGCGACTGTCGGGCTCACCATTGAGAACGTCATTTAGTTCGTACTTGTCCACCGCGTTTACCGCCAGCAACGTGGCCACATTGGGATATGCGATTATAACCTCGAAACAGGTGGGTGCTGTATGCATGAGGGTGATTTGCCTCTGACCATGGCGTGCTGTTTAGTCTTCCCCTTCCAAGCGCGCCTTCTGGTCCACTGCGTTCACCTCAGCCATCGTCACTATACTGTTTTTGACAACATTCCTCCACCCTAGCCCAGCTCCATTCTTCTACTTCATCATGATAAGCGCGTTCTCCTTATCGGGCTGCGCGTCTTATCTATCGAACTCGGTATTCGCCGGTGCGGCACTCTTTGGCGCACCTTACATGCAATCAATGATGTCTGGCCAGGCTGCAGTAGCCGTTGCTGTCAGCAGTGTGCAAGTTATTAGTTCTGCCATCTCAATTTGGGGAACCACTCCAGTGGCTCTGGCCATTGGTGATACCGACCCTGATGGTCAAGCCGAGGAGAAATCTGCGCGTATATTCTTTGGAATTTCTGCGTTGTTTATGATTGCCACGCTTCTCGCATATAAGTGGCTAGCATCATTGCAAATATATGCAACCACTATGGGAGCTCTCGAGGACAACGTCAAAGCCCGAGTTATCTCAGATGAGGCTGACGAACGACAACCTCTCCTGCCCGCGGCGCTGCCAAGCGCAGTTGAAGGCAACCAAATTTTCCGTGTTCTCAAGACTAATTTGATTTATAATTTTGCTGTGGGATTTGTTTTCACTGTAACTTTGGTATGTTTTCTGAGATCGTCTGCCAGCATCACTTCCTCACCAGCATCTATAGGCTGTTTACCCAGCCATCACTGTCACCATCAAGCCGACGAATCCGAATACTCATCCTTTATTGTTTAGTGCTGTACACTTTTTGGTGTTCAGTTCAGGTGACCTTTTGGGACGATACATGTGTTCCTTCCCACAACTCATAATCTGGTCCGCTCGACGTGTTTTGGCTCTAACTCTCCTTCGGATCCTGTTTATCCCTGCGTTCCTTCTATGCAACGTGGAACTTTCGCTCCATGTTACGCCGTTTATCAACTCTGACTTGGTCTATATGCTACTCTTGTGCGCTCTGGGCGTGTCGAACGGTTATGTGTCTACTTTGTGCATGTTAGGCGCGCCCTCGTTGGAACATAACTCAAGATTGGAGGGCAGGCAGGAAGATGTCGATGTTGCTAGCACCGTCGCAGCTTTCTGTCTGATTGTGGGATTAGCAGTTGGCGGATTTGCGAGCTTTGGAGTAAGGGCTATTATATGCAACTGCGACCCGTTCACGTCCTAGACTCCGGGTTGTTGCCTACGCACATACCTATGATACCATGGAATACAATTTTGATTTAGAACTACTGTATGGTACTTATCTAGAATGTTGCTTGCGCTTTTGTATTTACTGGATTGTCATTTGTTGTCTTTCCATGAACTAACTAAGCTACTAAATGAGGCAAGTCATCATGCCGTGGTAGGGTGTGGGGGCGGGCCTGGAATTTTCCCACGTTGATGTCACCCCTGTGTGACTGGGGCACGGGGGACCGTGTGTCCCGAGACATGGCGGAGGCTGATGGCACAGGGAGTAAGCCGGCGATAACGTGATGATGGCATGTAGTATAGTGTGCGGGGCAACTACATGCGTTCCAGCAACGTACCCAGAACTTTCCGCCAGGAAAACGGTGCAAAACGCGACTCGTTGCATGCTCAATGGTCACGTGACATGGAAGTTCCCGGTTCGTTACCTCCGTGATTGGGGTCCTAGGCAGGGACAACGTAGCGGCTACTAGTAGGTAGACATAATCGTACGTAATGCGCCACGGCGACCGAACCTGTCCTATTAACTCGTTCGATATCGTAAATCGTGTATATCATGGTTGGTCTGGCAGGCTCTGCGAGCAAATGGAAAATGGAGAGGCTTCTCGCTTCGGAGTCGCGCATCTTAACCGAACAGCACTCTTCCGGCTGTATTCCACTGCATTCACTTCACCGTCATAGTACCCGTTCGTAGTCTTGCACTGACTGCACTGAACCCACCCACCAACTCTTTCATGTCGATAGGACATAGCAGCATGCTGCCACAGGTCTCAACCACAGATTCGGGGGCCGTTTATCATGCTCTCCCACCAGCCGAGGTCGATGACGATTACGACAGCGAGCTTGAATTGGCATTCGATGATTCTGCAACTTTTGTCGTTGATCAGGTTGTTGATAGTCGAATATGGTGGATATACTTTATGTTAGGCTGCGCGATCCTCCTCCCTTGGAATGGTGCGTATCAATACTTATCTCTCTGGTACTCGTTATGGTCCTAAACCGTATAATTTTGCCCAGTATTGATTACCGCCACCTCGTTCTTCTTGTCTCGCTTGGTCGGATCGCCATTGCGGGCAACCTTTGCCTCATATCTGACCACTACTTCCAACGTGTTCAATGTATTTGCGCTGGCACATGCCACGGCAACTTCGAAACAGGTTGGAACCTAATTACGGAGTCTGTATCACGCTGACCATCATATTGCCAGTCGTCACCCTCTCGACGAGTTTTTTGGTCTGCCGCATCAGTCACACTCATCATCATTCTCTTGTTCTTCAGTACCTTTGGATACTACCAACCATCAACCTTCTTTTTCTTTGCAATCCTTTGTGCTATTTCTTTGGCTATATGCGTTTCATATCTCTCCACAGCCGCCTTCGCTGGAGCCTCGCTCTTCGGGGCTCCTTACATGCAATCTATGATATCCGGCCAGGCTGCCATAGCTGTGGTTGTTAGTGTGGTCCAGGTGGCCACAACCACCTTGTCTGTGTGGGGTTCGACACCGGAAACAATTGCCGCGTTCATATCTAATGATGGCATTGGAGACGGGATGACAGAGCAGGATTCTGCCCGTATATTTTTTGGGATATCCGCATTGTTCATGGTAAGCACGTTCATGGCGTATGCCTGGATGGCACAGTTGCCAGCCTACAAGGCCACTGTTGGGATTTTGGAACAAAAAATCAAGCTTGAGGGGGCCCCGGGCAGTGCCGATGAAACTGGAGGGCTCGTCTTTCGCGATACAAATCAAGCAAGCCTCGAGGAAAGAAATCAAATAATACGTGTATTCAAAGCGAACATCCTCTATGAACTTGCTCTTGCATATGTCTATGTAATCACTTTGGTGCGGTAACTTGACTTATTACCTTGGTTGCGAGTTAACTCTTTGCTCCCAGGCCATCTTCCCTGTTATTACGATTACCATACAACCAACCAACCCCAATACCCATCCATTACTATTCACTGCCATTCATTTCTTGATGTTCAACCTCGGCGACTTCTTTGGACGATACATCTGTTCTTTCCCGATAGTAACAACGTGGTCCGCTACACGCATACTGGCGTTCTCGGTCGTCCGTACCCTGTTTATTCCCATTTTCCTTCTGTGCAACACGGTACAGGGCCCTTCACGTGGTTTGCCCGTAATTAGCTCCGACTTTGTCTACATTCTCCTTGTCGGCGCTCTAGGCCTCTCCAGCGGATACGTCTCTACGCTCTGCATGCTGGGTGCATCCTCTCTGGAGCACAATCCACGATTGCGACAACGTCGCGAAGACGTCCCTACTGCGAGTACCGTGGCCGGTTTCTGTCTTATCGTGGGTCTTGCAATCGGGGGTTTTGGAAGTTTCGGGGTGAGAGCTATTATTTGCCAATGTAATCCTTTCGTAAATTGAACACGTATACCCTAAACCCATACATACAATGATATACCAGAATTTGATAGTACGACTATCTACAGTGGATCAGACAATACATCATGATATCACGGCAGACTGCTACTGGGAGCTCCTGGAAGACGAGGGGCTAGATCCTTCGCCTGTGAGGTTTGCCTCCGTCGTCGGTGCTCCGAGACTCTCAGGGCAAATATATCACGATGTAAAATATACTTCTCGTGGGTGGGCCTTGGCGAGAGAGAACCCGACTTGGGCAATGATCCCGGCACCTTTGATGACTTCTCTGACTTGCCGTCATCCTCTTTCTTTCCGCCTTCATCAGCTGATTTGTCCTTATCCACCTTCTCTTTCTCTTGCTTGCGTCTCTGCTTCTCCTCCCACTCCTCCCTGAGCCTCGCGATCTCCTCAACACTGATTCCTATCTTGTTCTCGCTCTCAAGCTCGAGCACGCGAGTGGCGAACCCATGGTCTGACAGGTGAATCGTGCATGTATACAGAAAATCGGAGGTATCTATCGTGGCGAGCACGGCAGTCGTTGGCTTATAGCAGATGTAGCATGCTTTTGCAGTCGCTGTGGTCTAGTTTCTTTGGTACGGGTAGAGATCAATGGATTTGCTTGAACATACTCGCTTGTAGTAAAGATTCGGGAACGACATGGTTGCAGCTACGGGTGATGTGATGCTGCTGGTGCTTGTAAAATTCGGTTGTGATCAGAAGTCGGTACGGTTGGACTTGAATCACAGCATCCAGAGATCGATACGGAAAAGAAGACGGAGAGGATCTTAGCGCCGGAAGATGATAAAGATATGTCTCAGTGTCATGTGCAAGCTATGCAACGACAGCATGCAGTATCTGGATTCTGGACTCAAGTGACTGATGATGATCTATTTCTCCGGCCCGCGGCGGCCACTGGCGGCATCACTGAGGGAGAACGGAGCCACGATCCGCAGGCCATCTTTCTCACTCAAACAATCATCATCATGAGCACAGTCGGTAAGCCCATTATCTGCAAGGCTGCTGTTTGCTGGGGTGCTGGCCAGCCCCTCAAGGTCGAGGATGTTGAGGTTGCGCCCCCGAGCGCTAATGAAGTCCGCATTAAGATCTTGTACACTGGTAAGAAGAGGGGGATCTGCACAGTCATATTATTTGCTGATGGGAGCGATCTTGCAGGTATATGCCATACTGATGAGTACACTCGCAGTGGCAAGGATCCTGAGGTGTGCTTAGAGTTCAGTCTTGCGATGACATGAGCTCATCCGAAGCATCGCAGGGTCTCTTCCCCGTGATCCTTGGTCACGAAGGTGGAGGTGTGGTGAGTCAGAACACTTGTTACTTTACCTATTGCCTCATTGCTCTTCGTGATTCTCCAGGTTGAATCGGTTGGTGAGGGTGTCACAAGCGTGTCAGTTGTAAGTCTCAACCGTAAATACACTGTCATACCCTTCCTAAACACTTTGCCAGGGCGACCACGTTGTCCCGCTTTACACTGCTGGTGAGCAGGCCCCTGACGGTCCTTGAATTCCTTGCTCAGCTTTATTCACCAGAGTGTCGCGAATGTAAATTCTGCAAGAGTGGGAAGACCAATCTGTGTGGAAAAGGTTAGCCTGAGACCCCTGTATCCTTCAAAGACATGAGTCTCACGATTATCGTGGTCAGTGAGAACAACCCAAGGTCAGGGTCTGATGCCTGACAGCACTAGCCGCTTCACGTGTAAGGGTCAACCCATCCACCACTTTGTATGTATCCCAATTCCTGTAGCATCTGACAATATTCACCCGCTCGAACAGATGGGAACTTCAACGTTCTCACAGTACACTGTGGTGGCAGAGGTGTCTGTCGTCGCTGTGAACAAGTCTGCGCCTCTCGAGAAGGTCTGTCTTCTTGGTTGTGGCATCACCACCGCATGGGGCGCAGTTGTGAAGCAGCCAGGCATCAGTATGTGAATATATGGTATTCCTACTGTTCACTCATACGGTACGCAGAGGGCTCCAACGTCGCCGTTTTCGGATGCGGTGCCATCGGTCTCGGTGTCATCTCTACCGCGTCGGTAGTCGGTGCTTCTCGGATCATTGCTGTCGATACGAACCCCGCGAAAGATTCTTGGGCAAAGAAAATGGGTGCTACCGAATTCGTCAACCCTACGGCGCTCCCGGAGGGCAAGCGCATTCAGGATTACTTGGTCGATATCACTGATGGCGGGTTGGACTTTACCTTTGACGCCACTGGCAATGTACATGTCATGCGTGCTGCGTTAGAGTCGTGCCACAAGGGCTGGGGTGTGAGCACCGTCATCGGTGTTGCTGCTGCTGGCCAGGAGATATCGACGCGTCCGTAAGTGGTCTGGCGTTTTTCACAGGACCTCCGTGTGCTGAAGGTTTCTACAAAGGTTCCAACTGGTAATGCTCCAGCTGAAGTAGATGGTCAGTTGTGACTTATGGATGGATGTATTCCAGGTTACTGGTCGCACATGGCGAGGTACCGCGTTTGGAGGAGTGAAGGGTCGCACTGAGCTTCCTGGTCTCGTCGAAGGTGACTCGATTTTCAGTGCTTTCAATTCATACCCTCAACAATGTAATTTACCACAGACTACTTGCAAGGCAAGCTCAAGATCGACGAATACGTCACCCACCACCGCAAATTTGCGGAAATCAACGAGGGTTTCCACGACATGCACGTACGTATCATCCTCCTTTTATAAACCCAACGGAAGGGTAACCTGACTTCTAGGGTGGTGACTGTATCCGCTGTGTCGTCGATATGACGGAGTAAAAGGATAGGACCAGTTGTATCCACGAATGGTAGTCTTGAAACCTCGAATAACTGTTGAACACCAAGTGAGAATGTTATTAGCAATTGCGAAGCTTAAATAGATTTTGGGGTGAAGTAAATAATTCTGGGCATTGAGGTATAAATGCAGCATTAATGACTACTCTTGAGCCACCCACGAGTGAAAAAAAAAGTAAGCACTACACACCACTGATCATCCGTCTTCCCCTGTCCCTCCCAGACAAAGCAGCCCACAGTAATATAAGGGCTGCATTGACCTCCCTCCGCCTTGTAGCCGTCTTCTTCCACGTCAGTCTCAGCAACCCGAGAACTGCCAAAGAAAATGATATATCAAGCAACAGTCTCCGCACAATAGTGAGTACCGGAGACCGGTTCTCGCTCCGACCAAAGAATATAAACAGCTGTTTCAATGACACCGCCATCCGTGACAATGGCTTCAGAACAAACGACCACATTCCCATATCATCCAAATCCCATTCGAGTTCTTCAGGACGGTTATCCGTCGGACTTCCTCTACCTGAAGAGCTTTTCAGGGGAAGCGAAGCGGTGGATCGTTGCGGATGCACCACCTGGGACTCGAGCATATCGAGCCGTTCTGTTATTGCGGCAAGGTGCGTCTGAAGGTTTTCGACGGCTTGCTCCAGGGGTAACCGTGAGGGTGTTCGTATAGGCGCTTCAGCGCCATGAAACCGACCCCCTCGGAGGGAGAGAGCTGACTGAATCTGCGGTGCAAACTCGGGCGACTGGTATGTCCCAGAATAGTGTCCCGGTGGAGGGTATATAGAAGAGGATGCTATTGGTGCTGATTGACTAACGAAGGCGGATTGCGTCTGGTATGTGGGCATTGGTTGCATCGGTGGAATGTTTGCGAGCACAGCAAGTGGCGGCGACATGGCATGTGAGCCGGTTGCAGGAGTACGATATCTTGAAGACATGGAAGACAGTGGTCTTGGCTGTTGAACAGGCTCACGCACGGATGGGAGTTCGTGTGGTTCGTCGCCTGATTCACCATTCTCAGAGCTCGAGCCACTGTCCTCCGTAACTGCCAATTGTGCAGTATATTGGGCCTCTGGAAGAGTAGAGGAAAATAATTGACCAGGAATTCGATGAATATCGTTATCTGAGGCACTGGAGCTTGACGACCGGGAGTAGGTCCGAGACCTTGGAAGAGAATCTAGGTGGAATACATCAATTTAGCACAGGGAAAGTTTAGCGTTGGACATACGGCTCATCACGAGATTTGATGGGTCACCACCATAAGACTGGAGTTCATCCATGAGGTCACGAGCAACGGTCTTGTCCGAGTATTTACTTAAAACCTGTATTGAAATTATTCTCGGGCATCATGGAATTATCCAGGATCGTACCTTCAGTAAAGCATCCACGTAAAGCCATTTGGCTTCATATAGATCAAGATCCTTATGCTTTGCCCATGCGTCCCTGTAGTTCCCGTTAACATGTGATAACGCGAGAGTGAGGAACAACGTGGACCAACCACTTTGCCCGGCCTAGCATATCCCACATGCCTGGACGACCGCCTTGGACATTTCCAACAGTCGCTATGCATAGTAATATAAGTAAAGAGGTGCTCTGAAATGTGATGTGAACCACCTTGCTTGTACAAGCTGATATTAAAAGCCAGTAAGTAAATATGAACTTAAAGATGTAAAGTCATGTAACGCACCTGTACATCGTCAGTTTCTCCTCATAGCCAGTTTGTATGGGCCCAGTCTTTGGGAGGCCCTGCACTATCTCCACTGCCCGATGGAATTGCGCATTGATAAGTTCATGCGAATCCATAGTGAAACGAAAAGGGATGAGCTTGTAGAAAATGTAGCGTGTACAGAAGAATAGAGTGAAGAAGTGATAATGAAATTATGAGTTGTGTCTGTTCAGTATGCCTGCAGCGTCACGGTGACGGAAACCGGCCTTATGCCAGCACTGCCTTGAGCGCTTCACTTGCCATGTTGGTTTTCGGGATTCGCCGAACGCGCTCCCGGCGGGTCGCGGTAGCAAATAAAACGATTCCTTCTTTAATTTCAACAGTCTGACTAGGAATATTAGGAACTAGCATGATGATGGACCATTCAATGTTCAACGTTCAAGCTTAAGCTCAAGTCCGTCCCACCCAAGGCGAATGCAAGCTTGTAGTAGAGTCGCGAGCAGCGTTTCGCGTCATGCACAGTCGCCATTTGATGAACAGAACGCCTCAGATCACTCTGGAGTCTGGACCAAGCGTTCCCCTGAGAGCCCTTACTGGCATGATTCATGGTCAACATGAAGGAAACTCTTGAAGCTTGAACATTCATGCGGGAGGTGGAGAAATCCTTTCACCGCTACATACCTGAAACCAGAATCCTTTTTATTTGGCACATTTATCTCAGTAGGATTAGAGGTAGAAATACGGTCGATGGAGCCAAATGACTGGCACAATGCTACTTGGGCCAGCGTGAAAGCCGCATTCCAAACAACTTGAAAGCAGCCAGGATTAGATATTTATACAGAAATTATTCCAAAAGCCTGCGCTGCAGTCTTGGATGCTGAATGAGCGTAAACTCTATAACGACGGATACTCTGGCGTACATTTGCATTGGCTTAAGATGAACCTGTTGACCATTTGTATTTCAATGAACCACTGATTCTCTCCTCCTGCCCACTAATTTGTTTGCCTGCATATACAGGCGAATTTGTGTCTGCTTCTCTTGGGAGTGGAAGATACGAGCTCACCTCTCCAGTACAACTTCCCCCAAGCCTTTCCGTGGTTCCCCTCGAGCTTGAGCCGTGTCCGTGTTACTTGCCAGTAGCAGGTTCTTATACCTTTCTCCGTCCAACGGATCTGGTGTACACGCTGGCCAACACCGCCTCCGGGTGCTCGAGAAAGCACCTGGTAAAGGTTTGCAGGTGTTGCTCGTAGAGATGGAGGAAGGGTACTCGGTAATAGGCCTTGAATAGCGCGAACTGCTCGTTCCATGTTGACGCAACAGTTTGAGCAAACACTAATGGAAATTATTTATTATGTCCGATCTCTCATGAATTCCCACGCTGTTCTACCTCTTCACCATATGTTACTGCGTTCAGTCAGACAAGCAAGGCGCGTATGGTGTCGTTCTCTGAATGTCCCTTTGCAATACTCGACGTCTCGAGCGACAGTTGAAACCGACAAGTACGGTATACCACTTACGCCCACCTGGTCCGTCCAGGAATTATTGTCTTCTTATCCAGCTCCGTCGATATCACCAGCCACATTCAAACGATTGCATGAGCTGTCTGCATTATTACCACCCGAAGAGGGTACACCGGAATATGTAAAGCTAAAGCACGAACTCGAGGAGTTGATTAAGCTTGTGGAGGCCACGAAGCTGATCAAAGTAGAGGAAACAGGCAATGTAGGCATCCCAGACGGGCGGGTAATAGCAGAAGGGTGTGGGATACCGCTCGACAGAACACCACGCGAGGACGGAGATGTGAGAGGCCGGGATCTACTCTCATATGCGAGCCGTAGCGCGAGTGGGATGTACGTCGTCGAGACAGATCGCTCTAGATGATTCACTCTTGGAGAGCACAGTACTGTAGTCGCGCCCCCGGTAATGGTTTTGCACCATTAATGTATAATCAGGTGAGTACGACCTTAACATAGACATCCACGCTGCATTCACATTCAACAACACAAGCAGGACTAAACCAACTTGTAATGAGCATCAATCCCGTCGCAAAAAATTAGGCTCCCTTCTCTCGTGATAATATAAAGGCAGCATAGTTGATATAATATGTTACAGAGAGCCGTGCCCACCCGTAGAGCCGAACCCTCCTGCTCCACGTAATGTTTCATCGAGGTTCTGCTGGATGATCAATCACATAACTAAGAACGTGAGTAAGCAAGACGCACTTCCACTTCCATAACATCAGGCGTATAAATGCGCTCGATGATCAGTTGAGCTATCCGGTCGCCTTCTTCAACTACGCACCCGATTAGCAACACAATAATCAGATTTACTCTTTTACGAACCTTGGAAGTCTTTGTCTGAGAGGTTGAAAAGCAGAACAAAGACGACACCTCTGTAGTCCGCGTCGATAACACCAGCACCCGTGTCAATCATGAATTTCGATGCTGAAAGAAAATCACTGGTCAAACACTACATAGCACACAGAACACGACCTACCAAGACCGCTGCGAGGTGCAACTCGCCCATAAGTGCCCGCAGGAACAGCAATGGAAAGCTGGGTGTCAACCAGTGCCTTACCGTGCGCTGGAATCACTTTTTTCTCTGCGCTGCATTGTATTTCCTGGTCAAATTACTATGTCTGTTTATTGAATGCGCGTTACCTGTATAAATCATACCCCGCAGCCAAATTCGATCCTCTAGTAGGAATCTTGGCCTTGTCAGAGAGTCTCTTAACTAGCAACTGCAACGCGGGAGCAGACGCGTCATTGTCAGCGCTGTCGGACACAGACATCCTGCGTTTCTTGAGTTGCGGCGAGTCAATTCCCATAATGTTACTGATAATGTTGCAGTTGTGCTTTATAAAAGAAAAGCGCGTGACGAGACGCGTCGGATGTATATTTCTGAGTTTTAAAAGCGTGTCAACTCCGCCCTTATTATCATCTTGGTTAAGAGAACTACCGTGACTGGCACGGTCCAACATGGACTTGTCGCAACTAGAACTCCCCATCACATCTTACTTTGCGCGAAATAAGAAGGACCCGAGAGAGGCAGAACCAGCCAAGAAGAGGAAACTCTCGGCGGCTGCGGACGACAGGGGAGGTCCAGGAAAGCGGGAAAGGCGGGCAGCAGTTTCTGCTGATACGCGTAAGGGTCCTCGGGGCAGTGCCAAACAGACAAAGACAACTAAGAAGCAAATAAAGTTTCCTACGAAGTCTCCGGTCGCATCGACCTCCAGCCGGAGAGAGAGAGCATCACCACCCGGACCATCTCACGATGTAGTGGTCATCGACTCATCACCCGAGCGGCCGGTTGCAGGCAGCTCTCACTCAGCGAAGAGTACCTCAAACACTGTCTCCCACAGAATAAATGCATCAAGTTTCCTCAGGATTAATGCTCCTGTGCATCTCGCTAGTGCTCCAGAGCAATCTCTAGCCACTCCTCCCCCAACAAACCAAACGAAGAAGCGGACGCTCGCAGTAAGCACTGCGGTGGTTCAGCTCCTCTCTCCGAGGATTATCCCCACTACGATTATCCCTGCCATCACATCTTTACCTACTCCAGAGACCAATGTGCGCAAACCCAACAATACACATGCACCGTCCGGTTTGCGCACATTCGTTGGTGCAACGTCGCCACGCAGAGCCAAGAATGGATCCGACCCTCGTATACCATCAAGCCTCTCTCCAGCTTCTGCCCCGCTCATTAAGAAGCTCACTGTCCCAATAGATACCGACAGAAACGTCCAGTCAAGAAAACACGCGGATGTCTTCAATGGGACAAAGCAGGCAATAGATTCTGATGACCCTTTTATCTGTGCGTCCAGAGACAACGAAGTGGTCCATGCAATCCCTGCATCTTCTCCAGATTTACCACTTAAGGACCTGCAGTCTGCTCCTGCTATAATTGAAGAACTTGTCCCGTCGTCGCAAAGTCAATACTTGCTTGCATTAGATGCGACGCCTAGTCACAAGCGGATAGCAAGACCTGTATTAATCAACTGTGAGCCTATCCCAAGCTCACAGTCGCAGGAGGAGGCAGTGATGAGCATGTCATCTTTGTCCGGGAGCTTGCTGAACAAGTGGTCGCTGGCAAGGTCAGCGACACATGTTCATGTTATAATTCGTTACTTACCAGTAAAACTTTCAGAACCGAAGTCGATCTCCCAACACCGCATCCCATTGCACATATTGCCCATAATAATCGCAGCGAGCGCAATCCACTGCACCAATTTACCCTTGGGTCGAGTCCTGCTACATCCCCCATTGTTTCTCCGTCTAGAAGATTCTCTTGTTCGTTTTTGGCAACCAAATCTCCAAGAAATAGATTATCGTTCATTGCGTCGCCGTCTCGCAGCCCTTTGAAAGGGACTCCACGCCCCATTCTAGACAAGATCACGCCCCTCAATAAGCCCGTGGAGCGTCCGGGGCCCGTTGAGAACGTTCGCCCTGTTGAGGAGGACGACTCTGTCACAGAGCCAGAGTCAGAACCAGAAGTACTCAAACCTGCTCAAGATGACGACTCCGAAACTGAGCCCGAATCGGAAATAGAGGTACTCAAACCTGCTCAAGATGATGACTCCGAAACCGAGCCAGAATCAGAACCGATCGTCAGACCCCCGACAGAGATCGCAAACCATCAATCGGAAGATGTGGCTCAGCAACCTCGAGCAACTGCATCTAGAACCTCCGTCCCACATTCAAACCCATCCACCATACTTTCTCCCTATAGAAAGCGGCTTACATTCGATTCGTCATGCACTTCCTCGCTGAACGATTTGATGCAGCAGGGCGCTGGAATGAGTGTCCCAGTCTCACGCAGACCTTTCTTATTACCTTCAAGAACCCCACCGCCGGCGGTGAGAGATTTCCTCGAGATGTTCCAAGACGATGGAAGTTACCCTGATGATTTCCCGGAGTCCCTACGTTGTTAAAATTTAAGTCGAGTATTGGTTAGCAGAGCAGGCAAGCAGTCGTTGGATTATTATGCACATGGACGTTGATTGAATAACTTATGCATTGGTGTTATTGTCCGGCATACAAGTTCATTAGTCTACTAAGTCCATCGGGTCAAGCTAAGCGTCAGACGCGATCGTAACAACGGAAGACCTTTCCTTCACGACAATTGAAGCTTCGTCCTTGGCTGGTGGTGTAGTGGACATGCGAGGTTGAAGAGTGATCTCTGAATCGGTGATGAGAGGTAAACCCGAGCGTTCTCGTTGGATCGCGTTCGCACTCCTCTCAGCCTGCTCGCGTGCAGGACCTTCATCGTCCATGACCTTGTCGCCGAATACCTCGCCAAGGTCTTCCAGGGTATGGTGGGCAGTTTCAGGATAGATGAACCAGACGACGACAAGAGAGATGATACAAAAGCCGACGAGGACGAAATAGTAGCCTGCATTGATAGCGTTGAAAAGCGGGGGAGTGATGAAGGCGATAATGAAGTTGAAAAGCCAGTTGGTGCCCGTGCTGAGAGACATGCCCTTGGCGCGAGCACGGAGAGGAAAGATTTCAGCACCGAGGAGCCAGGGGCCGGGGCCCCAGGTGGCACCGAAGAAGAATAAGTATAGACAAACACCTAGTCGGGATGAGCTTTGGTGCATGTTTTGCCTACAAGTAAAATGATGACATACCAAAGAAGATAGCGTCAGCGGCAGAAACTCGGGCAGATCCCAGAGGAAGACTGTCTGCGTAGTATTGGAGACCACCGACAATAGAAAGGGATGCGGCCAGCGCGAGACTTCCAAAAAGCAAGAACGCCCGGCGTCCAAATTTGTCGATCAAAAACATTGCAGGGATGGTTCCGGAACAGTAGACCAGAGCACAAGCACCGGAGTAGAGCAGGGAGCGGGAAATTGTGAAGCCAGCACGAGTGAGGTTGGATGGTAAGAAATACAAGATGGCATTGATCCCGTTGAGCTGAGCAAACATCTGGCAGGTGATGCCGACGACGCATCGACGAGTGTATTGCGTGAAGAGTTGACGCCAGGAAGCTTGACCCATGTGTGCTTCGAACTCAACAGCGGCGACAATCTCAGCGTAGGTAGCCAGAATTTTGGGGTCTGAGACATTTCCAGCGCCGTGCAAGTCTGCGAGAGTTATCAAAGCCTCCTTCTGGAAGCCATTCTGGGCCAGCCAGCGGGGTGTTTCGGGAAGGAAAAACGTCCAGAAGATGAGAACAAGTGCAATAGCAGCCTGTACGATGTATGGGCCACGCCATGAGATCTCGGAAGGCATGGCGAAGAAGAAGCCATATCCGACCCAAGCGGAAACAGCGTAACCGATATTGAGGCAGATATATTCGATACTGACAAACAAACCGCGGGCATGAGCAGGGGCGATTTCGCACTGCAAAATTGGGACAGTCATGGAGAGTATGCCGACACCTAAACCCTGGACACATCGGCCAGCGATAAGGGTGCCGAGATTTGGAGCAAAGACCTGAATGAGAGCGGCAATGAAATACATGACACCTCCAATACGGACAGACATCCGCCTGCCAAGAAGGTCACAGAGGTAGGCAGCAATGAATGAAGCCAGCAGCGCTGTTAGGTTTAGGCAAGCAACGGTTATGGCTAACAACAGGGGTGTTTGAGTGACCTGAGGATGAAAAAAAGACGAGTCAAACCTTGTATGAAAGGATCCACGCCGGTCTGGCCGGCTTGGATTTGCGCCATAGTAACTTCCTTGCCAAACATTCGATGGATAAAAGAAGGCTGAACCTGAGCCGCTGCGATACTTCCTTGGCCATAGCCAAACATGGCGTCCCCGAGAGATGCAAGGGCGGATGACATATAGAGTAAAGGCCTCCCGACCATCCATTGTGGATAACGAGCAGAATAGGTCTTAGGACGAAAGAACATAGTAAGTATCGTTGCCGAAATGAAGCAAGAGTGAATAATTGTAGTGGAAAGGCAACCTGCACCTGTGGGATAGAAAGTGAATGAAAGACCAGCCAACTAGCTGGGGGGTTTTATATGGGCCAGGCTGATTGGAAACATGATGACGCACTGGACTCGGATGTCTCAGACTGGTCACTGAGCACTGACATCCGACCCAACTACAAAGTTAGATGTTGATAGCTAAATGAGCTAATATCGACACCAAAGAACGCTGGAGGCTTGAATTCAAGCCATGACTGAAGGCTGCGAGGGTAGGGCCGAGTTGGATCGACAATCACAAGCTATAAATAGTCACCTACTAAAGCCGTATGTCAGGTTTCTTGTTTCCTTTCGACACACTTCCTCCCAGCTGAAGTTAAGGAATTTAAAAGGACTTCATGTTTCTGATGATGAAGTTCTTGGAAGAGTTGACCTGCTGCTTCACACCAGCGACGAACAAAAGAGCAATGGACTACGGACGACAAGAACGCGTCGCCAATGTGGTCCCTTGTCGCTAGCAAAGGGCTCGTCAAACAAATTCTGGATACCCAGGAAGATGGGATGGTAGCCAAGATCTTCATGGGACGGGAGGATCACGCTACCGAACCAGAAATCTTGACAAAGGTTAAGGAGATCACTTAGGTGCACAATACTGTCAAAACTATGATATTCCTGAGTTGCTTTGACACAACAAGTTCACGAATCCAACATGAATTCCATGATCCCACGTCCGCCGTCTGAAAAGCGTTTGGCCTTCCAGAACCCACCACGGGCAATCGTGTGCTCTACATCCTCCACCCCATCACGACGCTACATGGCAGAGACCTTTTCAACGTGTGGCTTCAAAGTACGTCATCGTGGCTCTTCGTTGACATCAAGTTGACATCGTGTGCAAGCCACGTCACTCTAGAAGGAAGAGGTCTATCATCGAGATGTTAGCCCTGGAGACATGACGTGATGCATGGAGGACGGTAAACTGAAAGGTGTTTCAAATGTCTACGATTTATCTTGGCTGGCAAACGACCTGGGTCCTCGGGGCAACGAATACACGGGCACGATGCGGGCGGTCGCCGTTCATGGCACTCGAGATTCTCAACCCAGAGGGTCAACGAGGCGAAGCCGAGCACCTACATGGCTATGATATGGAGTTGTTTGTGTGGTGTTTCGCCTGGATTTGCTTACGTTACGAGGAGGGTGTTATTCTACCAGCGAAATTGCGCCCTTTCAATGGATAGGCGACTTCAGATAATCCGTGAAGAAGTACTATTTCCTAGGTCATTTTCCAAAGGTCAAACCCTCGGACATAGACCAAAACATATGAAATCTCCTCCGGCTCTGTTTTGCGGTGCTAGACACAGAAACTCTTAATCGCTAGAGTCATTCTCTCAGTATGCAACAACCATACGCCGGTGAAACAGAATCAGTATCAGATATCAATTATTTTCTAGGCAAATTCACAAAAACAAAGTGCTAGGCTAAGCTCTGCAACGTCCTCACAGTACTAGTGATTTTCTTTGCCTGCTCCGCTATAGAAGGACTTTCTTTCGGTGGGTTCAAGTCGTTTTCAAACAAATATCGTCTGTCATGATTCACTCATTACGGCAGCAACTTTTGGGATTCTGACGAATGGTGGACATGTGTCGTTTGGGATGATAACTGCAGTCTACGGACCAGCCAATAGCTATAAATAGGCACCTAATCTCATACTTGATCCGTCTATCCATGATCAGCAACTTGTTACTATAAACAACTTCATCTTGAACCACAATCACGACTTATCAAACCTGGTCATGTCCCAACGCCTTGCGAACAAAGTAATGTAGATAGATACCTCGCAATGGGGCATACTGCTGACAGAAATTTCGATTGCAGGTTGCCCTCATCACCGGAGCCGGCTCGTGAGTCTGCTCGAACAAATCGCGTTTTCTGATCTTAAGGAGATCACAGTGGCATCGGTCTTGAATCGTCCCTTCTCTTCGCTCAGGAAGGCGCCAATGTTTTGTTGGTAGACATCAATATAGCAGCTGCGCAGAAAGGTGCTGCGCTTATCCAGCAACGCTTCCCAAACGTCAAAGCACTGGCTGTTCACGCTGATGTCGGGAAGGAAGATGACATCAAAGGAGCAGTCGATCTTGCTGTTGCAGAATTTGGTAGATTGGATGTAATGGTAGGATTCATATCATGTGATTATCCGCACGATGTTTCAACGAGTCCCAATAAATCTACAGTTCAACAATGCAGGCATCATGCACCCAGCAGACGATCATGCCCTCAATACCGAGGAGAAGATCTGGGATCTGACAATGCAAATCAACGTGAAGGGTGTCTGGTGGGGCTGCAAGTATGCTATTATGGCTATGCGGCAAAATCCTGTCGACGAGGAGAAAAGCCTCCGTGTCGGGGGCTCCATCATCAACACTGCGAGCTTTGTCGCACTCATGGGTGCTGCCACACCACAGTTAGCATGTACGTTAACACACTACATTCTTTTGTTTTCTAAAAAAGACGATTCACTGTGTTCTTCAGATACTGCGTCCAAGGTAAGTATAATAGTCGTTCGCTGAGGTCCGTTAGCTTGAAAGAACATCAGGGTGCTGTGTTGTCCATGACACGAGAGCTCGCGATGGTGCATGCGAGAGAAGGAATTCGGCTGAACTCCCTATGCCCGTAAGTCGAAGTGAAACTTGCATTGCTGTGTGCTGACCTTAATGCTGACAGCGGCCCGCTGAAGACGCGTCAGTGCATAATAACGACACAAAAATCAATGATGCTGACGTATCATGTCTTTAAGCTCTTTTGATGGATTTCCTCAACACGTCAGAAAAGAAAGAGCGTCGGCTTGTTCATCTCCCTATGGGTCGGTTCGGTGAGGCTGTGGAACTCGCCAAGGCTGCATTGTTCTGTACGTTTTTGCTTGGGTATCACTATCTGGTTGATCTGATTTCACCGTCACATACGCAGTGGCGAGCGATGACAGCAGTTATATGACTGTACGTTTCTTTCTAATTAGTGTGAGATTATTTTCAATGCCACGTCAATAGGGCACAGATTTCAAGGTCGACGGAGGCCTTACCTCGTGCTATGTTACCCCTGTCGGAGAACCAACCCTCCAGCCTCCCGCCAGTCTCATTTGAAGGTGAATCAACTGTGATAAACATACAACCTGACAGTAGAAACCGGGTCCATTATTAATGGTAGAGATGAAAATAACCCAAGTTGATATGATACAAGACGATGGTGAACTATAAACAGCCCAAAACCTCCACAGGCCAGGAATAAAAGAACCGATGAGGTCTGGCAAAGCAGGAGAATAAACAAATACGGAAAGTCTGAGATGATAGATATGCGACTAGGATCCCGTCATCGATCACATTAACTGGCCTTCTTTTCTGCAAGGCGTCTCTTATCGCCTTGTGCCTTTCTCATCTTGGCGATCTCAATGCCTATATCGTTTTGCAGCTGCTTGTGTAGGGCGGGACGATATCCAAGCATGAACATCAATTCCAAGTGCACAAAGAACGGAGCGAGTACAAGGGCTAGAAAGGATTGTTAGCAGCCAAGATACAAATTAAATACGTGGTTGATGAACCTACCACCAACAATGTTGTCTAGAAGGGCTGGAGCACGACCTTCAGCAAGTCCATGTCCAAGGAATTGTGCAATCCATGAAATGACTTGAACAATAATCGCGTCTCGAATGCCATCAGGATGGTGCGCGTGAGCTGTTGCTGTCAGCAATAACAATACTATTTGCGGCGCGTACAACAACTGGGACTGGTGTCAGATGGCGCTACAGATAGGATTCATGGCGTGAGAGACTGACCGCAGCAAACGGTTCAAGGATGACGTAGTATCCAAGATATACGGCAGCGACCACCGCGGACGTGTTTAAATCGAATGATAGGTACTCATTGAACGTATAACGAAATACTGGCAAGAATGTGGGAGTTTGGATGCGAGTAGCCAACAACAGTGAACTCCTAGATCGGACCAATGTGGTACATAATCCGTACTGCGCGTAGTGAGAAGATGACGCACCACAGAATAGCTGGGACCCCGAATATATGAACGAGGATGTTGATTGGATTGGTATGGTAGGAACCGTAGAAGGTAAGCTGTTAAGACGAACGTCACGTAGACAGTCGATAAGATTCACATTTGGCACGCACCTGTTTGCGAATGTCGAACAAGGAGAGAGTCATGATGATGGTGGTTGTCAACAGGTACTGATTTAAAACTAAACGCCGACCCCTGGAACATGTTTAGATAAAACGCTCACGAGTAACGCGGACAAATCATATTCCAACGGAACGAGACCCTGCCGGCGGCAGACACCGAACAAGATGGCAAATGACAACTTCCTCAAACTTTTTCCAATGTAATACCTGCCCGACTTTCTGTGAGTGACAAGAGATTCACCTTCACCGGTCAATCGAACTGACAGAATTCAAGAAGGCTTTGAGGAATTCGGCTCATTGAGCTCATTGCCCGAGGTTTCCTATTTCGAATATCGACCAATTTACCGCCGGTCACGTGCTTCTACCATCTCCGCAATTGCTTCCACTTGAGCCACGACAACATCATCTCCCACCATGGTCCGCTCAACAATAATAGTCCGCGCAACAGATGCTTTGCCAATGGCGGCAAGCGTGGATGATGAACAGGTTAGATTCTTTAACATCTTCATTACTGAGGAGGTTCATTTACCCTAATAGACCGAGCAGGCTCTTCAGGAGCACAAGCAACAGTCGAAACTAATTTTTCGACGCATTACTCCCAACTCGGAACCGCGGTGTTCCATCGAAAGTGGGCAGTACACGCTTCAGTGAGTGTCCGTTCTCATTTCGATCAGGCTCCGCATACTAAGCCGCCGGCTGGTATAGCTACCTCCTCGCGGATAATGTTGTGTACCTCACCATTGCGGACAAATCTTACCCGCGGAAACTTGCCTTCTCGTATCTAGAAGAACTTTCAAAGGAGTTCTCCGTATCTTACGGACCCAAAGTAGAGTCTGTGCGGAAACCTTATGCCTTTGTCGGGTTTGGTGCGCGATCCTACTGCATCAATTTTTGCCGAGGACTAATTCACGCTGCATTCAGATACCTTCATGTCCAAAACAGCACGGTTATATCAGGATACACGCGCAGCTGATACAGCTGGATCATCAAACTTGGACAACTTAAACAATGAATTGCAAGATGTCACTCGAATTATGACCAAGAACATGGAAGAGCTTTTGTGGAGGGGGGACTCGTTAGACAGTGAGTGTGGAGATTCTATGTGCTCTTCTTTCATGCTTCGACACTTCACAGGAATGTCGCATCTGTCAACTTCTCTGCGTTCTGAATCGGAAAAGTACCGCAAGGCAGCAAGAAACATAAACATCCAGGCGCTCATACGACAATATGCACCATTTGGTGCTGTGGCACTTATTCTTATCATCATGTTGTGGTGGCGGTTCTCATGAACTGCATTCGGACTCCTTCTGCGAAGAGTTGGACATCTTTCAGCCAGGCAAAGTAATCTATTACCTTTTGCAAGACTTTTGTAATATTGTCTTCCATTGGACCAGTATGTCATGTTTTCTGTTCCCATCTGAATCCTGGAATCTACAGCAAGTGGCACCTCCTCGCCCCTTCGCATTGCTGGTCAAGTACAATATTAGAACGGGTCGTAATTGATATTGACGTCAACTCGCACGATCTCCTCGTTCGTACCCTTCTTTACCGACAGTAATATTCTGACATAGGCTGCTGAAAGTATCGAATAGTCTCGATGAATCACATCATGCTGCTCATCACCCTCTGAAGGATATCGTCTCGTTTGCTATGTCGCAAAGCGACTGAATATTTTACAAGTGTGAATTTTTTGGGAGCAATGTTCAATCCACATGGCAATAATCGACATCTCCGTTGTAGGGAAATTAATGGCACATTGTCATTTTTTCGGCGGAGATACATGATGATCAGAAGCATCACGGGCTTTCAGCTTTCCGCAAGACTAATCGTTTGACCACATGGAACCTAATTCGCCGCGACAGCTCGTTGGCATGTACCATCATTTCTAGTCGGCTGGTTGTCTACTTTCATTTACAGCAATAAATTGAACAAAATCTCGACATGACCACAAAGAAGCTCGGACGCCAAAATAAATGGATGTGAGTTCTTCCAAAAAACGGAGGTACTCACGGCGCCCCTGCACAGTCACAGTCTTACCGAAAAGGAAGTCAAGTGCTTCCTAGGAGCCGCGTTTCCAGGCAAACTCGCAGTCAAGGGTGCATCGCTTAATCATTCCGGGAAGTCGACCACTATATTCAGGCTATCGTGAGGAGTTGTATGATGTTACCGAATGGTGCTATCCGCTTACCGGCCACTTCCTCTCGCAGCTGGAGTAGCAGAAGTTTGAAAGGGAGAATCGTTGGTGTACCCCGATGCTCGAGAGCCCCATCTCATGAAGCATGCGTTAATACCGCAGTTGCTGAGACCCAACTCCACCACGCGCTCGACTCAGCCACCGAAAGACCACAGCTGGCATTCAGTTTGTAGGGGGAAGTAATGCGGTAAGAGTAAATTGCTGCCTACAAACTTGCATCAACGATTGACACCTTGCGTAACTTGCAGTGAATATACCATGCTTGGTTCATGTATTATCAACTCAGGGCAGCTTGCGAAGGATCTGTTCGGATAGCGCAGTAACTATACCCCGAATTACTTCCGCGGAACCGACCGTTACATTTTATAGATGATGGAAGAACTTCCTTGTTTTATCGAAATATGGCAACAGGTTTAAGCGTACCGCTTAAAAATTTGCCGTACTGTTGGCACTAGGCGAACATCGTGCACCCATCGATGCCAAGGTGTGCCATTTCCTAAAGCGAACTTACTCAAAGAATTCCATGATCATAAGCATCTGTTAGCAGAACGGACGGCGCACGCGGTGCACCTATTGTCGAGGACGAGGATGAGCTTTTATCACAAGACTTCCAACACTGCGAACGCTTCATTTGACACATATAGTGGGCTTTTCATGTATGCCTGTGCGTGTTTATACTTTTTTCATCATTAGGCAACGGTGTTGACGGCTTGTAATTTATAAGGCACCTTCGTTGTTGGTACCTGAGAGCGTCATTCCATCCGTTTTTTCGTCAGAAATGGTCGACAACCTGTCTGATGCTGAGCAAGTAGCGCTAGCTCACGGTACTGTTTCTCGGTCTTTCACTGCATCTGATTGCTTAAGGAGAAGGTGCTGAGAGAGGCACAAATCATCGTGAGGTGGGTTGCCCAGACACCATGTGATTTCCTAGTTGAAATTTGGTCTGTATACAGGAGGCTGATAATGTGAGCTGTCTTTGCGATGCAATGGCAGAGAAACTGACCTCCATCGACCACTGTTTCTTCCTAGTTATAAGGCTTCGTCACCGAAGCTTGACAAAAAGCACAGGCTAACCACGGCCTGACCGAGGAGAATCTCTGATTGCACCTATAAATGAAGTGCTTTGATGGTTCGCCGTGGTATTGAGAAGCAGGCCATCAATCCATCAAAGTCCAAGCAATGACATACATGATTTACCCTCAGAAGGCGTTTATGAGCCCACCAAGGATACTTCATTCCCAAAGGAGTGCTAACGGTGACCACTTATACCTCCAGTATCATAAATCATTAATGATGGCCAGGTAGATTTATGCAGATCCTGACGTATACTCCCCGATTCGTCGCTTCGATGACTAGTCAAACCAGACCCTGGCAATGTTGCATCTAGCTCTCGGAGACGAATTCTGGAGCTTCGTCACATAAAATGATGACATCTTGGTACGTCGGAAGCACCTGATCCAGTCTGTCATTATTTATTATGCATACGCACTTATGGGTCTCATTCTGGCGGACTTCGTTTCTTGTTTGGGCCCTGATCAGATTGATAGTTCAACGCGACAAAACCGCCCTTTTATTTGTGCTCGAGAACGGTACGGTATGCAGGTTGGCCGGAGATTAGGTAAGTTAACTAACCCTTCTCAAATTATGATGTTTTCCTTCATCATGCATCAGCTGCGATACGAGATCATTGGTATATCATATCGAGCATGAGCTAACTATAATTGGCACGTTTGCGCGGCTACTCGAACTTTGAAATCTGAAGTCAAGTCACGTTTTTGTTATACCACATCTGTCCTTGGAGATGGATAAGCATATATCATCTAGTGGTAGTGCAGACTGTTAGAAGTACGTTCAAGATGGAATTTCTGTGCTACGTAGGTCCCAGGTAAGTTGAGAGCCAAATGATCTTGATAAAGGTACTGAACCCACCCGGCATGCGTTCGTTCCGCCAGCCGATCAGATATCAAGTACTATCGGTCACGTTCTATTTGTCACCGAATAGTAGCAAAATCAGCGCTGAAAACTCGGCCATCGCCAGCAATTGTCTCGATATGGCCTAACACGAGGCAGGGTAGGGCTGCAGGGTCGATTTATTAGATGAAAGGCAACAATCGCCTCTTATCAGTGCGTTTCCCTTCTCTCTCAGCTTCTCTCATCTTCAGAACCAGAGTGTACAATGAACGGAACCGGAGGGTTTTCCCCGCCTCAGCAGCAACCGCAGCAGCAGCCCCAGCCATATTCTCCCCCGTCTGGTGGCCAGATCGCGCCCGGATCTATCACCTACACGACATCCACTAGTGCGGATGGTCAGGTTACATATCATCCTTTCAGGTATGATCGGCATCTGTCTCACAAACTAGCTTTATCGTAACCTATCGATGTTGCAGAGCGGTGCCTGCAAGGCAAGTGGTTGTGATGTTGACGAGATCGCACCGCCTGATCAGATTATGATGTGCAGTTATCAGACACCCCAAGGTGTTGTGCATGGTATTCAATGGGTCCCTGCCGAAGCCACGCAGATCTTGCCAACAGGTGCTCAACCTGCCAATGCAGTGAGTTCTCAGATCGCTCGAGTTTTGCTCGTGACCATTGATCGAGCATGCGAATCAGGAATTCGCTGCATCCTTTAATCGCGGCCAGCTCAGCAGGGAAGAAGAGAGGGAGCTTGAAAAGTGGTACGGTTCGTTGGATGTAATGTTGCTTCAGAATCTAAACCTTTTTTCAGGAAACGGTCTGAGGAGAAGCGCAAAAAAAAAGAAGAGAAGGCATCCCTCAAGAACATCGCGAAACAGATTGAAAGGGATGAAATAGATATCCGCATGGCGCGCGAGAGGGATACTCAGGTCAGAGGACGCAAAAAGAGCTTCTACGGAGAAGCACCTCCCTCTGGATACTCCATTCCGGGGACCGCTGCATACGGCACCTACAGCAGTTCCGATCTTGACCGCAGATTCGACAGTCTCGACATAGAGCGCAAGGAGGTTACCTTCGCTGCAAGGCCCAGAAAGCTTTCTCAGAGTGGTGCAGGGGGATACTCTTCCCCTCCCGCCACGTACAGTAGCCCAACAGGCTATCCTACAACTGGAGGAGCTGGCCCTTACAACCGCGCAGCCTCTCCTTACAGACCTGTAGGTAATTTCTCCACTTCACCAAATATAAGGCCGCAAGAATTCCCTTCTACGTACCCTGGTGGACCGGATCCCATGGTGAGGGCGCCATCTCCGTATGGTGCACGAGCGCCCTCTCCTTATGGTGCGCGAGCGCCTTCTCCTTATGGGGCCACAGCGCCCGGTCCCAGGGCGCCCTCTCCTTTTGGTGCCACAGCGCCCACTCCTTACGGTGCCAGAGCGCCCTCTCCTTATGGCGCCAGAGCACCCTCTCCTTATGGGGGACCAGGACCCTCTCCTTATGGTGCTCGAGCGCCTTCTCCAATGCCGCCGGTGCCCCGTGGGGCTTCTCCAATGCCGCCAGGGCCACCCCGTGCACCTTCTCCATACGGACGCCCTGTGTCCCGGGCACCATCCCCATACCATGGTCAACAGGCATCGACCTATCCTCCTCCTCACCGCGCCCCTTCACCATTTGTCCCCCCTGGGCAAATCCAATCAGTATACCCCCGTGGGCATGTCCTTGAAGGCCAGCCTGTCGGGGGGCCCCGGTCGCGAGCACCCTCTCCAATGCCCGGTGCGCCTGCTGGGCCAGGATTCTCCTCATCCCCACGTATGCCCAACGTAGGATTCGCTTCATCTCCCCGTATGCCCAACGCAGGATTCCCTTCATCCCCCCGTATGCCCAATGCAGGATTCTCTTCATCTCCCCGTATGCCCAACGCAGGATTCCCTTCATCCCCTCGTATGCCCGGCGCTGGAACAGGAGGAGATTCGTTACAACTCGCTGCTCCGGAGGCATTCTCCCGTCCACCTAATGCCGCTCAACCTTACACTCCGTTTAGCGTAATGAGGATCCAAGAGATGGACAAATTTTACGATCAGATTCCTCGCATGCCACTTGTGCTCGACACTCATGACGTTTACCACCAGGACTGGATCAGATTCATGAATGTACGTGGTGACAGACTTATCCATTGGCTTATTAACTCACTTGTACTTCAGGATCTTGCTCTTGCATGGGCCGGCAAGATGCCCATTCATGAGTTCTCCAAGGGGGGAATTCCTCCCAAGCGGAGCTCACTTGTTGCAGATTTGATCAATCTGTGGAACGATTCATTCTTCCGCGCCCGTCGCGTTGAGGTGGTCCTCTACAAAGGCCGCGAGCGACGCTCAGGTCCACACACAGGGACCTTGGACAAAAACCTTCCAATGCCTGACCTCGACTTTGATTCTGATTCAGACTCGTCAGAATCTTCCTCTTCTCTCTCTTCGGAGTCTGAGGACGGGTACTACGGTCGCGGCGTTGATCTCGCTGAATCCAAGAGAAGGCGCCGAGAGAAGAAGGAGGAAAAGAAATGGCGCAAGAAGGAAAAGAAGCTCAGGAAAAGGGCCAAGGAACGCGAGAGGCAGTACGCGTTGTACTTGAACTACATCGCGCCTCGCGACATGCCTGTTCCAGGAAATTCTTACTATGGTTGATTGAACATGCAGCGCATGAATCCAGTAACGTCGAACTTGTTGATACTTGAACTCTCCATTGTCATTGTACTACTACAAACTGCGAATCGATTTGTTACCCGGTCGAGCCGGAGGGCGTAAGAGTAAATTGTGCGAGGTCACAGGTCCCAGGTAGTGACATATATAAGGAACCGGGTTTCGAGAACTCAAGCTTGGACTGTCGAGAGTCTTCTAAAGTCCTACGCAGGTGACCCAGCCGGAGTCTCTGCCCCGGAGTGCTCTGGTACCATAATCATGATGCCCTGATATCTATGATATCATTTGGACCAAATTCTCGCTACTAGTAGTAGTCGCACGCCGTGAACCCTTACAGTATTGCAGGACGGGCCATTCCGTACCCTGATGCACGGAGGAGACAAGCGTCAAAAAGATAGACCGGACTTCTAATACCGTCACTATAGACTAACGTGCTGTTAGTAGCGCACGTCATTCAACTGAATCGCCGCAAACCCACGATAATATCGTGGCTAGATTGTCACAGGAAGATAAAGGAAGATACGATAGAAAATCAACTGAACACAAGACCTACAGCTGACAGGCCAGTATAAGTAGGTCGTGGTCACGGTGATCTTCAAGACCACGGTGTTTAATATTGCATTCTTTGCACGATCTTTATCATCACTTAAAGCATTCTATACTCGCCCGAGGTAAGCCGAATGCGTTTTCGGACATTTGAGACGCTAAACTCGCCTGGTGGTCTGTAGCCGCTGGACCTAGAAACCTGTAACAAACATCAGGCCATCTGCGGAACATCTCTTGACGTTCACGCAGGTGAGTAGTAGCACGTGTGGTATGTATTATCAAAATGCTGTCGTATCATAATTCATTTTGTGGCCCTTCTAGGCATTCGCCATGAGTGATGTCGCAGAAAGACTCCTTGAGGAGTTCGACCAATATGTGATGAACCACATTCCGATCCGCCTCATACGCCTATCAGACATGACGTTTGTAGAGCGTGGTGATGTGGGGAAGCACTTTCGGAGCTTTGTCCCTCAAACGAATCTTTTTGGGATCTATAAGCCCTCCCGGGTTATCAGATATGCCATTCTATCTCACCGATGGCTGGATTCGGGAGAGCCAACATACGAAGAGATGAAGACGCGCAAAGCAACAGGTCCGGGATACGAGAAGCTGAAGAACTTCTGTAAACAGGCCAGGAAGCACGACATGGAATTTGCATGGTCAGATACCTGCTGTATTGACAAGAGCAGCAGTGCCGAGCTGGACGAGTCGATTCGCTCCATGTTTCGGTGGTATCATAATTCTGCTATTTGCCTCGTCCACTTAGCAAAAAGCACGACCATCGAGGATATATTGCATGATGAATGGACGGAAAGGGGCTGGACATTGCAAGAACTCCTTGCACCCTTCCATATCAAATTTTTCAATAAGCACTGGATACCTATGACGAATGATTCAAACGACAAACAAAAAGAAGCTACCACCAGGATACTGCAGACTCTGGAGAAGGCCACTGGCATTCCTCATGATGAGATCAACTGGCAGTTCAATCCACGTCCGTTCAAGGTGGATGAGCGGATGGTGTGGGCAGCCAGACGCAAAACAACGAGGGTTGAAGACGTAGCGTATTCTCTGATGGGTATATTCGACGTCAGCCTGCAAATCGCATATGGAGAAGGAGGAGATCGCGCATTCTGCAGGCTCATCGAAGCCATCATGCAGGCTGGTGACCCTTCTGTCCTCAATTGGAAGGGCACCACTGCAAAACATCGCACTTCATATGCTATTCCTCGATCGCCAAGGAGCTTCATGAACCGTCGAGAGTTGAAGTTGGCTAGTGGCGGGCGACTGGAGATGACTATGACCAGTCTCGGCTTGCGGGTGCCTCTAGTGATCCTCCCTCTCAGTCTCCCTTTCTCAAAGGCTGCTGGAACAGGGAGTGCCTGCATCACATTCGAATGCCTGTTGTATCCCAGCATCAAGATTAATATCAATGTTAACAACTCGAAGTTGAGCCACGGTCGGTATCGATATGCGCTTGGGATCATCAACTACTCGCTTGTCAGGGATGGATTAGTGCGTGAGGTTGTGGAGATGCAGGGCAAGTCAGCCGGAATCCCCCTCAGATGCCAACTGGTAGATCGGTCCAGCTCATCCACCCCTGCTGTTGGGTTCGGGTTTGAGACTGTCTACTTGGAACAGAGCCTATCTAAACCATGGGAAAAGATACGTGAGGAGGGTTTGATCGAGGTCGATTTTCCAACCACACCGCGTTTTTACATCGAACATAAATACCTAGAAAATGTCCACTTGTAGCCCTGACAAATATGTACTCGTAATATTGCCTAGGCCGGGCAGCGGTATTTTTACAACCCAGGCTTTGATTGTGTCGGCTATTTCGAGCTATTTATAGCTAGTACTAAACAGTAGACGCCAAAATGAACTCCATTTCGAATAACCTAGGTAGTGCTGATACTAATAAGACACATAGCTACATAGTTTATCCAAGGTACGGCAGTCTTCCCAGACTGCATGACACACAACTACGGCCGCGGCCAGTAGGCTATGCTCTGGAGCCTGAGTGACGGAGTGACGATAATTGTCGTTGTCAGCGTCAGCATGGTAAGGCGCTTCGCCCACTGTCATTATCACTGACTTTCCAGAAATATGTCACAGGTGGGGGGAGACCTACCCTGAAGCCTGAGGTATGGCTGAGTGCAATATTTGCCGCCCAAACGTTTGAAGCGACGATCACATCCTATCACTGCGATCTTCTTCCCTTCAAACAGCTTCCTTCATTCACAAGGTGCACAATGGATGTGGATGGAGTAGGAGGTTTCAGGATTCACGAGCCGCAACCCCAGTCGTACTCACCCGATCATTCTCACATTGCACATAGTTGGGCTGCAAATGGCCAGATTACACCTGGAACTATCACCTACACGACGAGCACTAATGCAGACGGTCAGGTTACAAAGCATCCTTTCAGGTATGAACGCATATCTAAGAAGTGTTGCTAAGCCCACTTCATTTTGACCTTTTAAACTTGCAGGGCGGTGCCTGTAAGGCAAGTGGTTTACGAATCGATGTTGACAAGATGCCTGATCCAATCATGGTGTACAGCTATCAGACCTCCCAAGGAATTGTACATGGTCTCCAATGGGTCCCTACCGATGCTACACAGATCTTACTAACAGGCACTCAGCTCCCCAATACAGTGAGTCCTCGGATCACCCGAGTGTTGTCTCACGACCATTGAGTACTGAGCATGCGAATAAGGGACTTGCGGCAGGATCCTTTGGTCTCGATCTTTCGGGTAGGGAAGATGATGTGGTATCTAAGAAGTGGTACGAACGTGCGTCTTATATGCCTCTGGGTGCTCGCTCGATGTTACTAACTGTAAGGCTGAAAGAGATCCCCCATTTCACTTACCCTGGTGGACCTGATCCCACCGTATTGGCAGCATCCCTGTCTTCCGTCCGAGGGCGCTCTCCTTATAGTGCTCGCGCGCCCTCTCCAATGTCACACTCGCGCTCTGCTTCCCACGTGCCGTCCCCATACCAAAGTCGTCAGCAGTCGAGATCACCCTATCCTTTCCACCGCACTCCTTCACCTGATGTTCGCACTCACCCACGTGCGCCATACCAGAGTCGTCAGCAGTCGAGATCACCCTATTCTCTCCACCGCACTCCTTCACTTCATATTACTCCTCCGCAAATTGTATACCCGCATGGGCATGCCTTGGAGGATCAGCCTATTTTGGATCTCCAGTTGCAAGTACCCTCCCCATTTCCAAATGCACCCACCGGGCCAGAGTTTTATTCAACTTCACATATGCCCATCATTACTTTTCACAGAGAATCAATGTCGGACTCTTCTCCCCATCCGTTCGCCCGTCCACCGGATGCCACTCAAGCTTACACTCCGTTCAGTATGATAAAGATTCAAGGCTTGGATCAATTTTTCAACCAGATTCCAAGCATGCCATCGGTGCTCGATACCCATGATGTTTACCACCAGGATTGGAGCGCATTCATGAATGTACGTGCTTATGAACACTATTTCAGTGACGTATCAGCTTATTTTCTGTTACAGAATATTTCTCTTGCGTGGATGGGAAAACTACCCCTTCCCAAGTTTGCTGGGGGTTGTTCGCCTTCACGGAACTCGGCTGTTCTAGAATTGATCAATTCGTGGAACAATTCCTTCTTCGGTCCCCGCAGAGTAGAGGTAGTCCTCTACAGGGGCCGTGAGCGATGCTCAGGCCCGTACACAGGGGCTGTAGACGACGAACACTCATTTCCTGAATCGGAAAGGGATAACGAACGCGAGCGGAAGTACTCGTTATACTTGACCTATGTGTCTTATCTCGACGATCGACTCGAGCCGACCACTAGCACATCCCATCACTTCAGAAGCCACAGTGGCGCACACCATAACCATGCATCTTATAACTACTATCACTGATAGGATAACAAGCTTGCAAGAAGGTGGATGTGGGACTGTTGATATTTTTTATTGTTATTGTGCTACTCCCGTGTATAGTTGACCAGTTATTGACACTTGGTCACATTCACAAACTTATGCGGCACGTTATGATCGGTTCAGTAATGACCGATGGTGCTGTTACTCAGACTTTAATTACATCTAGGCTATCTCAGGCTGCCAATAATGTTCCTCCCTTTCCAGCTCTTCGCAGCATGCTCACATTACTCATACTATTCTCGCAGGAATTATGATCTCTCGGTGATGGCAATTCTCCATTGCCTATTCTCATCGTAGGTGGAAAAGCACTCGAGGTAGTCATTCATCACTGGCAAGATCACGGGTTTGACACGGACATCTCCCAATATGTTTTTGCAGCATTCCCGTTCGCTGCTACCATCCGCAAGCTCGTCCTCGGCTGGTCAAAACCCCTTTATCTTCTACTTCTGAGCACGCCATAGTGCAAGGTGCCATTTTACGCACCGTTCATGAGCATTGTATTCTTTTCATCAAAGACATTAAGTGTTAGGACCTGGTTACTACAACATCGTGGCTGGCCTTACATTTGACATCGTTTTGATACACTCTGTTTATTTGCGTCAACGAAAGAAGAAAGAGATAGTGTCAATATCGTATACAAGCGCTTGCTTTTGTAATGAACGGAATTTTACTCGGAATCATAAGCAACGACCGCAGGTGGCGGCTTGTCTACGTACTGCATATTTTTTTATCAATGGACCATAAAAGATTTGATGGTAGGACTTCATCTACTCAGATACCCTCTGTATTCTGTTGTGAAACAGAGGCTTGCCTTGGAACAATAACCTAGCATGAGTGCTGACAGAAAGCCGTCTTCTGGGTTCTAGAGCTCGTCAGCGAGTGTTTGCCTTCGTTTTACTTGCCGTCTAGGCGGCTCGTCGGTGACCAACAGGGCAAGGAAGTCATCTGCAAGACCAGCAGCAAGGATACCAGTGATATCACCGGCTGGATTGAACGATGAGCCCCCTCGTTCCAAATTAGGGAGATGGATCTTACCATTATCGTATGCTGGAGCAACCTCGACAATGTCAGCCCCACTACAAATGAGTCATCAACTGTTTATACAGGCCCGTGAATGATAAAAAGAATCTTACACAAAGTTCAATCCAGCAAGACCTCGAAGGATTCGCTTGGTCTCTCGACCGGTCCATCCAGCAGGCTCTGGTGTACCAGCTACCTAGGCATTAATAACTTCAAAACTGCCCTAGTGATATTGCGCTCACTTGCAGGTGCCTGACTAGGGTCTATCAGAGAGCGATTAGTTTACAGCGATGAGGGATCAATTGGAACATCTGCAGACCGATGGTGTCAATGTCAAAGCTGAGGCGGGAATCAATATTGTGATCAGCAACGCATTGCTCGAGACACACCTCAGGTAAACAGGGGAGTTACCGATGCGTTGTCGGATATGCTTGACAATCTCATCTGTTCCAAGGACGTCGATATCCTCAGCCATAATAAGCTCAAAGCCAACTTCTTCATCGTGTTCGATCAGCTCAGGGCCCTGTCCATTCAAAGTGCGTCAGCTCGAGCAAACTTAAGACACACGGAACGCCCTGACCTGCAGTTTATTCCGGATCCCAGCATGAATACTGGTGTTGGACATGAGTCCCTCCTCAAACGCCAATGTGAAAAATGTCCCGTGCGTGACCTTGGACTGTTCGGTAATGCCGCCCAAGCTCGGCCAGGTGTCGATGTGTGCATCAAAGTGAATGACAGATATGGGTCCATAAACCTGATGAAGAGATCGAAGAATCGGAAGCACCTAGGGATCATTTGACATGTGAAATCCGGAGGATGTAAGTACATCATGCTATCTTACGATGGTATGGTCTCCGCCTAGCAGTACATGATCAATTACATATCCGCAGACGAAACCATGGTCCAGGGCTCACCTAATGTCAGTATACGAGGGTGCTCCACTCCGTCATGTGCAAGCTTTGCGGTGCGCGCACTAGCGCTTCCATTCACGGGTCGTGCCAAAAGGGTGGTATACGCAGTTTCCATTTGATCAACAGCTAACGCGTTGTCATAGGGGCTGATAGGGACCTGTTGAACATTCTGTCAATATGTTTAGACACCTATAACCGGCTGAAACTTACGTCTCCACAGTCGATCACTTCTGCGCGGGTGTACGGGTTCGTCATCCATTCCAACGCGTAGCCCTGTACAGCGGACTGACGTCTGGAACCAGATCTAATTGCATATGGTCCGAAACGTGCCCCTGGTCTGTAAGAAGTTGCTGTGTCAAATGGCATGCCGAGAACAGCGATGTCAAAGGTTGTCGACGAATCATCCAGGCAACGTGTGTAGGGTAGATGGGAGTAGCTCAGAGGTCCCGTGTAACTGAGGTCTGCCTGTGTGCCATACTTTGCTGTCCATGGCTCCTGCTTGTTTTCGAACGCATGTTGCTGCGCATAAACAACAGGAAGTAGTGTGAGAGGAAGGTATCTCATTGTCAGTGTATGTACAATTTTTTCTTCGGCGCCAACTTATGAGAGGGATCAGGAATCAGGATAGATCTCTGGGACGGAGAACATTTTGTACTGCATGTTAGGTACTGTTACATGCTCCGAAAGTATTTCTGTGTTGTCTGTTCAGCACCTGATTAACACGTGGTGATATAGGAAACAGACAAAGATAGCCTGGAAAGTTAGAAGGACTATCAAAGTTCAGCATGAGGCCAAGAATCCGAAAGTGCGTGTGGTGTGGGAGGCGATTGAGACATGAATATCGATAGAAAATCGTGGACAAGGTCGGACACCGCCATGCCTTTGATTTCGGCTGTAAAAGAATGTCTCAGTCCCAGTCAGAAACAACCGACTGCTGTCGAATATGCCATAGTATTCCACTATGTCTGCGCCACTGTGTTGCGAACAAGGAATAAGACTTACTATAAGAGCCAATGATAGCCGGGATATCTACACGAGGCTCAATCCGGGCAGGCCACGGATGATTCGTTTAACCACTCTACCCGTATAAAGTAAGTATGCTTTGTGCCTCCAATGTATTAGTTTCCCTTAGTGAGATCACAAGATAAGGAAAACAGTCATTCCTACGATTGGTTGTACTCAAGGGATGGGATAACGTCCGAGTCACGGGAGAGATCTTTATTAATGATGACCGACAGTATACTCGGTAGATGCACAGCAGATAAAGAGCCAGAAGGGAGTCCAGCGTCTAATGTGATTTATCGTTACACGAGGATGGTTGTAGTAGCAACGACGGAGGTGTGGTAGACGAGCCTGAGCTAAAACGTTGTGTGACTTTGCTATTGGGAAGTTGCAAACTGCTTTCAGTAACGTTTTTCGAGGTTGGTTTCGTTTTTCCACGTGATATCATAGATGGGTTCGAACACTGGTGAAGGAAGACGAGAGCATACGTTGCCCTTGGCATACGGGACGTTGACTACTGCTGAGCTATGTTTGGGTGGCTCGACCTATGCACCACTTGGCCTGCCAAAGAGAATATTTGCAATCCGATGGAAAAGTCGGGATCGGGACTCTGTATCGTGGGTGCGTGGTCATGCAGAAAATTGACAACATGAGGTCAGGAATGGATTACAGGATGAGAAGCCAACGACGTACCCAATTGGAGACCTTGAGTGGTTGGGCAAGATGCTGTGACTCGACTTACGGACGCGCACAGGGACACGGAGCCTTTGTCAAGTACATTGGAAATTCGAGACCCGCGTGTTGGGCTAACTTGAAGGCTGTACACGGCCAATCGGAAAATTCATAGCATCTATGTCCAAAAATAGGGTTATCGGTCCTATGTTGACCTGATCTCCACGCATCAACTTTCGTCGCGTGTATTATATATAATTAAATAATACAATTTTGATGGATTCATAGGCTGACATAACGTCGGTGACGCCAGAGTGTGAATGCGATGCTGGTAGGGTATAGGTCCATCGGCTGTTTTCGGGTGCGCATTATGTACTGAGATTGAGCACCGAAATTATACTTGGTTGAAAACATAGATCCTATACTGAGACCTAGGTATTGGTAGTATACTGGTTGGCTGATGTACAAGCTATATAATTCCGGCATACATATGACACTTGAGCATATGTAGAGTGCACACCCATCAACATGCTGTAGCGGTACTACCTGAATATTTTTGCACTGATATTTGCGCCATCGAGAGATCATAGAAAGCACATATTATTCTTGTACCAAATGATGACAGGTATGATTAAAATGAGGGATGCGGCAGTTAGTGCTGCCGCGGTCCGGTCCAGAACCATGGTTCGAACCGGACTTTTGGTCCGGTTCTCCGCGGTTCGGTCCATGGTTCTCGCGCCAGCCAGAACCGGACCGGAAAACGGTTCTCGGTTCTAGATCTTCCCAAACGGTCCAGTTCTGGTTCGGCCTTCCCGAACCATTCTGAACCCTTATCCACTTCCACTTCGACAACTGTCGTCTTCGGGATTCACGTTGTTGATTAATCAAGCTACATTTAGCCTTTTCGAAGGTAAGCACTAACTAATTAAACTCTCAAGTCTCTCACCCGCTCACCTCTATAACAGGAGGTTCTATTCATTGAGGACTGGCTACAACACTGCGCAAGACTACCTTTTACTGGAGGTGGATGTGTTAGGCGCGGTCAAGGTGGATTTTGGAGGGATTGTGTCTTGCGCTATGCTGCAGAGGTGTGTATTTGTGCTCTGAATGCTGATGGCTCCCTCGAGGGCCAGCACCCATTGCTACCAGCGCACGACCCATCACACGCCACACCACCTGCGCCTATGTTGATGCCCGCCACCTCACCGCATCCCCTCTCACTCGCTTGCTGTTCTTTCTGGCTGGCTTTTGCTGGCTCGCTCGCCGTGTCTCACTCACCCACTGTCTCTTGCTCACTGTCTCACACACCTGCTGGCTGCTCTCGCCCACTGTCTCTCACCCCGCTGTCTCTCACCCCGCTGTCTCTCACCCTCCGTCTCTCACAGCCTGCCTCGATGACCTACTTTCGGATCCAAAGGTGAATCGATATGCATGTCTCATTGCATATTCTCACAACTGAATGCGCTCTGCTAGGCCAACAAGTTGGCACTCCATGTACGGGACACGCCACCCATGTACGGGACACGCCACATGTTGACAACACCACCGGGAAAGTTGGTCCCGTTTTCTGGAATGTAGCTCTTGGTGGCGCAATGGTCTCATTCGAGTTTTGGGCTACTCAGTGAGTTCTCTCTGGCATGCTTTGTGGAGCTCAAGTATGTGTAACGTTCCCACCCGTCGCATCATATTTTGGATCGAACCTCTCGTGCCAACCCAACTCCCAGTACCCTCTCACTTCCTTTGGCACCCTCTCGCTACCTTTGGAGCCCTCCCGCCATCAAGTTGACAAGTTCAGCGCCCTCTCACTACCTTCAGCATCCTCCCGCTTAGCACATCCAATGCCACCAGCACCATGCGCAAACGCGCAGCGCATGTAGACTCGACTCTAGATGGGGAGTTCTCTCAGCTGCAAAGGTGCGTCATGGTGTTTTATTGTTTCAGTGTCTAATAAATTTATTATTTGTATATGGTACCCGCGCTCGCCACCATCTCACGCTGCTGCTCACTGCCATCTCCTGCTGCTGCTCGCCGCCATCCTCGACCCATGCTCATGATCGCCATCCTTCGCTGCCACTTTCCTATTTCTGGTTGTGTCAACCCCTCGTTATCACAATCACTCTCCTGATACCTCTCGCGCATGGTAATTGGGGGGGAGCAGCCATGTTATTAGATTAGTTACTCAACATGTATACTACTTAGTACTTTGTCAATGTTTTTTTGCGTGCTCTTACAGTTTTTTTTTTGGTTCGGTTCAGGTTCGGACCCCCAAAAAACCGAACTGGACCATAGAGAACGGTTCTCTATGGTCCGGTTCTGGGTTCGGACATTTTGTAGAACCGAACCGATGGTCCGGTTCTTGGTTCTCGTCTAGGACCCTCCGAACCGGACCGAACCGGACCACGGCAACACTAGCGGCAGTGCAGGAGCGGTGAAAATGAATGGAAATATTAGGTGGTCCAAATAAGCTTGGTCTGAATAGCAGTCTGCCAACGAGGATTTGTCCTCGAAATTAACTTCGAGACCTTCTTGCCACCAGGAAACTTGGCGAGATCAGCTTGGAATATTTCAATGAACAACCTAGCCGAACATCAGTGTCAATAACTGCATGAGCCAACAAAAACGCACTTCTGCAACTCCTTCTCTTGCTCAGCGGGAATCAAGGAGGCTTCCTTAGATATTTGGCGCATGACTAAGAGCGAGTGGTCGACAAAGTTCCAGAATCTGATGGTATTGGTGTACCGTGCTGGAGTACCTTCAACCAGTCCAAATCCGGAGTCCATTGGATCATCTAGTAAGACTGCGGTAGTTTCGACACTGTTCCTGAGTCCATTCAATTCCTCTTCCTCTCCATTAGCATCCCCACCACCCAGCTGCGCTCCACTTTGGTCCTCGAGCTCTTCATCATCCATGTTGGCACCATCCTCAATCCTCCTAGCACTGGGCGCATGACCATTACCTGTTGGAGTGTCTGGGGAGGCCTGATCGTTAGACCCAAGTGCATCGTTAGTGCCAAACAAGTCATCTTCAAGCTGTGCAATGTTGACACCAAGTTCACGTTCAACTTTGCGCCGCATATCCTGCTTAAGCGACGGAATAAGGTAAGGGGAAAATAAATCGTCAATGGAAGCATTTTTGTAGTCGCTGACTCCAATGAGAAAAATTCGCAGAAGACGCCGCTGTCCCCATACAAACGAGTGTTAATGCTAATAGATATGTATGTAATATCACTTACAAGGAGCGTGATCCTGTTCCAATGTGTAGAGTCAACTTCCATACCAGACCCGCTGCGTTGTCTTCTTAGATAGATGATCTATAGATAAACACCTACAAAATCAAAAATCTCCACGGTCAGTGATTCAGACAAATACCAATGACTGATAACGTGGTTGTTCGTGGGTGGCTGTTTACACTTCCCCAAGCTATGTTCAGACAAAAGTACTTCCTGTGAGGTCAGTAGCAATACCAGTCAATCCAACAGTATGGATGCAATAGAAAATAAAATAAACAGAATATAGTCAGCCCAACGGTATGGTGATGACAAACAGAAATTGATTCACTCCAACGGTATGGCAGTGTTTAGAGAACAGAGAAAAGTCAGCCCAACAGTATGGTACTGATAACAGAAAGAAATAGATTGATAAGAGAAACCCTTCCTTCAGTAACAATGCTTCTTGTAATAAATTTACTACAGAAAGTCGTGCGAAATTATAGCAATCACCCCCTCAGCACAAACAGGTAGAATCAAAGGTCAGGACTAATCAGTGATCAGTAGAACTCTTAGTTCACTATTGAACCTGCTGCCAAGGAACTCACGATGAGTATTAAACAGAATCAGGAACGGACGTCCTTGGATTTCAGTACCAAGTCCCCTATTCAACAACTAAAGTCTAGCAGACAAAGAAAACCCTGGCTCAGTATCACTACTCAGATGAGTGAGGTCAAGCGTCACTATCAACTTCTGAAGTCTTCCCACTAAGCCGGTGCTTAGATGGACGTAAAGACAACACAAAGATCTTGAAACAAATTCAGACAATAACACTGAGACGTGAACGAACTGAACAGAAAAAGAGACAAATGAAAAGAAAGAAACAAAGAAAGAAACAGAAAAAGAAAGAGAGAAAGAAGAAAAAAAAGAAAAGAAAAAGACTAGAGGTTCACCAGTAGAAAATCAAAGAAAAAGTTTGCTCACTGTTGAGCACAGTGAGCTCAAGATATTTCACAGTTGTTGACGATGAGCTAAAGGTATTGCTGGATGTTGCTTACAATGACCTCTCAGTTAGTTGCTTAACAGCTCTTGTCACTGTTGTTGATACTGATCACACTTCACACTCAAATTTATTTTGTGGGGCTTAAAAGTTCCCTATATGCCTTTTATTTATTGGCAAAAAGTGGGGTCTTATATAGATAAATTATGGTGGCTGTGTTACTATTTCCCACGTTCTAAGGGGAATAGGCTTAGTCAGATTGTACCAATACTATTTACTGTAGTCATGTGCTTTATAATTTGTGTCATCAAGCTTTAGTCATCTCAAAAAGGTTGCTTTGTCATGATTTGGTTTAGGGTCATAGGTCACCTGACTGTTAGAGTCATATAACTTAGTATCATGTGACAAATATTAAGTAACAGACTGATTATGTTATTTGTTGGTGTCTTGTTATAATGTTACTTTATTGACCGTAGAAATGACGCGAGCCATGTATTTAGAGTGTTAAGAAAGTTCCCACAAGGCAAATTATGCAAGAACTATTTTACACTGTTACTTGACATGTGTGGGATTCAGTCTGAGTCATTGTTATTGCTGACTAAGCAGAATTTACCGCAAAATTAAATATACAAGAATATTCAGCCTATCTGAGTCTGTCTGAGAAAATGAAAATACTATCTGAACTGCCGTCTGAACCATAAAGTAAAGGAAGATTGTTCATAATGATTTCTAGGGTATCGGGCTCGTGAGTGAGCATTAGTCATCCATGCACCGAACCGGTTTGGTGCAGGTCAGCGTGCAAGTGCCCTCGTCACATCAGCGATGCTCGTGCGCTTGACAACTGACGCGGTGAGCTACACAGCAATGATCATAAGTGAGAGTACATCAACAAAGTAGCGAGACATACAGCATTCTTGATGACACTCCGAATGCCTGTAAGTAGCTTTGTGACCGATTTGCCCAACTGAGCTCTGAGTTCGACATCCTCAAGCATTCCAGGAGGGATTTTGAAGACATCGGAATGAGTGGTAATGAAGTCCTGAAACAATTCAGCGGCGCTGAACAATAGACTTCGAAGCCATACCATTATATGATGCTGAGTATCAGTAACGTATGCTGTGATATTTGGTGACAGCATACATGCAAATAAACGGTTATATAGCCCATTCTTCCGGTCCAAGTTAGTCTAGAATAATGCAGAATGAAAAGTACCATTGTCACCTCGAAGTCCTTCGATTCTAAGGCATCCTTCAATTCCTGCATTCTCTTCGCCCTATTTACCTCGCAAAGTTTGATAAGAGTAATTTTCAGGTCTATGAGCATAAAGAAGATGTCGCCAGACTGCATCAAGCCAGAGTCAGCCAACACAACAACGCCAATGGTTTGACAAAATTTTCTTACATCGATGAAACACATGACGTCTCCGGTAGGGATATCATTGTCTTCGCACATCTTCTTGGCATACGTCTTCAAGCGTTTCGTTCATTGGGGTGTAAGCTTCATAGGATCCCTATGGTTGGAAGTCCCACTATTCCTGCGTCGACGAACTGCGGTGCTGATTGGCTCATTCAATGATGATGTTGGACTAGAGGGGGGCTGGACTTCAAGGCCAGGTACCGCTGGGCCATCACCGCTTGGAGTTGTAGATCGATGGTTCGGGGAATGGGAAGTATCTGTACAGTATGAAGTACATTAGCAAGTCAAATTAGATCTTATGTACGAGGACCTACTTCCATGCCCTCCAGCAGACAGATAGTTGGATGAGCTTCCGCTGCCAGGGTCAGGCATAGTACTCCTTCCTATGGATCTTGCCCCTGAAGTTCCTGGGTTCGACTGTGGCCTCGGTGAAGGTTCAACGATACAGCAAAGCATGAACAATGCTCCTGACTGTATCTATAAATGTTGTAAGGTCGCGCGTTGCCTAGTCTGCTATACTTGAGACGACAAGTGCGTTCGACCCTAAAGGGGAAGCGAGTGCAGCAAGGATCTAGAGGTATGTGCTGAAAGCGCTACTGGTTGGCCAATGCGAAGCGCAAGAAAGCGCAGGTGCGCTTAAGGCGTGGGAATGCGCGCGTGTACGGCGCGAAGCGTGGGAAAGCGTGCGTGTGTATACAGATACGAGAGAGAGTAAGAGTGAGTTTGCTTAAGTGATGATATGATGTAAGACAAGAGAAGAGAGATGCGAGGTGTAAACAAATAGATTTCTACTATGTTCTGCTAGGTAAATAGTGGGTAGTAACCAGTAAGTCCTCTGTCGTTCTGGTGGGAGAGTCAGTGAGTTAGTAAGTATGTACTGCTGGCGCTTAAGTATGGCGCCTAAGTGCTGTCATGCGGAGCCGAAGCGCTACCGAGTAAGGTATGTAAAGATATATGTAAGTAAGGGTCCATGATAAAAATAAAGATGGAACAATATGCAAATGTGAGAAATGGAAATATATGCACTAGGGAACTTGGTGGACAGTGGATGGATGCTTCCGGATGGCTGGCGCTATAGGGCACTACAGCGCAGGAAAGCGCGCACGCATATACATCGTGAAGCGCGGGAAAGGTACGCGCGCATGGCGCGCGTTGCGCGGGAAAGCTGCGCCTCATATAGAGATAGCTGCAGGTAGCACACAGAGTGATGCTACAAGTTCGTGCCATGTACTCCCCAGTGAAAACTGCCATATTGCACAATGAGAGGCATGAGTCTCTACATCGGCAATTGCTCTGCTCGTGAAGGTGATCTTGAGCATTGGTTGCCGCCAGAAGGTATGCGCAGACGATAACCACGTTGGAACATTGTTGCAAACGCCAAAGGCCACAGCGGCTGCCCTTGCTTGAAGTTTGATATTATAAATAGAATCCGTAACACTCCGAAAGTTGACATCCAGAAAATGAAAATTTAAGTTTATTTGGATGATGTTGGAGTGTCTATGAAAATTCAGGCCTCTGTCCTCTGGGCAGACTGGAAGATACTGGTATTGATATATTGTAATGTAAGGTGTGACGAAGTAGGAAGAATTTTAAAGACAAACACGCAAACCTGTCAAAGAACGCTGGAGGAAGAACTTCAAAGATAAACATGCAAACCTATCGAAGAACGCTGGAGGAAAAATTTCAAAGACAAGCATGCAAACCTGTCGAAGAACACTGGAGGAAGAACTTTAAAGATAAGCATGCAAACCTGTTGAAGAAAGCTGAAGAAGGATTTCAAGGACAGGTGGTGAGGATGCGAATCTAGCGTCTTGCAGAAACGGGGAGTTCTGGAGTCCAGCGTCTTGTAGGAACAGGGAGTTCTGTCTAGTACTGTCTATTGGACTGTGGAGCCTGAGGGTGCCAGATGTGCGAGGTCATCACTGGCACGGAAGGTTGCAAGGGAAGTCCATATGGCAGTTGTCGTGAATGGGGGGGGGGTGAAGGGGGGGGGGGGGGGGGGGGAGGGTATGAGGGATTTGGAAGAGCTGGCCCCAAAGAGTACTGATATGGTGGGACACCATATTGCCCAGGATACATTGGCGGCACCATGGAAGGTGAGTTTGATGGCCAAGGATGAGAAGGGAGAGGTCTAAGTGGACCGAGTGCGGGAGATGATTGCCACGTCAATACCATTGGGGGTGACTGCAAAGAGTTATGTGAATGGGGAGCGCTGTATGGGGGTGTGAGGGAATGCTGCATCTGTGAAGGTACAGTAGCAGGCGGATGTAGTGATGGGAGATGAGAAGGCATGGGCGCTGGGAGATGAGAACTCGAAGACGTGGCTGCCTGTGTGATTGTGTGTTGTCATGGACCCGGCTGCGGCGGAGGTGCCTTCTCTTTTGCTTTCTGCGTTTTCTTGGTTCATTTCGCTGCTGGACGGTTGAATACTGCAGGAACATCAGCTATGACATCGCGCAATGCGCTCGAAAGCTCAGTATCTGGTGTTTCACCCAATTTCTTGGCTGCTTTCCTCTCCTGGATTTGACGAGCTGCCGCTAAATGAACCTCTGCTGCATTATCGACCCTCAATGATGTCTCACGAAGTGACGGAGGAATGACAGATCGAATTTGGGCATAGTTGTGAATCGAGTAAGCATTGAGCAAGTAGAACGGCGAGGATTTGTGCTGAATGACGGACTTCGTACGTGTGGTCTCAGTTCGCTCTTGACGAAGGCGACATTGACTGGTGTCTGTGCACTGTGATTGGACACAGTCATGATGGATGTTTACTATACAGATGATTTCCTAGATTCACCGCATGAGCATGTCAATAAGCTCGATTGAAGGATCGTGTTCAAACTTACTTGTGGGCTAATAACAACCTCATGTTCCGTGAGCTCGAGAGTGGGGAGGTGAAGCGAAGGATGCAAAACAGGTCCAAAAGCAAATTTCTGAACAGCGACATGGTTCACAGCTTTGTTAGAGTTTGAAATCAGGATCTCGCGAATGTGCCCAATGGCTGTGTGGGACGTTGAAGGGTCATTGAAAATGATATGGCCTTCTAAGGACGCTTTCTCACCATTGCCAAGAATCAACAAGATGCCTTCGCAGTATTGAGCATTACAGACAGGTTGTGAGAGCTCGAGTGTGGCGCAGCGCGTTGCTGTCCACATCACAGGTTTTGCTGCTGCAGGCCGTCCATCGTTGATAGTTACTTTCTTGAGTTGACCGGTTCCTTGAGTAATAGATGTTACAATCCACGATGCTCGGTATTCAATGAACACATTACCTGTCACAGGAGGTTCTCGTATATGAATTCCTAAAAGCCGTGTTTGCTCTGGATGCTCGTCAAGGTAGTTCAAAACTGCGTCACCTGCCCGAATCCACTTTTTCCTAACACTATCAAACCAGTAACCGCCGGTCGCGATATGTTTGATGATATCTTGCCTCACAAATACTTTGCATGTATCCTGGCTTGGACCTTGTCAATTGCTATGTATACATGCCAGCCGGAACATGTGATTGAACGACTCGTATCATTCAGTGGAAAAGAGAATGGCTGGTCCAAAGCGTCGAATGTATGCGGAAAGATGGACCAAAAAGTGGAATTTCGGCTTCGAGATGAGAATGCTTGGTGTGCATTTTGCTGTGACATTGAGGAAATCCTCAATTGTCTGGGAAAGCTTCGTCTATGATTCAATCAGCATTGGTGTGGCAGTGTCAGAGCGCGATCATACCAAGTATATCTCTATATCATCTATCTCTGTGTGCCAAACATACACAATGAGCTCACCAATACACGTCCAGCCATCAAGTACCATTCTCGGCAGTAAGTCTTGAATGAGAAAGGGCATGACTTGCGCCAAACTTTTGAAGTGTTTCCCTATGAGCCCACCCTTATAATGACAGATATACTCAGCGTTGAGACATGGAGCATTGAGCCCGGCCTTCTCAATAGAGTCGAGACGCATTTGAAAAACATCCAAAAGCTTTGCCTTCTCAAGAAGATAAACAGATTGACCCCAAAAGTACTTGACGACTCCCAGTAGAACTGTATGTAGAATTTCTGTTGGCGTGTCCTGATGAACATTGAATCCTGACGAAAGGTCAATGTAAAGCTGAAAACGAGGACATAAATGTTACCTTCCACGCCCAGTAACAGATTGATGGCGTCATCGAGAGCGCTCCCTCGCAGGAGGTCTTCGAGTTGCTTCTCTAGGATAGCCTTGACTTCAGCCTCTGGCTTTGCCTGAACGCCAGTACCCCGTTTGCGAAGTCTCTTCCCCAGCTCAACGACCATCTTGAGAATGTAACCAGTTATTGTGTCCTTCACGCCTGACGAAGCGACAGATTTCTTAATCTTTTATGTCGCACCCGAAGCAAGCGCAGAAGAAAACTGCGCATGAATCTCTTCTGCCATTCCCGCAGGAGTGCGAAGTTTTCCTGGCTACTCGGACAGTCAGTCAACATGGTGACAAGCAGGACAAGAATATGCTACATACCATGAAGATACTCTTGTAGCCCTCATCTGACTCTTTGTACTCTTTTGTTCCGCCAACTTCACACGTCCTGCAGAAGTAGTTGCAATGCAGCCCTGTGTGGCTACATTCCTCGGCCTGCATGGGATTGTCGCCACCGAGAAACAGACCATATAGCTCCAGCATAACTTCTTCTTCGTGCTTGCAGTCCCAAGTGAAGACTCCAGATTCCGCAGCTTTCCTATGATCACCAGTGTCATGTTTCGCTATAGCACATTATAAGTATCACGTACCTAATTGATTCTTGCATGGCGCTCATCATCTCCATTGGGGCTGCGTGAGGAGATGACGTGATGAATCGAATGCAAAACTCTTTCTCAAGCATTTCGCGAGGTAGATTCGCGTTCGACATGTACACTGCATGGTGCTTGTTCCATTGCTTGGATATATTGCCGGATACGTTGTCCATGAAGATTATGAGAGGGACCGAATACACCATACATCCTTGGGATTTCGCGCGCAAAGGATTCGGCACGAGTTTCGCATACTTGTGTGATGACTCCGTCAGCCCACAAGCGAGTTCATCATCATTGACAGATATTTCCCTGAAAGACCTTCGAAAGTTAGATGTTGGAATCACCTCCCGCTCGTCACTGACAATAAACCCATCCTAAGTCTATCAGTAAAAGTGAAAGTATGCGAAGAACGGACTCACCTCTGTTCGTTGTACAGTGCGGCCAAGTGCATGTAGCTGCTTGTCCGCACCATCATTCGTCAACGAGTATGATGCAAGAAAGAAGCACTCGGGTATAAAGTAGTCTCCCAACGCATCCTGCAAGAGCTCATTCATGAAGTAGATCTCTCCATCAACTTTTGCTGCAGGGGGCGAAGGGAGTTCAAACAGCATTTTCTCTCCATTGAACACCTGTGACATTCCCTTGCCGCCATCTTCAGGGTAATCCTGCATCGCAAAACGTGTGAGGGGGTTTGCATAGTCCTAAATGAGAACATTCGATGTCAGTGTTGAGAGATGAGATCATGTCGGAACTGCGTACCTTGGCGATGGCTTTTCCAACATCATTGAGATAAAATATATTGCCCGAACGTGCAGTTATCTTTTCCGTTGGATTGCCGACAAGCATTCGAACAGATTCCTGGAGCCGATTCAATGCGTATAGCGAGGGAACATCATGGGCGCCAAGTTCCTTTGCCCAAGATAGAACCGCCTTTTTCTGCGCCTCGGAGAATGGCAGCCTTGGAGAACTAAATAGTAATGCGGTAATATAGTGCTTAAATGATAGGTTAGCAGTGAAAATGCACGAAGATGTTGAAACATACAGCTTTTGATGGCCAGGGATAATTTGGATTGTCAGGCGAAACTGGACAGTTCAGATTTGTATCATGCGAGGCGGTCAATGTACAATCATCTAATGATGTAAATAAGCCTCCTGCACGGAATGAAACAGTGTCTCACCTAAAAGTTCAAACCCAAAGTCTGATTCCGTCTCATCATCAAAGCCAATCTCTTCACTCGCTGGGGCGAGCGGCATGGAAAATAATTGTTCCCCTGAAGCAAGGGCAGACTGCAACTCCTCGTACAAATCACATGTCTCATTGACTTGGTAGAAAGGACTGCTTGAGATTGCATCCCAGAGATCAGCAACTGGTACTACTTCGTGGTCTGGTCCATGTGTATCCGGGATATGGACAGCATTGTCGACGTCCATGGCGCTAGAAGTAAAATACGAGTCGCCGTCAGCAGGTGAAGGTAAACGTTCTGCTTCATGATGGCGCCGCTGCCTTCATTGTTGCTGCTGGGAAGGAGCCTTCGAGCCCATTGATGTCCAGGCCCTGGCACGACACTGATGTAGGCCAGTGGCAACATGCTTCAGTACATGCTTGGAATGCATGGTGCGCAGAGCATTATCACGCTTCAGACACACGTTGCAAACAACCTGAGATGCTCCGCAAAACTGCAAGACTGCATTTAACATCAGTAAATGCTATTCACGTTGAGCGCAAAACTTACTTATACCATCAACAGACCGCAGTGCGGCAGACATGGAACCTTTTGTCGAGTGATTGGAGTGTGATAATAATAGACTTGCGATTCTGAAGGTGACTGTTTCGGTGTAGGGATTCATTTCTGGCTAGGCTTGTAGAGACTGTCTTTACCTTACCTTATGTTGGCACTTTGTAGCTTACATAATGAAGTTACCTTTTCACCAGTTACCAGTATGAGTCTGAGTCTTGAGCAGTTTTTATGACATTTCCTCTCCTCTGAGCCTTGAGCCTGGTCCAGAAACCCTTTAGGGTCGAATAGCAGCTAGGTTCTGCAAGACCCAACATTGTTCAGACTCACCATCTGAATTGTTGTACCTTCATCGGATCACGTGATTTCTTGGGCGAATTTTGGCAAAGTCCAAACGGTCAGCTTGAGAGCGCTTAAGTCCCATCAACAGTGCTGAGGCCTGGAGGCATCATGTCAATTCTTCAACCTCATCAATTTTCAAGCTCAATCTTCTATCCAGATATGCAACTCGCTGAATCAAAAGATGTCATTCTACAGCCGTTGTCACTCTTGGTATGGTTTTCAGGTGCAGTACCTCGTCACCTCGCTCATTCAAATATTGTATGTGATCTGATTTTCTTGAATAACAGCTACCTTTACTGACGGATGTTCTATAGCCTATTGAAATTTCTGTGTCTTTGAAAGACGAATACAAATCATTCATGGTACCGGTAATCGAGATAGCATCTCAGCAGCCTCATCCCTCAAATAATGTATGTATCTGCACCAAACTCTTGCAACAAGACTGACAGTGTGTATCTGTAGTCCACGACTTTCAGTCAATCTTACTCTGTAACTGATAACGACATGTCATTTCCTTTCCTTCCACTTCCGCCAACATTCGACCACACAGATTCTGACCACTGGGCGGAACTCTTGGACAACATCCAATCATGGCTCGTGAAATCCGTGGATCTGAGTACGCCTGAATGGGCTTGGGGCTGGGAAGCGTTCTGGTATGCATTCATTGCTACCTATCCCGACTTCCCAGGCGGGAAATGGTCCTTCTGGGATTCTAGCATTTCCCTCGAGGGCCAATTTATCGAGGAGTGGGTGGGAAGTGGCAGCATTTTCAGTACAGTCATCGACGACGACGACAGCGAGCTAGCCTGTTACAGTAACATGGCATGAGTCCCCTGCCAGCAGAACAGCCCTCTGCCACCGCACGGCTATAGACGATACCGGAGTCTCACCAGCTCTATGACAATAGATGACGACAGATGATGATAGACGATAAGCGGCAACTGCTGGCTTAGATAAGCGGTCTGGACCGCACATGACGACACATGACGACATAGGTCTAGAAGACCTATTTATGTTATCAAGATAGAAGGCAAGCCTCGTGCTGCCTCATGTACTGATAGAAGGGTACCGCATGGACCCTATCTACGATAGAAGCCCGCCTCATGGACGCTATCTCTGACTCATGTAGATAAGCAGATTAGAACCCAGCTTTAGGCTGAGCTTAGATATGAAGAGTAGCCTTATATAAGGTCGAAGATTAACAGTAGACGTTCCTTACTTTAATCTTACTAGGTTTACCCTTGAACTCCTTGTCCCGCTAAAGCTACCTGCTCGACATCGACTCATACCTTCAGTGATGCCTCTCACTGTCTGTAAACCGCTATCATCTCAGCGTAACCCCTCGTTAACCACCATGAGCTACATTCGAGTACGCAACCTTTGCTTGTCTGTAAAGGCCGACGACTCTCAGCACTTGGTACCACTGTCGTGGTTGTCGCTGTTTAGATCATCCTAGTCGCACACGACCATTTGTCGTAACATAGCCACTGTCTCTACACACGCTGATACCCTGGACTACATTTGGACTGAATTTTTGAGGCACATCACACTTTTTTATCCCCATCCTTTGGTTTCTACTTCATGATTTTTCCTCCATTGAACAGTCTGGGACATTTAGCATGATATGTAGGGCACCATATTGTATCATGTCTGCATTTCTATGTCTTGTCTTTAAATCAGTCTGTATGTTCAATGACAAGCTACTTCATGATCAACTTCTCTCGTGGTTTGCAATGTGAGGCGTGAAATTAGACTATACTGCCTACATGATGTCTATAGCACCCTATACTTGTCATGTTGTCTACCCTATACCTGTCATATGTAAAATCTATATCTTGCATCCTATATGCTGTACAAGCAAGGCTGCCATTATAGATTCTACACTTACCGCATACATGACATACACCTTTCATATCATCAACAAAAGAGCCTGAAACATGTATGTCAATATATGCTGCCCGAAGCATATATGTTGAATATCAGGGCTTGTATCAAAATTTAATGCCTTATATGCACCTTATATGTACCTTGTAAGCTGGTTAACAGACTTGTGTACTCATGTAAGCTTCACAAGGCCTTATATGCTTCGGGCTCTTTTGTTGATGATATAAATCCTATATCTTGCTCTCTTTGCCGTGCATTTGTTGGTGTCGTTGTCTTGCCGATGCTTTACTCCGAGGCTCGGAAAGACACTGAATCAGCACACCAAGTTAGCTTGTTTCCATGCCGGGTAAATATCCTGAACTAGATCTTTTATGGTGACTTGACTTTGGATCATCGTCAAATAAATTTATTCTTTGTCGTAAATGTACCATTTATGTACGAGGTTCTGGCTTAGACTCGTAACCAGTCTGACTATGCATCAATTTGAGATGGTGAGAATTTATTGACGTAGTCAGACTGGTCGAACTCGGAGTGATTTGGCAGGCGAAGCGAGGAGTTTGAAATTTGACAGATGCTGGTATGCCGCTTTGGGTAACATTACCGCAAACTCTTTCTTTTGTACCGTGAAAAGTACAGTATCCTCTCAAATACGTTAACAGTACATCATGCTGGAGCACTACATAATACATGATTAGGATAAACTGCTCGAACTCCTGAACCTATTATTTACAAGGACAAATTTAATGCCTCGAGTGAGTGAAAATGTTGTATCTTTAGCGTACATGATCTCGCTGCAGCAATTTCAAAGGTGACTGACAGTGATAGCTGTCTTGTTGGGAGAAAGGAGTAGAGGGAGAATCATAGCAAGGGTCTTTCCAGAGCTTGTCGCAGCTCGAAGTACGACGTGTCTTGCAGAAAGTAATGATATGAGGCATCTGAGCCGGAACAATTTCGCGAGTCGGACGTTGTGATCCTTGCCAGTGGGAAAGAATATCGAGTCGCGAGAAAGCCTCGAGAACTTGCTGGTGTTGTGTCGTTGAGAGGGCCCTCGTAAAGTCCGTTGGGAGATTCTCAATTGTATCTCGAGCAGTGAGCGATAAAGGTCGTACAGAACTCATGGTTGAAACTTAACATAGCATACAGTCTGAGCGAGAGCAGACGTATAACTTGTGCCATATGATCGTAACTACCTCTGGCACAACCGGCACCTATCAAATTTCAAACTCCTCGCTCCGCCCTGCCACGCCTGGCTACACCACTTGTGCAACCGTGGTAGTACTAGATGTCCACGGGAGTTCGCGCCTTTTTGGCAAAACAGTTATTACTCCACATCGCACAAACAAACAAAATTAATTATTTGACAGTTCGATAGCGTGACATCGAAAGTACAACGTCTGCTAGTTTCTTTTTCGAAAATTGACGTGTTGAGTCCAGCGGAGAGTTACCGCGCAGAAAAGTGCATTTTCCCTAGAGTTCGCGCACTTTGTCACACTATGTCACACGTCTGCCGCAATGCCTTTTCACGCTCCGCAGAATTCGCACCGTTTAAATGTTGTGAAGTTGTGCATGTGTAAAGCATTTCGGCATTGCGGAGTTTTGATTACACAGTCTCTATGTAACGCTTTGGGCAGATTGTCACGTCTGGGGCTTATTTCTTTATCGCAGATGATCCTGACAAGCATGTGCCCCGAATAAATTTGTTTTAGTATTCTCTAATCATGTATATAACCATCTCACAATATTCCAGAATTATATGTGGAGATCTGACCTTTAGAGTGAGCCTTCTATGCCTCTCGCACTGATAAGTTGCCCATGGAACAAGATCTACTTCGATTTTCTTCAAAATATATATATGGGAGTGTGTATTATGTTTGGGCGAATCCAGATCTATCATGGATAAGGATTCTGTGCAGAATTGCGTGTGCTAGAGTCAATGCGCGGACTCTTGGGACACACGGACTCGTGGGACCATCTAGTATTAGGCCAGGCTGGTCACGAGCCTAGTTCTGGCTGTGTCATATACATTTAAACTATTTTTCGTCAAATATTCAACGTGCGAATTTGACGATTGGCCGTGTAGCTGAAGCGCCCTTGAATTGCAAATTTTGTGGCGCACGCCGCTGCCAAGACTTGACGCCACTCAGCCCAAAATACAACTCGAACATTCGTCTAGTGCGTAAGACGACCTCCTTATCGTGTTTCTCAATCACTGATGCCAGACACCGTTCAAGGACTGTGGATGATAAATTTTCATCCACTAAGTTGAATAGGACCAGGGAGTATTCGTTAGTCATTTGAGTGCTCCCCATGACTCATCCAAAAAACCAGCCTGAGGCCTAGGGCGGTACAATCATTTTCATATCGATGTAGGAACGTTTGATCCCGCGGAAGCAATTCGCGTGCCAACACTCCTGTCTGCGCTCCACCTGAGCTTCACCTGGACTCCCAATCGGCAAAGCGTTGTGCGCTCCTATATCAAGTTCGTGATCGAGTGATCACTCCTACCCTGTCCTTTCAACGCCGCCGATCGGAGACCTGATATAGGCCAACTTCGAATGCTTGCGAACCCAACCTCTGTGGAACAAGCGCAATGTATCTTTAAATTGTGCAACGCTGTATTACTCTAATTTATTCTTCATCCACACAAGTATCCGTGCGACAATTTCTTGCGTGTCTTCCGGGTCTGAGCTCGCACATGGTCAGATTTAAACGGCACTGTCGAGAGTGCGATGTCGGCGAGCCTTTCGAGCACTTACGGTTTGCAACAGACGATGAGGAAATACGACCGCGAACATAGTGTACATACACGTTTTATTGTAATTCACCAGACAGTACACCACCCCCAAAGATAAACGGAACACTTGTTGGTATAATCAGAAAGAAAGCAGAGAAATATATATATCGATGGTCTAAAATACAAAGTATCTGCCAAGGAAAATATTAACGAGCTAGTATGCAAATAAGTTACTCTAGAATCCTCGAGCTCGGCCCCTCGAAGGGTTCTGATAACCTCCTCCATTGTAGCCACCTCCATAGCCACCACGAGCCTGCCCGCCATTCTGGTTTCCATAACCCATGTAACTCCCGCTGTTGTCTTGTCCTCCTGAACCACCATAGCCACCTCGGCTTGCCTGGCCACCGTAGCCCCCGTAACCACTGTTCGCCTGTCCACCATACCCTCCACTGCTGCCACCGTACCCACTAGGGTAGCCTCCACGGCCATATCCCGGTTGATGAGCGGTTTGAGCATAGGATGTAGAACCTGCATACCCGGAACTACCGCCACGGGGAGGGCCGCCACGGGGAGGACCACCGCGGGGTGGGCCACCGCGGTTGGGTGGCATTCCACGCGAGGGAGGAGCACCTCCTCGAGGAGGTGGACCACCACGCGACTGACCAGAATAATTATTACCATAATTTTGAATCGGTGGCCGTCCATTGGAGCCATAGCCTCCGAATCCTTGCTGGGGCCCTTGAGTGTATGGTGTTCGAGACTGAGTGGTAGTGTACGAGGAGACATATGATGTCGGTGTTTGTGATTGGCCATGGTTGCCATACCCATGTCCGTTGTTGTAAGAGCCGTTCTGATAACCACCTCGTCCGCGACCGCCACGATCCATACCGCCCCCTCGCCCATGTCCTCGGCCCCTCCGAGCTAGATCCTCGCCAGTAAGTTGTCTTGCAGGTTTTATAACCCCTGGAAGAAACATCGATCGATGGGGAGAGAGTTGCTTTGGAAAAAAGTATAATGCGGAGAGAGAACGATCATTTTTAATATCTTGCAGGTCCATGGAACTCAAAGGGGAGTAATACGTCGAGCCAGGTAAACAATCGGGGTTTGGTAGAACACTACCGCTAATGCCCTTGGACAGGTTGGTAGGTATGAGTTGGGGCTGAGTAGTTGTAGTCAGTAACAAACCCGGTTCTGGTAGAATTGACGGCATACCTCTTTCTCCTTGCGCTTACCATATAATCCCTCGAAGAATGGATATATTGAATGTTCATCAGCGACAAATATGACATTTTGACCCCAGCTGTTTCTTCGGGCTTCATCCTCAGTGAGCTTAGGGTAGTGCTCGGCCATCGCATCCAATAACCTTTTCTCGTCTATGAAAGGCAAGAGAGCAACACCTTGCCACAACATCTTCTTCCCATTCATATCGATCTGGAAAGTTGATGGGTAGAAATCATGAATTGGAGATTCTTCGTTGGTCATGAGATCGTGGAAAACTTCAGGTATGTGCTTGCGACTGACGATACTGGTGAGCTATGTAGTAAAATTATTACTCAATATGGACGTACCTAGCAGGGGGGAAAACACCCATAAGTTGCTCGTACGGTTTGAATGGCTGTCCGAGAGTAAAGTCGAGTTCCATGTTTTCCAAATCTTCGAAGTCCGACGCGAAAGGTGCAAAATGATATGGGTAATACCATTGCCACGAGGGGGTCTACTACCGAGTCAGCAAATAAAGGCATATCGGCGGACGGAGCTCACCCCTTGATAGTAGTAATGCAGAACCCACGCAATACCTTCTACATAGTGTTTTGTTAGCCTTTGCACAGTAGAGTCAGCCAAGTTTGTGCAGAAATCAATAACAAAAGCGCCCACTTTCTACGGAAATCATTATCATTTTCTGATATGCCAAACTTTTGCTGATAGTATCGCTTCTTATACCCGGGATCATACAATCTGAGGAAATGTTATTCACAGCATTGGATAATTTCACAGCATTTTCATACCTCACGTTATCGGCCTGCTCAACTGAGCCATCGGCCCTGACTACCAGGGCGTAAGACGCATCTTCGTTATCTTCAGACGACTCCTCATCAATGCCAGCCACTTCATCGGTGTCCTCTCCCTCGATATCTTCAAGCTTCCGCTTGACACCAGCGACAGGTGTTACAGGCTCATCAGCTGGAAGAGTTACAGGATCATTGGGCTCGACATCCATGTCACCAGCCCCATCATCAACGAATTCAAGTGCTGATGAAGCATTCCCAAGACCCGGAATATCTCCGTCATCCATAAGCTCAGCCTCTGTTTTGGGTGGAGGGGTAGGAACAACCGGCTCAGGTTTAAGAGCAGAAGCACTCTGTTTCACAGGAATGAGTCCAGATAGCTCAGCCTTGAGCATCTCTGCAGCACTCATGTTCGCCATCCGTATAGCAGCTCGATTGGCAACTACATCACGATTTGAACCAGCTAGTGCTTGCGCTGCAACTGGAGCGACTTCAAGAGACTGAGCATTACGCGGCGCTCCGAGACCAATAGAGTCGGCCTTGGCAGCAAAAGCATTATCTGCACGTTGAGGAAGAGATGATAGTGATGTAGTGGATGCAGTCAGACCAAGTTTCGCAGATGGAACGGCGAACTGAATATCGCCTGCGGCGTTCTCTCCAGACCCAGACTTTTCAATCCTACGACGTTTCGCCTCTTGATCTTGGCGTTGCTCAGCTAAGATATGGTAAGTCTCTAAGGCGTTGACGGATCACATCATAGATACTCACTCTCTTGTCGCTTACGGAAGATCTCATCTTCTCGTCGCGCCAGTCCCTCTAATATGATCTGCGCACGACTAAGCACTAGTTGACCATGGTTCGTCAGATATCCACCCATTCTGGGCAACTCCATCTTCCAGATCCTCAAGAGAGTATCAATCGCTCCTTCGCGAATCTCAAGTGACGGCAAATGCGGCAAGAAATCGTTGCCGACAAAGAATATGAGTAACACCCAGTCATCAATAGCCATTTCCAAATCGAAAGGGAAGGGCGTATTGTTCACATTCAACTCGGATTCCAGATACTCGCGCAGAATGGCGACATCGAGGAAAATGAACGGTTTTTTTTCCGGTGGAGGAGGCTTTTTAATCTCTGATTTCAGTGCTGTACATTGAGCGGCATAGTGACCTTCTTGTCCACACATTCGGCACCCGGAACCTTTGTCCTGCGCAAACACATCTTCCCGAAGTACTCGGAAATATGGTTCATGGGTCGCGAGGGCGAGCATAATGAGATCAGCATCCTGAACATACGGTCAATAACACAGAGCACGATAGCTGAAAATCAACCCACCAAACCATAAATTACGTGTCGAGTATTAGGCTCATGACCGGGATTTGTGCGTTGTCTGCGTATGAAGTCCATAATCTTATGCTCTCCTTCTCCAGGCACACTTGCATCCGAGATGATGACTTGCAGCTATACCAGAAATAAGTCAGAAGGATCCCTAGGAAACATTCACTACGTACATCTTTCCACCCTGGATCAGTATTCATCTTCTCCACGACCCAGTACCGTAACGACGCTGTTAAAAGGTCCATAAACGGCGTACCGGGTGTGATAGCGTTAGAGTCCCAAGATTCCTTGTTTTTCTCGTCATCGGTAATAGTCTTACCCATAGCTGCAATGATGAAATCGGTCAGAAATACAGCATAGATTGGTTCTGAGAATAACGTACCTTCCCACTCAGCGACAGCAAGTTTATGAGCTTCCGCCTTGTCTTTTGCTTCTTGAGCAGTCCTGAACCGTCTACTCCGCTGTTGATTCATCTTGGCACGAGGTGCAACGCCGTCTAATTGCACTCTGCAGTAAGTTCGTGGCATGAGACAACATAAATGTAAAGCGCACCAATAGCCATGAAAAGAAGTTTGCGCGGCCGCACCATGTTAACCACTCTGTTAGTGTATTTGAAGACTTCAAGCATCATTTCCTCCTCCGTCTCGGGAGCCGGCTGCGAAAGACGAGTCAGGGAGTAAAACAAATTTATAGAACAAAGTATGCGTACTTTGCCTTCGGGATGAGTACAAGGATGGACCTTTGTGCGTACGGATGGTCAGCACGAAAAACGTATTTACTACCATCACTCACGATACCGTTCATATCCAGGTATAAGCTGTCGAATTCCTCGCCATTGGGGTTAGGTTGTGAAATGTCAACGGGAAGTTTAATAGGATCCCCAGTTGCGTCGAGAACTTCCTCCTCCTCCGCTTCAACGACAGATGATACTGGTAACTGTTAGCCAAGCAGATACCGGTAAAGCACCGTTTGCTCACCAATTTTCGGATATTTCTTGCTCAACCAACGGAACAGTGCGGGAACGCCCTATAAATAAGGTCAATGAAAGCCCAATTCGAAGTTTTAGAGAACATACCATTGTACCGTAATTCCGATGTAAACGAAGATTATAATGTGATCGTCCACGAGCAAGGACTCTAGCGGCGGCGCGCCGACTGCCACGACAAAGCAAAATGATGGCCGTGAGAATATATGCTGATGTAATCAAAGTTCCCACGCTCCCCAGACTATGACTCGGTACGATTGGAAACGATCAAGCAAAGTTGAATGTAATGTCTACTGTTCTTCTGATCATTAACCCTTTAACTTCGTCAAATAATCTACTGAAACGATGAGCGCAACTACAACTATTGTAATGTCCGCTCTTCCTTCTAAATCCACGATCAAGCTCGCTCCTGCTCCATCTCATGCCGAAGCATCATCATCTCAGGCCCAGAATCAGCCCCCCAAGTCTCAAAAGCAGATGACCAAAGCGGAGAGACGCGAACAACAAGAGCGTCAGAGAGCTGCAAAGGCTGCTACTAAAGCAGCTGGTCCCCAACCTAGCGGATCTAATCAGAATTCTGCTCAGGTGAAGAAAGGCGCACCACCTGCTGCAAGCACTAGTGCTTCAGTCAAGAAGGGTGGAAAAGGTCCCGATGGAAAACCAACGAAGGACACAAAAGAAACCACATCCGATGACTCTGCTCGTGGTTTGCGGATATTCTCCCATTTTGGCCTCCCCAAACCCCCTGGCCCTAGTAAGGGAGATATACACCCCGCTATCATCCGCCTCGGATTGCAATTTTCGGAGTTCAAGATCGTAGGGGCAAATGCGCGCTGTATTTCCACCCTGACTGCCTTTAAAACTGTACATTACGATCGTCCTGGTCTACCGAACATTGCTGATGTTTATCAAGGTGATACAAGACTATGTCACTCCTCCTAACAATACGCTCTCGAGGCATCTCTTGACACATCTTTCGCCTCAAATCACTCATCTTGTTTCTGCTCGCCCCATGTCTGTCACTATGGGTAATGCCATTCGGGAGCTCAAATTAGAGATCAGTGGATCGGATATCGACCTTCCGGAGCAGGATGTCGGTTTCAATCATTTGTCCCTGTCATACATGGCACTCACTCACTCTTCAGGCGAAAAATCTTCTTTGTCAAAAGATAGATGATTATATCAGCGAACGAATTACTATAGCAGATCAAGTTATCCAAGAGACTGCAGGGACCAAGATCAAAGACGGAGACGTCATTCTGACGTATGCTCGGTAACAAGCTTCACACCTTCCCATTATCATCCGCTCATGATTATTTGCTCAGATCTTCAGTTGTAGAACAAGTTCTGGTCGGTGCGTGGGATGATGGGAAGCAATTCTCGGTTGTGGTCGTCGATTCCCGGCCAATGCTAGAAGGCAAGAGGCCCTATTATCATAGCCCCGTTTGCAATCTCATACTGTGGCCTGCGGAATAGGCAAGAAGCTTCTCTCCGTACTTTCTGCCATGGGCATTCCCTGCACTTATCTCCTTCTGCCATCCATTGGATCTGTCATCACAGAGGTGTCGACAGTCTTAGTGGGCGCTCACTCCCTACATTCGAACGGCGCCGTATTTTCCCGTGCAGGCACGGCCCTCGTAGCTATGATGGCAAAACAGCACAGCGTTCCTGTCGTTGTTTGCTGCGAGACATACAAATTTGCGGAAACAATCCAGCTAGATAGTTTTACCAAGAACGAGCTCGGTACGTTTCTCGTAGTCGGTATCCTTCATCTCAAACTAATATTAACACCCTGTAGCACCAGCTGGCGATATATTTTCGTCCTTCCCCCTCACTCGGTCAAAAGATACACTTACCCTCAACAAACAGCTCAATCTAGAAATCCTCAATCCGCTTTACGACCTGACGCCTCCTTCAAGTATCACGGCAGTCGTGACAGAAGTCGGAGTTATTCCGCCAAGCTCCATCAGCTCGATTCCACTCGCACTCGGTCGCACTACACTGTAACATACCGCACATAACATTGTTATCTGATCACGAGTAGGAAGTTACAATCATACGATTTAATTGCATACATGGCATGGTGCATTGTATATTTATGTGCTTTGCTCTGCACTGACCATCAGTCCATTTGTCAAATAACAGTATTTGTGTTTGTTCCCCCTATTATATAATTACTACTTGCCTGGCTTCGAAGTTTGATGTCAGCATGGTCTCCTGATCATGGGTCCCACTTCGGAGTTAGCTGTCCGGTCCCTGGAGAGGCGGCCTGGGTCCTGCGTTCGAATGTAAATAAAGAGAAGGCGTGAAACCCGAGGAATAACAACAGTAGAGAACTTCTCAGATGATCAGAGTGATGGGGAAGTCCTGACTCTATTAGTGGAGACAACAATCTTTAGAGACAGCATATCGATGCATGCATAGGGTAAACAGTAGAATTACAATTACGATTATGGCTTCTCTCTAGTGTCTTGACTCTCAATTAGCTTCTTCTCTATCCACTCGAACGCCTTGTCCGTTGCCGTCTCAACGGGGTGATCGAATATGTACGGCAGGAAAGGAACGATAGCAAGTCCACTGATAGTTGGACCCCACGTCTTCAATCTCTTGTTTTGCACGTTCGTGAAAGCTTTCTTTGCTTGGTTGACGGCGGTATGAATTGTGAATGCGGGTAGCGCCCTGTGCGTAATGGGATCATCCAATGAGAACGATCGTAACGAAAAGGCATAATAGTTAGGAACGTGCACGTACATTGATGCTACAGATTGGAAAACCGCACGTTTGACGGCTACCATACCTACTCTTGTCGGCTCGGAGAAATGGGCGGCTTCTATTGGGCTGGGTCCGCGTCTATGAGTCTTATACGCTTCGTAGCTCACGTCGCTGGTATCATGATAGTATGGCTCGTCACTAGTCGGCACAGAGATTGATGAGACGGCACGCACCCAGCCAGATATAACCATGAAATACCGTAGCATGCAGTAACTATGGCAGGGGGTACTACGGGACGAAATGCCTCTCCGACATCACTAGTCTATGATCAGTGTTCACCACGAACAAAAGGAAGTCGAGTGATGCGAAGAAACGTACATATGCAATGTAACGACTGCCGGCACGCACTGCAGTCCTGAGACGAGCAGCATATGCCATGTAACGCAGATCAGAGTCTGTGCTGTCTAAATTTCTGTCAGCTAGAGAAGATATTTCATTCTGTGCTTTCTCTGTCACTGTTCGCGACATGGTTGCAGACTACTGCCAGTGGGTCATTGGTTTAGTATTGAAATTACATAAGGTGAAATCGAGGGGTCATTTTTCTTGTTTGACCCCGTGTTAAGTAACGTTAGTCTCACCGACACTCGCCGACTCCAACAATAAGTAATGTCCTCGACAGCCCTTGCAGCGCTGGACTCTCAGATGGACAACATCGACGTCCTTCGTAATTCTCCCTCTCCAGATGATTCTACAGCAAAGATCAGCGCATATTATTCTCTTGTCTTCCCAAACATCACTTTCTATCTTCAGACCCTGACAGTCACTATTGGACGACGCTGCGTACCCAATGCATCTACATCTGCTGGCGACAATAGTCCTGTTGATGTCGATTTGGGACCCCTCAAGAGTGTATCCAGGCTCCATGCCAAGATCGAGTACGAGGAGGACGAGGAGCGCTTTGTTCTCGTCGTCGTAGGCAGAAACGGCGCTTGGGTGGACGGTGTTTGGTCTGGCAGCGGTAGCAGAGTTCCTTTGGGGGAAAGGTCTGTATTTGATCTCTCATGAGCCGGGAGCGTGTCTAACCGTGGATCAGGTCTCAAATACAAATAGCTTCTAGGACCTTCCATTTCGTGCTCCCGCCCCCTCCCGCACCGGAGGACTCGCCCTCCCCGAGTTCAAATTCATCAGTGCAGCGTGCACGTTCACCCTCTGTCGATATCACGTCTATATCACCGCCTTCCTCTCTTCCGTCGAATTCGCCGCCCCCCGTCTCCGTACCAGTACCGCCGCCAAAGTCACCAGACCCACAGCTCCCAAATACGAACAGTATACCCAGGGTAAAGACCGCGCCCAAAAAGCGCAAGAAATCAGACCTGCCTATACCAAAGCCAGAGGTTATGCCCCCAAAACCTCAATTCACATACGCTCAGCTCTGTTATCGAGCTATTAAGGCAATGGGTGGCAAGGCCACACTGCAGGATATATGTTCGTGGATGATGGAGACTTATGACTGGTACCGGTACAATGAGGGTGCAGGGTGGGAGGTGAGCTATCTTATCTCTGACATTGCACCTGACACTCTAATGGCTCATCTACTTTTCAGAACTCTGTTCGACACAATTTATCATCCGGCCGTGCATTCAAGAAGATGGAGAGGAGTTCTGGAGAGCGAGGGAAGGGATTTTATTGGTCCGTGGACGAACAATATGAACACACCTTCGAGGAGCAAGAAGCCAGATCACAAGCTGCATCGTCAAGTACGGGTGGTAAAGACGGAAAGGGCAGGAAGAAGGAGAGGGCAGCGCCTCTAGAACCTGCACTCAAGCGCAGCATCAAGGGCGACATCAAAGGCGTTACTCTTCCGCCGCCGCTGACATCAACGCCACTGCCGTTCAAGTCTTCTAACTCTATACCACACACAAATCCGTTGACAACAGTCCCCCTTGCGAGTCCTTTTACAACTACACCCGTTATTAAGTCAGAGCCTTTCACGACATCCAAGCTCACTTCAACAGTGCATCCAGCACCAGGAGCTGCATCTCCGCATGTGGCTCCTGCACTAGCATCGACTCCTTCGTCGGAATCTTCCGCATGTGCAGCATCTAGCGCGGCATCTGCACCCTTCTCAGCATTACCGGCATCTGTTTGCCTACCCATCATTGTTGGACCTGTTCCAGCTTCGCATCCTTCATCCTCGAACCCTGAGCAGGCACAACCTATCATTCTTCATAATAATACCCTCATACTATCTCCCACGATCTTTTCACATTTGTCTCCAGAGCAGCTCAGAGAGCTCGAGGCGCTTGGTGCCCAGAAAGCTCTAGAAATATTACAAGGTCATATAGTGCGATATCTGAAGGAGAAAATGACACGTGGACGCGGGCGGACGAAACGCGCGAGAGGTGGTCGCGGGGGCCCGCCTGGATCTCGTGACAACAAAGCCCCTCCAGCAGGTGGGCCGTTTACCACTACGCCACTCCCATCACGGACGCCTCAACTAGTCACGGTGCCGGATTTCGAGAGTGCCCAATCTCAAGCACCAGCTGCCCATCCGCCGACTGCTGAGAGTGTTGCTGTCAGTGTCGCAGAAAAGCCACCTGTGCCTGTGCCAATAACTTCATCCGCACCTTCCCCTCGTAGCGAATCTCCTATCATTGTTGTAGACGACGTTGATTCGGCTGATGAGGGTCCCGCGATGAAGAAGCGCCGGATAGATATGTTTTGTTAGCATCAACGCCGTTCATTTCCCACACCTTGGTCATTGCATACGTTTCACGTCTTCGTCTCTACACTTTTCATGACCTACTTTTACCAGCCCACTATAGTTCATGCGATAATTTGACTCGGCAGTAACATACGATCCTCATGGAAGCATGGTTATGATTCATAGGACTATAGATCAGAATTTCACAGGTCTTATTGTACACATTCGTGAGACGTTAGCCAATGCAAAAAGGATAGTAGCCAATCGGAAGGAACATGTTGAAGGTTATAGCAACTTGAGAGTAAATGGTATAATCAAGTACACAACAGCGAACGTCAACGTTCGAGAAACAAAACCACAACAAGAGAGTATGTGTATGAAAGCAGAGGACAAAACGTTTGAGAAACAATGAGAGCATGTATGAAAGCAGAGAACATCACGTTGACGTTCACAAAGCACGAAACCACAACAAAAAAGCAAAGACAACGAAAGTGAAACAACGAAACAACGACACGCCAAAAACGGACAAACGCCTGTCAACAGTCGGCTGTACCCCTAATGAGAGTGCTGGCACCTGCGAAAATTTTGCAACTCGTTCCACGTCCACGCCAGGATTCCGCAGCATCCATCCCACGAGTAACTTGTTCTCCTCCCTTCACCTTCACCTACGTGTTCGTGGGTATCTCTCACCGCGGAACCTCTGCGCAAAGTTGTCTAGGATGCGCACTGCGAGCTTGTAGGCTTCCGTTCCGTTCACTAAATGGTCGGTCACCACAGCGATCAAGTACCTTTCAAGACGAGTTTCCTGGACTTCCGCACGAGTAGCCCAGTCCTTGTCATGGTCGATGTCTTTCAACAACTTCAGAATCTCGCCTTTGGACATAATCTCCTGTTTCCGAAAAGTGTGTAAGTTAGCGTTCATCACCACGACTGCAACAGAGAAATACGCACTACGTTATCGTCGAATAGAGCTTCTATATCAGCACGGGAGATTCCCTTCAACTTTCCCGCCCACATACGCACTTTTCGGGAGATTGCACTCGCATAGAGCAGTGCTCGCTGAGGATCACCGGTTTCGACCTCGTCGTCCGACACCTCCATGTCCTCCACCCTGACCCTGCTGCTCGACGCTACGGCACTCCCACCCGGGGCCGGCCTTTTGTAGCTGCGCACTACAACTGAAACCCCACTCCCCCGAGCCGAATGCTTTGGTGCTTGAGTATCATTATGGGAGATGGAAGGCTCTGCATGGTTGTTGCGCGCATCCGCTATGGATCGCGGGCCGTCCAGAACGACATCGTCGACAACTTCGACACTGCTGGACGAAAATCTGCCTGAAGACGACGAAGGTTCGATTGACGAGCGTGGCCCTGGCGAAACAAGATCGATATCACTCGTCGCTGAATCTGAGTCGAGACGAGGTCGTAGCGCTCCTTTTCGCTTTAGGCGCTTTTGAGGACCGCCTTCGGAGGTGTCGCTGGATTCTGAGTCGAGGCGGCGCTTGGCTGTGTTGACTTTGATCGACGTTGATAGGATCTGAGTCTGAATACAATGCTTCGGGTCAGTGCGATTTCACAATTTATAGAGTACCATTGATACTCACATTCCTTTGCTTCTGCGTGCTCTTTTGATTTTTACGTTGCTTTTGCAACAGACTGTTCTCTTCGTCACTGCCAAGGGTGAGGTCAATGGCATCTTCCGTGACAGTGGGAGTGGGTGGGGGAGTGCCAGTGACATAAGTAGTAGTAGACTCCACAGTACCATTTGGTTGGTTGAGCACTCTCTGGGGTTCTGTATAAAGTTTAGAATCAGATATCACTGTCACTGAAGGCATACTCATATTACCTGAGGTAGCAGGTCTATCATCAACAACAATAGAATCAACAGGATTGAGAGGTTCCCTAGATTGAGCTAATTGTAATCGACGTGAAAAAATGAAGCGCAAATTTGGATTCCTGGGTGCAGCAATAAAGGAGGAACCTTGATGAGCAGCTTGGAATGTGCTAGTGAGCTGAGAGTGTAATGGTTGGAAAGTTTGGCGTAGTGGCATATAAGCAGATGGGGTGCCTGAGGCAGCAGGTACCAAATTCGGACCCTCCATCACACCTGCAATGGTTCCAGTGTCATGCCGGGCAGAATGATTGAAGGTAACAGATGAAGCAACAGTAGGTGATGCAGGATGAGCTTCTTGAGGTTGCCTTGCAGGGATGCCTCTGGTATATACTAATGGATCTGACCATTGCACATGATGTCCAGCAGAATGATTGCTCTGTGACTGGGCACTTGCATCAGAAATGACAGAAGGCAAAGGTTTAGAAATAGTAGGTGGAGCACTATCAATGGAAAGAGGGCTATTTGAAGGATGTGCCATTACTAGAGGGTGTTTTAGGGATGGTGGTGGTATTTGGTTGAGGGATGAAACAATAAAATATAGACCCATATCCCAATTTATAGCGGAGTTTGAACTTTATTAGTAATCTGACTCATTCACATATTCTTAATCTTCTGGAAGGTTCTTCATTCTCATGCCAAGCAATTCTTCAACATTATGAGTCTTGTGGCTGACTATCTGTTGTGCAGTAACTGGTGGAGAGGAGATGCTTATTTTAATAATGCTGGTCTCTTATCCCACTGCATGTTGCTTCTAATAGATTACTTGCATTGTTTGACTTACTTGTATTTTACTCATCTTGAGTACTACATCATAGCATGAGGCAGGTTATTTCTGAAGTACACTTCATCTGAGTCACTAAATATTGATATTTACCACTACTCATCTATTTCTGGTGACAATAATTCTCCTGCTGCACTGGAACAGTGTCATGCACCAAATGTGAGAGACATTTGACTTAAAAACTACAACATTCCCAAGGCTACTGGAGTGGGTCTTATAGTTCTTGATTTTCTCACTTTTATAGTGGATTTTAAGATCCTGCAGACCTGTGCAATTAGCATTCAGTGTTTAACTCAATCTGTATTTAAACAGACAACTATGATTGTTCTTGGGGCTGTCTTTGTAAACAATTTTGTGCCCCTCTTTCATCTGTCCCATGTCCCAGAATTCCTGGTACTCTGAGTTGCCAACTTGCATCACTCATATTGGGCTCCTTCATATATTATTTGATTCCTCCGATGTCTCATGTCTTCATGTCTTCTGATGTTGGATGTTTCATCTGTAATTCACACTGGTGAATGATTTGTCTTGCACTTTAGGTTGAAATTATGATCAGTTGACTTGACAGGGACTGTGCAAAGGGAGCATGATGGCTGGATGAGAAACGAGGCCAAGTCGATATGCTACAGCCTCCTCTGCTACCATCTGATCAGAATAACAAATACTATAACACAATTATTATGATACATAGATAGGATGACAACTCATACGGTACTAGGTAGACTAGGATGATGTGTGAAAGCCGAAGTTCCCGTAACAAAAGTTGGACTCAGAGACAATGGACTTTGCCACACCGGCTGGCTCTACTGCTTATACTTGGTAGTGCGTGAGCTAAAGACAATGCATGTGTGGCAAAATGTGCGCATTGTGGAAGCTGTAGATCAGTACCCTACTTTACACCATTCCTTGCCACTGTAAACACGACTCGAGATAACGGCGGCTTCGCACATAGATGTTCGCCGAGTGTACGCACAATGCCAAGTCGCAGTCAGCATCCCCCAGCGTGTCATCCGTACACAACTCGGATCTGCGCCGTTCCTCCCAAAATGCACCGGTCCGCTCTATAAGAATATGTGAAATATGAATCGGCAGAATCTAGATACAAGCTTACCCAACTCACACATGCACGGTATCTGACACATTAACTTATCATGTCCATAGTGAGAGTGATCATAGCTATTCGCAGCTATGAATACGAAGACAATGGACGCCGATGAAGTACCGGATGTGAACGAACTATCCGCTGTGTCGCCGCCGGTGGAGAGGGCACCACGGAGCCTATCCGCAGTGTGCATGGAGCCACCAGATTTATCTCAGACCAGTGAGGATGAATGGGTGATACTAGGAAGTTGATAACTCCTCGAAGCGGGTGACTCAATGATTTCATGCAAACTCACTGAAGGAACACTGATAAGGAATCAGTGCCAGTGGCTGAACTCGGAAGTTGGTGACGATCCATGGGTGAGTTTGGCTGAAAACAGGCATTCGGAATTCTCCTATTCAATTTGCAAAATGTTGAGTTTACTGATATCGTACGTCGGTCCCCACGGGGGAATTTGTGCCAGCAGTTCGGCATCTGCCTGCACCTTGATTACACGTACTAACCATTGAAGAGAACGGAAGACGTTTGTGGGTGGGAAAACGGGGGCCACGTTCTAGCCCGAGGTTCGAGAAGGTGCGGCTAAATGTACATGGGCGTAGTCAATACATGGTTAAAAGCAGTGCAAGACCGTGCATGCTCTCATTCGCCCTTGGTGGAAAGTAAGGTGGGATGACTGCGGCGAAACGAAGCTTACTCGGTTTGATCCAGAGAAACGATTTCATTTGCCGACTCGGGATCAGGTCACCGGTCCTACCACACTGGTGTGCAATGTGCATTTTGTCGAAGTACGTTTGCAAGCGAACGTGCGATAGGTTAGGACCCGTGGCACCCCATGTGATTGGACGGCCGAGTAGAGTAGAAAAGTCCGTTCTAACGTTTGGATTCAGGATTCTTTCGTTCCTACAAGGTAAGATGCTTGTCGCTCGATGAATTCTCCGCATTTTGTGCTAAAATGACTTGGGGAGGCTTATAACAGATACACCGCGTCGAAGGTTGCGACAGTGCGACTGCTGTGCTTATTAGTCATCATTCTAACAAGTCGACAAAGCACGTGTCTCGTCCATATCGTCATTCATCATTCTTCAAAAACACTCTCCTCGTCGGCACTGCAGGTCACCGACAGTTATCTTTGTTCCACCGCATAAGGATTATTATCTTCAAGTACTTGTCGACAAGTGCTTGTCTTCATTCCAAAAGGTCAAAGCTGATCCCTAGTCGGGCACAGAATCAGCTACAATCGTGACCTGGAACGAAAGCCACTGAATATGACATTCGGTGCATCAGATGAGAGTCTTCCACATATCCCTCTACGTCCTTTCCGAAACCAAGTCGGTGGCCACAATGCGATCTATAGATTTACCAAGCGTGCCGTGTGCAAGGTATGCCTGGTGATGTTCTGTCATGATCCGGTTCTAATAACATCGTCTACAGCCTCTGGTTTCGAGAGAGAATCAGTTTTATGAAGCTGTTGAGCGAGAAGCACCTCCTTTACTTGGATTCATTCCACGTTATCTTGGCGTGATGCTTGTCACTTACCGACGCGTATCCAAAGGCTCGTTACCAGCCACCAACTCGAATGTACCGGACACGCATACTCATCCCCATTCCGCCTATCCACCGCCTCCTGACTATCGCAGACATAATTCCTACCTTTCTTGTCCCACTCAGGGGTTGACATCCCAGTTTCTGGAAGACGATGATGTGTCAAGTCATGAAACATCCGATGAAATGCCCGAAGTGGTGCTTGGCCGTAATCGTCACATTATTCCTGAATGGGTTCTCCATCTTGACGGGCCGAAACACGATCGTCTACGCGGTGTGGTTGCATCAACACCTAACCTTGTGCGACCAGAGCCTTCATCAATGAAGTGCAGCCCTTTCTTGCGTCAGGCTACCATACCTCCCCAGGAGGGGGAACCGCTAACTCCTTCCAACTCACCCGAATGCTGTTCAGGCGTCCTTCCAACGCCATTTTCAGAATCCCATTCAGCTCATCGTACGTTAGTACAGGAGGGGATTCACCCACCTTCCTTGCATCATTTGCATTCCGAACCGGGGATCGGGCAGCAACAGGGAACTCCTAGTTGGTTCGGGGGAACAGGGTTAACGATGGTTAACACAAAGCTCAAAGACCACGTTTTTAACACCATTCTCCGTAGGTTTCAGCGTCGGAATCGCGCCAAGTGGTCCACGAAGACAGACGACGAGGGTGAGATGGCTGATCATGAGGGTCGTCCGATTTCCTCTGCCCGACGCACTCGCTCACATCGTCGAAGGCACCCTGTGGGACAAGCAGAGAGGCTGAAAGAAGAGGAAGGAAGTCTCCAGTTCCCCTTTCTTCCGCGTGTCCAGAGTGAGTCTGCTATAGACTCGATTTATGTACAGGACAGTGCCAGCGACAGGGATTCCCTTACGCTTGAAGATCAGCACCAACTCGACCTCCCTCCCTGCCTCAAAAGACATCGAAGTCGATCACGATCTCTCGGGTTTTCTACCCCTGTAACACCTGTTTCCAGTAAACCTCCGTCCACATACAACTTTGATAACTCGATCACGCGTCAAAACCATTTCATTTGTATGGAAGATCTGACCGGTCGCTTAAAACGCTCGTGCGTTCTTGATCTGAAAATGGGGACACGACAGTATGGCATGGACGCGACGCTCGCCAAGAAGAAGAGTCAACGAAAGAAGTGTGACCGCACGACGAGTAGGCCCCTAGGCGTCCGGATCTGTGGTATGCAGGTTAGTATATATATAGACGGGTAAGAAATCTAGAGTTGACTAAACTGGTTTACATTCAAGGTGTGGAACAACGCCACGCAATCATACGTAACCCAAGACAAGTACAGGGGCCGAGACATAAAAGCCGAAGAGTTTCAGTCGGTGTTGGCGTCTTTCCTGCAAGATGGCGAACGTCTCCTCGTCTGGCAGATTCCTATTCTTCTCCAGAAGCTTTATGCTCTCGCTCGGATCATCAATCGTCTGAAGGGCTTCAGGTTCTACGGCTGCAGTCTCCTCCTTATCTACGACGGAGATCGTGAGGCGCAAGAAGCGTTCAGAACATGCGCTCTTGAGCACCCTTCATCCCGTAGTAAGCGTGGAGAGTCGTTGGAGCGGTCCAGTACGCGGTCCAGCGCCAGTGACGAGCGGCCCTTATTGCGCCGTAGTCATAGTGAAGACCTGCTTGTTGGACCAGTTGGCAAGCGTTCCGGCGGGAAGCGAAAGCGCGGCGAAGTTAACGTCCGCATCGTTGATTTCGCTCATACAACCACTGGGCGTGATTGGCTTCCTTATCCTCCGCCCACAGATCGCGATATCATCCATCAGGTGTCAAGCTCTAAGGGTTATCAAGCTGAAGTGGATGTGGAAACGGGGCTGATATATGCTCGGTTTCCCCCTCACTTTCCCGAAGAGCCTGATCGCGGGTTCTTATTCGGGTTGAAGAACCTTACGGAAACCCTCGAGAACATTTGGAACGAAGAACGTGTTTGTAGGATCAAAGCTTCGCGAGATGATCCGTCTGCTGACACCAACCAGCTCCCTCCTCTATCTGCTGATGGCAAAGAGATCTTTGATGAAATCTTCAGCCGCTTGGATGATGAAGATCCCGGCATGCTCTCCACCTGATACTGTCTTGTCTTCTGTTCCCAGTGACACCTTTTCTCTTTAGTCGATGCGGTATCTATCGCGTTGTATGTGGTTTTTCTACCTATATTCCACCAACCGTATTTCTATTCGACTGCGTTCTGTTTGTCTCTGTCTGTCTTCCATCATCATCATCATTATCATCATCGGTAGACCAATGCTCATTTGCACTTTACAATTCAGCGTCGTATTCTAGCACTGTACCAGACTGTACCTCACCCTCACTTGCATTTATGTAGCGCCGTGTTCCGAGGTATATACTCGCATACTCAACATATTCAAACACGTAGATATCGATCCGTACATTATCGTGTTCTCCAACAGACTCCTGTAATTGCCCTAGCTTTTTGGGACCGCTATAAGTTTGAGGAGCTGCCAGCTCGCCCGTGTGGTCGGTAGATAACTACAGAACATGTATAGGCAGTGCCAAGTGTATTAACAGCACTGAATTTTCATAATAAAATTGTGATGCACTTCTCATTCTAGCGCGCCCATAAGCTCAACTCAGGAAGATGTTTAATTAGTAGACGGTGGCAATTCGTACGTATCAAGTCGCCAGGATACCACCTGCACAGAAAAAATGGAAGCAGATACGCAGCGCATCAACACCGAACTATCACGGTGAAATCACACGAGGTGAAGTTCTAGAACACGCCGACAGCTCAATTCCGGGAAGAAGTCTATTGAGGAATATAATCATTATGCAAGTAGGTCCCTGGCCAACTGGGGCGAAGCTATGAGTCTGATCCCTCCTCGACGTATCTCGAACGAATGTCCTTCCATTGTTTCTGAATCATGCGGGTAAAGACAGCAAAGTCAGTTATCGGGTAGCGTTAGATGTGTCGGCTACTCACCCCCTGGTTCCAACGGTCCCAGAAATTGGTCACAGCGACGTCAAAGCCTACGTTGAAGGCAAAGGCTCCAGCAAAAATGGAGGTGACGAAGACGCCTAGAGGTTTGATTTAGTTAATCGAACTGCGCATGACTTAGAGGATCGGGTCACGTACTGTTGCGCTTTGCGATGGTATTGTAGAACGCGTTAGCGAACTAGAAATGAAGTCGTAGTTAGCATTGTGTCGTTCACTCGACTGCTTATTTGACTTACAGCCATGGTTTTTTGTGAGCAGCGAGTTGGTGGAGAAGGTTCCGGACCCGGTGCAATCCGAAAATGCGAGAGACTTTGCTTTCCCACAGTCCTCGAACGCGTCAAAGTCTTGCTAATTTCTACGTTTGCTCAACTGAAGTATTAGACATGGTCTCACTCACTCAACTGAGACCATCAGTGCTCAGCGCCGCACGACAATATCTCCATCGTGCTGGCCTGCATGAAAATGCAGTTTTTTCAAGACCTGCCTCCTTCGGGACTAGTCTCGCCGATGACATGTGGGGAGGTGAAGACTCGGCTGCTCCTCCACTAGACAAGCCTCCGATGGGCCCAAATACATACTACAACCCCATAACTGCAATAATGAGGGAACCAAAGAAGGACATCGCGGAGCGTTCAAAGCCTTATCACCTCCACGTATACACTACACACAACAATTGCCGCGTCGTCTTCACCTATCCGTCCGGCAAGCTTGTCAAGAACGGATGGTGGACAAGTGGTTCATGTGGGTTCAAGGGAGCGAATAAAAGCAGCTATGAAGCGGGGTACCAATGCGCTGTGCGCGCTTTCAAGCGCGTCGAGGAGGAAATAACTAGGCCGAACTTCAAGGATGGTGGTGTATCGCCTGTCACGCTTGCGCTGAAGTTTAAAGGGTTCGGGTGGGGGAGGGAAGCGGTGCAAAAGGCGTTCATGACTTCTGAGGGGGATAATATTCGGTCATCGGTGGTGGTAGTTGAGGACAGGACACCTATAAAGATTGGAGGGACGAGGGCAAAGAAAGCAAGACGACTATAATATTGTGCGCTGTTCGTATTGTGATGTATCTGCTGAATTAATTATGGTCATTCGCAGCATGCACTCCCAAGCAGAGTTCTATAAGTCTGCTAATCTGCGATCCAAGTACTAGTCTTTCTTCATTACAGGTAGGGAGTATCGATAAGGATCTCCACGGTATCTTGTCAATCAATGGCAATATCATATATTTGCGCAATGCATATCAGCACCGGCTGGCAAGACTCCTATGTGTTACAACCATTTACTATGTAGCGCTCTATATACCCTGTGTTCCGTTAGTGATACGTGTTATGGTTATAGCACAATCATTCCATCCGAGGGGTGGCCTAAACCGTGAAGAAAGGGTCTGTCATGTATTTCTCGTACCCAGGCCTTGCCATTGACTTGAGTGCGACCCTTTTGTCAAACTCTATGTCTTCTATAAGTGCTTCTGTGAGTGGAAAGTTGTCAGCGTGGGTGAAAGTGGTCCAGGGACAATCGCACCTCGTGAAGTGTAATGCAGTTCCGGACGGATATATCCCAAAACCAGAGCCTTCATATCATATCCATAAAAATCGGTCTGAAACTTGTGCATTATGTGAATTTCCTGGGCGCCATGATTCAGGATGGTTCAAAGAAGGGGGGAAAAGACTTACCGCAGTCCTGCGTTCATTGTTATAAAAAGGATTCCACCCAAAACTCATGACCATGGGCAAGACGCGTACGTCTTGGTCAGATAAAGATGATGATGATCCCTCAGGAGGGGTAACCTGGGCATAGCCGTAATAGACTCCTGTCTCTGCAGCATCGATCATGGGTGGGAGGGAATCGTCAGGAAGATTCGCTATAGTTCATACCCGTGGATTTAGTTCGATCAAGATTCAGTCTGGGAACATACCAGTTGGACATCCGAGGTCTTTGCTCCCTCTACCGAATCCATGCTGCACGGGGCCTGACAATTTAATTGGAAACGGGGCATCTGGAACGTCAGACCCAACGATATCTGGCCTACTCGTGCGGAAAGACTCGTCTGGTACTCCATCGGGCCCCGCGGAATCCTCACTGGAGTCTAGCACGTTCGCAGAAGATGTGATCTCTCCGGCTACATCGCCCATTTTGAAAAAATTAAATAGAAAAATCAGTAGGGCGAACATGAGAGGAAGAGAGCTGCACAAGTGCGGACTATCGGTGCCGCACGGCCACGCACGGCATATAAACCAAAGATCGTGATGCGGTCGTAGCTAAGTATGAACCTAGGGAAATGATTACTACGGGTGAGCATGACGTGTGAACATCATTGACCAATCCAACTTTCCATTACTAACTACCATGTCAAATTTCGTTCCATATCAGCAAAGCTATGGGACCTATCAACAGCCGTATCCTATCGTATATGCAACTGGTTCAGGACCTCCCCAGCTGCTTCAGCCAGCGGTAGCGCATTATCCCCATCGATTCCCGCCGCCGCCCCCAGCAGCAGCAGCAGCAGCCTCGACTTATCAGTTTCATGTCCAGCCTCCGCGCCAACCAAGCGTGGCAGTTGCTGAGATCATACCGGATATCTCTTCGGAAATAGCTTCCAAAGAAGTGCAGCGGCTCATCCTTGCCCAGCTACAGACCTCGGAATACGATTCAATCGAACCCCCCGCGTTGAAGAGACTAGAGAAAGAAGTCGTAACATGTACGCAGCCCTTCATTCTATTAATTATCGAGCTCACACCTCAGAGAGTAGTCATTCAGAATCTATATGAACGCGCCCACCAGTACGCTAATCTTGCCAATCGCGCAATACCGATAGCAAAGGACATGCTAATGGCATGCGAAGAGCGAGATTTGAAAACAAAGGATCTACGCACAGTCGCTGCAGAATTTACAAAAGCTTCTGGTGCGTAATGTTGAACCATGCTGACTTGAATGTTTGACTGTGGATTAAGCTGAACCAGCCGAACCGATTTTTGAAATGCCACCTTCACGATCGCAGTCGCCCGAACTCCTTCCTTCAGATGACGAGAATATGCCGCCCGTTGTGCCAGGAACTCTACGTCAGCTTCCGACCCATTTCCCCGCATTGCCACCGAAGCATACATATCTCAGAACACCAGTGAGCCCGTCTTTGTGTCTTCTGGTATATCGACTGAACTTGTTCTTCAAAGGCCTCTCCCCCTAAGAAAGCCGCGCTTCCCTCACTCGAAAGGAAACTCAAGACTGCAGGGCTGGTTCAGGAGTCATTGAAGAATCTGCTCACAGCAACAGAGGATAATCTTGGGCAAGAAGATGGCGAATTGCTGGGTCATATTGTTAACTGGGAAGCCTCCACGTACCCACGAAAACGTTGGAAAGTTTCTGCTTAACCATTTGATTTCGCATATACTTAGGCCTTGTGGGCGTCTAGTCCTGCTTTTTGTGCCGATCCAATAATCTATTTGGGCGGGTCTGGTCCTTGTCATGACTCCTTGATTGTTTTCATCTTACTCCATGACGTTAGGCAAATTTAAAGGTTACTTCATGACGCGTGAAGTCTAATAATATTAGCATCCAGTGTCCGACAAAATGTCCGAACTATGTGAATGATCAGTCTACTGTAAAAAAGTACGCTCCCATCATTCCGACCACCAACATGCCACCTCCGGTCATCAACATCACAATCCATAAACTGAACACCATGCAGTTCCGCCATGTCGGAGCTGGCCACCCGATCTATCCCAAGATTGTGGAGATTGCAAGAGCCCTCGCCAGTCGCGATAGCATAGACGGTGTAGTCACTCCGGATGAGATGTTACCCTCGCACTCGTCCTTCCTTGCTATTTTGAATGCTACCACTGGTGTCCTGGAACATTCCGGTCTTCATCTTTCCAGGCTCGATCCCTTGTCACGCCAGAAGACCATATGCTTCTCAGTTGATCTCAATAATATGGTGGTAAGGGATGTCACCCAGGGTTCCGAGGGCATCCCAGACTTTCCCTTACCCGCAGACAAGGGCGTGCAGAACGCATTGAAGGTTTTCATAACCGAACAAGTGAATGAGTGGAAGAAGGATGAAGAATCACGAAGGCAGGAGCAAGAGGCTAAGAGGAAGCAAGAACATGAACGTTGCAGAGAGAACGCGATCGTAAGTGCGATGCTCGTGATATACCTTGGTGATCCCAGAATCCTGAAGTTTCCGTGGTAATATCATATCCTTTAGGTTTTCTTGCACCATCTTGTGGAGTTGGACCTTGTAGATCCAGCGGTGCTGGAACGTGATGCCCCCACTACTGCCTGCCCACTGTGTTCCCACGACCTCATTCGATGCCGCGTCTGCGGTATACACGCGTGCGAGAACTCAAGCTGCAAGGCATCTTCCATCGTCTCCGTCGTGGAATGCTCTTACCACGACCGAGAGTTCTTTTGCATTCCCTGCGCAACACCTCAAACTGGCCAGTGTCCAATATGCTCTCAGTGGTATTGCATGGAATCACTGAGCTGGTGTGTTGGACGGCCTGAAGGCGACGCTCAGTGGAGCCCTAGACCTAACCACACAGCATTTAAAATCATTATTCCTATCAGCGACCCAGATACTGAGGACGACCACCAGTCGATCAGCCACGAGCACCCTCCAAGGATCGCTCCTTGTCGGAACTGCATCCGCCAGGACCTTGCTTCAGCGTGGCGCCGCTGTGGTAACGTTTACTGTTGGTCCCGTAATCGCAATCGCTTCCGAGACATGGTCTGCTCAGACTGTGAACCAGGAGGGCGTACATGCGCATGTTCACGGACATGGCTGTGTGGACCCTGCGCAGGTGACCCATCCGGGACGCCATTCATCGAATGCCCAAGTTGCAAAGTTGTATATTGCCAGGACTGGTGTGCATACATCCAGAGTTGTACAGTTTGCAGTAGGACAAGGCTGTGTGATGACTGCATCGAAGAGGAGAACGATACGGAACAGCTTCAACTCTCGTGTTCACGGTTTACTGAGAAGTGCGGGATATGCCGTCGCCATATCTGCGATGACTGCGTGCCCAGCTTATCGAGGTGCTCCAGTTGTGGTCGCTACTACTGTCATCGGTGTAGATGGACTGAGGCAGCGCATTCGTGCAAAACTTGTGCGTCCCCCATGTGTAGGGATTGTACAAGAAACTGGGATGATTGCCGGCAGTGTATATACGCAAAATATCCAGGGTCAGTTATTAAAGCACAAAGTTGACGAGTATCGTGCTGACCTTCAGTGCAGTTACAGGGGACACCGTGCTAGCAGTCTCGTGATGTTCCCGCCCTTGTACTGATGGGCGGGCTTGGTGCCAGTAGGTAGAATATATTAGTGGGCTGACGAGGAGCTAGATATTGATCGACACACACACAAGTACGGAGCGTCGAGTAATGAACCGTAATATACGATTTCACGGTTGAAATACCTTCTATGCATGTATTATATTATTTCAGGCTCACCGACACTCTCGAACGAAAAGCAAGACATCGTTATGAAACCTCAACATTCAGGAGCACCTATCCCATTCGGTTCGATGGCGACGGTGGTCTTAAGCCTAATTCACTGATATGACAGCATTGGACCACAAGTCCAGGGACTCCAGGACCTAAAGTGCTCGGCCCAGCTTGATCACCAGTCCCGCTATTGTCCCCTGTAAAGGGAGTCAAGATCTTGAGACAACATGGTAACATGAGTACGTGCCTGAAACAGGAGGAGGCCCTAAATCTAAAACCATGGTACCAGGCGCGGCATTCTTTTTGCTGCGAACAGGTCGGGCTTTAGGACGGGGAGCCTTCTTGGCTGGAATTTCTTTTAATGTGGATTCTACATCAACCTTTTTCCTTTTTCCCACTTTTTGGTAGACGTTGATATGTCGCCAGCGCCCTCAGGGGTGGTGCTAGCGTTAGGATCCGCTGATTTTGATTTTGATTTTGATTTTGACTTCGCCTTCTCATTACTCTTGCTCTTGCTCTTAGTCATCCCTAGAACTTCTCGAGTGCGTTTCTTGTGAGTTTCAGGGTTGACGCTGATGACCGGTTCAAGGAACGTTATGGCCGAATCAGTCGTCCTCGTGGTCACATGAATACCTGGAAGTCTGGGCACAGAACTTGACTCCTCGATGGGCACCAATTCATTCACCTCAGTGGACTCATCGGCAGGAGTGGGTGCTTTTCTCTTTCGAGATGTTGCTCGAGATGACTCTGCGACCATGTCCATTGAGGGTTGAGCGATGACGCTGAAACTTGCTATTTGAGATTGTGTTTTGGTTGGTTGCGAGGTCTTCGGCCGTTGGAGATTATTATACCTGTTTCGACACTAAAGTAAAATAAATGAACAGGAAACATAGGCCTCTGAAGCGATGAATGTTACCATGCTATCGGTGCGCCCGCTGCCTAGTCGATTGCTGATCTCCTTCCAGCTCGAAGTCCCTATTTGTTGTATTATGGCCAAAAGATCCTGGTCTTCTTCTTCGGTCCACTTCCCTTTGGTTATCGCAGGGTTGATGATATCGTTCCAACGATCACGACATTGATCATTATGGCGACCTGGGATGGCGGATGCGACATTCACCCAGGAAGTACCGTACGCTTGGACTGCGAGACGTAGGCGTGAGTCCTCCTCATCAGACCATGCTTTGTGCTTCAGAGTAGGGTCAAGAGTGCGTTGATAACGGTTCTGGCACTGGCTAGGGGTAGCATCTTCTGAGACTTGACAGGCGACTGTGCAGTGAATTTGATGAATGCGGATACAAAAGTGCAATGTTGCAAGACACATACCTACAGACCAGTTATCGTGACCGAAAGTAGCAACAGCTTTCAATAAACGCTCGTCAGAATCTGGTGTCCACAAATGAATTTTTCGCGTTGTGCCGTGTATCATGCAGTCTAGAGGCGTTCGGTGGGTCTGTTATGTGTAGATTGTCACACGTTTTCTGTTAGTTCAAAAGTAGACATACCCCGAGTTTATCTACCACGACCTCCCAGTCTACTTGCTCATTCCCGTATTCGGCGACGAGCCCTTTGAGTCTGGTGGTTTCGTCTTGTGTCCAAGGGCCATGATTGAAACATGGATGCTGATCACCCAACCAGCGTATCTCACACTCTCTTGGTGTACGCGTATACATGGATGATGAAGAGACCTGGCGCACGCGAGTTAACAGGTAGTTGTGGATATGATATTATGAAACATGCCTTCTCTGCGATACGATCCCAATCAAGGCCCTCCTTATTCAACTCGAGATAGTTTGACGGTTGATTACTCAAACTTGTAAAAACAGGATTGCCTCTGAGAGAGAAGTTGATAAGATCATATCATACATGATAGAGCAAGACGAACTTTCGTTGAGCATCTAGAGCATGCATGCGGTAGTTTTCAGTCCTCACAGCTTCTCTCAGAGCCTCAAGGTCCTTCTTGGTCACTGCAGCTACGAATTAGGGAGATGAGTAGCGTAATGGGTCGAATAACGCACTGGGATGAACCTCTGTCAAGCTTAGATATCGACTGCGCCGTGCAGCCTCTTCGTAAAAGGGAGAGTCCTGGGGGAAATCTTCAGCATTAGAGGGTCAAACAGGCGCTATTGTCACCTCTGAAAGCAATTCACTGGGGGTCAAGAGTCCAGATGCCTTGACGGAGCCTGGAATGATGATAGAGCCTCCGACATCGATGTCTGGCTCGCCGTCCAGATTAGCATCAGCAGGTTCCTAGAAGCTATCATTGAAACTAGGTGCGAAATATACAGAATACAACATACCAGGAGTTTGTCGACAGTTTGAAGCTCTGCCTCAAGTCTTTCCGTGTATACTTTCAAGGCGTGTTGGTGGTCCTTGTTAGCCTGGATGGCCTCTCTCACTACCTCTGTGCAGTTTGTCTGCGACATAACTGTAAGTTCGAGGTGCGAAGTTGACGTGCGACTCGAAGCTAAAGTTAATTTGAAATTATAGGGACGTGTGCACAAATTGGGTTCAGCACGCTTGCAGGCCATCCACCATCATGGCTCACGGAGCAGCTAAACGAATTGGTACGATTTTATCATACAACCACAGTTCTCTTTGAAACCATACAATTTTTTAGCGCTACAGAATGAACAGGCCCTCCGAAATCTGAGGCTTGGAATGTTCATCCCCACCCTCCTCTCTGCAGTCTTCCGTCTTTTATTCCGGCGAAGCTCTCTTCCTCCATCTAAAGGCTCGCTGGCACTCTACGTTGTGACATATCTCCCTGCCTTATTCCTTTCACGCTATCTTGAAAGGATGGGCACTACAAGACGGGACCCAACAACTGGAGCACTCATCTCTCCCGGAGAAGACCTTAATCAACCGGGAGTAACAGAATGGTGTTTCGATATACTTTATGTCACATGTGAGTTGATGTCACTCTAACGGTTTGGCTGAACACATGGTTTATATGTCTAGGGGCGTGTCAGATCGGCAGTGGGGCATTCGGTGATTGGGTTTGGTGGTTCTACCTTGTGGTAAGTGCCTGTGTGGCCTCACCACATGTTATAAATTGCTCTTGCTTTACCAGATTCCATTGTACGCCGCATACAAACTATGGAGTAACTTCATTGGGCCAATGCTCGGTTGGTCCCGTGGTGCGAGCTCTCAGGCCGCGGAAGGGGGTGGCGAGAAGGAAACGGTCAGCAAAAGGCAAGAAAAATTACGAAAACGCTCAGAACGGGGTGATCCACGCGTCCGCTCTGTACGAAAGTAGTCCTATCTGCATTTGTTAAAAGAACCTCCACACTTGTTTTCGATATTCTGTGACTACACAGTGCAAGGCTGCAAGCTTGCGATCCAAATATAGCTGACCATTTTATGAGCACGTGACCACTCTCGTGGTCTCGATGAGACGCGATCCTTGACCTCTCTCTTTACCATTCACTCACTAAGTGCGGTGCTCATTATCCTACAGCTACATATTTCATTGTTTCAGATATGGAGACAACTACTGAACAACAGGTGACAGGACTTAGTACTGATACTGTCGCTTTCAGGGACGCACATGGTGAAATTGGCGCGACACCATGCGCATACACCCAGGTCCTCATCGACCCATTATGCTCGCAGGAAAGGCCACCTTCAGAGGACCACCAGGCAAGTATATAGTTCATCTGTACTTGACTTATTGGTGCTGATTGGTCCATATGTATGCACAGTTAGGCTGAAGAGTCGCTTGTATCGCAGCTACCTCCTGACCTCTCTCCTCCACTACTACAGTCGAGTGACCTGAAGGATTCCGAACATAATATAGGTAATTTGTCTCTGCCTAATACTACTGAGGAGCGCGTTAACATTACAATGACCTATGATCTTCTTCGATTCACGTCGCAGAGTCCGTGACAAATACATCAGCAATGTCCGGAATTACCGCCAACGAAGGGATTCTTCAAACAAATAAAGTAGGCTTATATGATTTGCTGTTATCTGAGCAAGCTAAGACAACGCACAGACTCTCAATGCACCTCTCTCTGCTTTTATATCACGGAGAGGTACTCCGCATGTTGAATTGAACAACACGAGCGACCTACAAATGATTCGCTTCCAGCATAGTGTTGGGACAGTGCAATCACCTCGACTTCAGTCACGTGAAGTAGATCACGAAGCGCCGTCGAACACCCCACCAGACAATGCACGGTCGTATTCTTTGCCTCCCAGCTCCAGCCCTCCCCAGATTTTTTCTTCGTCCCCGTTCGCATCATCTCAGTCGTCGCTCATCGAAACTGGAGATTACAAAGTTGCAGACAGGGTATATGCGCCGTGTTTTCTTTGTGTATCTGCTGACAAGTTTCAGGCTATGAGAATGGAATCAGACGATCAGGATCTCATCAGTTCTCCGGACGGAGTTTACCCAGATACCTTGGAGGAAGCATATAACGATCATGATGATACTGATACATATCAACAGCGAGAAATGGTCTGTGTTGTTTTCTTCGGAAGCCCGGTTACGATCAATTGCATGGATTATAGCATGAGCCTCACGATCTCGCCATCCATGGCGGAAGCCCCAAAACAAACGTGGGCGCCTCCAACATTCAGGAGGTTAAACCATTGCCGCAGAAGCGATCCAGGCCGGAAGGAGAGGTGGGGTAGAAGTGCTCTGTCGGTTTCAACAGATTAAAAATGTATGCTTAGATTGGTGTCCTTGGTCTGCGTGCCAAGAACCTATCACAAAGCCCAGAAGATACGCGGTTGGCTAAACGCGTGGTAATTAGAGCGGTTTTTCTTGTTGACGATGTGCTATCATTTATACGAGTTTACTTGCAGAAAACGCGCGATGGCGGAGGATATCTGCCACCAGCTCCAAAGCGCGCCACCTTGGCGTTTCAGCAACGGCAGTTCCGGAAACTCATCACTCCGTTTCGTTCACCTTTGATGCCGAACAAGGATGAGGGTGCGCCATCAGGCGATCTGTTAAAGTCCAAGAGTCCTTTGTCGATTCTTCCCACACCACCGCCAGCTCCAAAAATACCACTCACACCTCAGAAACATCACCGTGCCCATGTAGCTCCGTCCGTTACACCAGCTAAGACCAGAGTTCGCACTCTCAAAGCGGCGTCACAATTCAAATCTCCGTTAAGCATTTCTGCTTCAGCAACGTCCGGAAGAGGATCATCAATTCGACTGACACCTACAGTCCAGTCCCTAGAACGAAAGTTACAACTTCTTAAGCGCGCTGTCAAAGTGAAAGAGGACGATGAGGAAAATACACTCATCAGGCTCATCAAGAAATGGACGGAGGCAGGCAGGGAGGTCGCATATGAGCTTTGGGATTTGGTGAAAGGTTCTGCGAACAAGGGAGATGGTGTTAGTTGGGACGGGGGTAGAGGCAAGATGGGCTCACGGGACTCGAACTGGGGTTGGGACTCCCCTGGAATCAAACGCGAAGGCTATCCGGAGAACGAGATGGATACTGCTATGGAGAATTCCTTGGACGAAGGCTATACCAACAAGATCCTTTCAGAAGATGATGAACAAACACGGAACACCATGGGTACGATGCTCCGACAGCTTGGAATCGCTACAGAGACATTAGGATGGGATGAAGATGCAGAGGTTTTCTTCGATTAGAGTTATGTTTTATTCAGGGTTGTGCTGTTCTACATCAAGGTAATGGTAGTCGAAACATGGAAGTCTTAATTGACCATCGTCTTATTCTTCAATATTCCTTAGCGCCTCTTCAACAATCACTTCGGGGAATTCATACTGTATCCAGTGCGAGGCATTCGGAACAATCACGGCTCTGATGTCTTTAAGCTTTGCGACAATTTCCAGCTTCAAAGCGCCATTAAATCGCAGATCTTCAATCAAAACCGTCAATGCAGCGGCAGCAGGCTTGTCGGCGATCAGATGCGAAAATGACCACGGCACGTTACCCTAAGCAATTCAAACCATCAGTACTGTCGATTCTAGAAAACCACACACAAACACTGACATCGATATGATCATCGGAGTTGGTTGATCTTCCAATCTGGGTCCCTAACACTCTCCAGATAGCATCTTCTCTCGTCCATAGAGGATTCAATGCCATATAATCTTCTGCGGTGAGGTTAGTTTTGCTATGGTCAGAAAGCTTGACTCTCCAATGCGCCATCTGCTCTGCAGCTATTTCCAGAGATGGGTCGATAAGAACCACCGAAGTAGGTTTAGTTTTTGGCAGGTACTTGAGAAGCGATAATACCACGAGCGCGCCCATTGAGTGGCCAACGACGATATCATACTCGGCAGCTTGAAGGTATGGCAAGAGGTCATCTGCCAATGTCTGGACTTTGAAGTCAACTCCAGGCTTCCTGAGAGCATGTCCAAGAAGATTCGGAGCAATGACCAAGTATCCTATGATCGTCATATAGACAATATATCAGTGCTGTAATGAGGCTTGAGCGAAGACGACCCGCCTTTGGTTGCAAGCGTCGATGCAACACGGTGGAACGTGTGCGAAGACGAATCCAAACCATGTATGAGGAATGCTCTCCTATTTGCAGTAGGGGATCCCCACTGACTTGCAGACGGGACAGTGGTCATGGTAGTGAGCTCACTGAGTTGATCACCTCGGTTTCGCCGATGATGTTCACCCGGTCACGGCAGATGTACGGGGAATACCGAACGCGAGAGTTGACCAAAACTTCATGGTAGCGAACCACTCGCGAGCAATGCGTCGTCTAGAGAAAATTTAAGTGACCAGTCCTCTTTGGTATCTTCCGACCCGCCACCATACCGGTCCATATGGCGTCCACTACGAAAGACTGCGACTGTCATGACGCTATTTATAATGTTAGACTGGACTCCTGAGCTGAGTTGCTCCTGCCATTCTATTGGAAGTTGGTGCTCAAGCGCAATCAAAATGGACTTGCTGTAGCCCGAAGGCCTAGAGCTTGTGGGCGTCTTTATTTAAGCTGCACAGGTATGTGTACCGTGCTTTCGGTGCTGCTCCACATCCTCAAGCTGTTTCGTGTCTCGTTAGACGCCCAGGACACCAGGCTGAATGCCATGAAACTTAAATTCAAGGAAAAGTCGTGGCGAGGGCTGCGAGGTTGATGTATCAGTCTTTCCTGACTATTAAACTTGAAAGAGATCAATAAGGAAAAGACAATTGTCATTGTGGCAGTGGCCGTCCGCAAGAGATGAACGTTAACAGAGGCAACAGTGGAGGTCGCGTATGAGCGCTTGCATATATGAGCTTTGGGTTTTCTGATTAAAGGTAACGTTCATTCAAGTTCTACGAGACGCAAAGTTTGTCAGGCTCAAAAAGCCCTGGCCGATTGCATCTTAGAGCACCATATGGTGTTTATGGACCTCCATCGCCGTCGCGTTGAAGTCGCAAATATGCGTCTAACGGCCAACCTCAATGTAGGGCGCATTCATATAGAGTGAAAAAGTGGTATTGCAACATCGGTAATTTATACGGGTGCAACCCCCGTACTATAAACGTGCTACTTGGGGCTGACTTGGTCAGCTGCCACCTAGCAATATCGTTCTAACCAAAAAAAAAAAAAACATCGGTAATTTACTGATGCCGCACAACAATATGCAGGTGCTTATGTTGAGGAGGACTGTCAAAAACCTCGAATATTCCATCCACAGGTGATAATGGTTTCTTGTGATGCAGTTCGAGCTTGTTGAGATTATCCTTGAAGGTGTCGTCAATAGGCAGGTCGACCTTCCAATATATCATATCATCAGCATCTGATTGTAGGTGTCACTGAACTAGATCACTCACCTTCCATAGCTTGAGACTCTTAGCATCAAAACCATCGAATTCATGCTTATTCTTTTCCTTGATCAAATCTTTCAGGTTACTGACGACCTCCGTCGATACAATCTTGACCTGGAATATGTCACAGGGATGGTCGCCTGAGACTAAGCAATTGAGTTTCATCGACAGGTGGCCGGCTTGGCGGGGAACGCCTTAATCACACTGCGATCAGTATGGATGAAAGAGAGGCGATATCGACAGACAACTCACCAGCAAGTAGCGGCTGGACAACAATATGTAGGTGCTTATGTTGAGGAGGACTGTCAAAAACCTCAAACATTTCATCCACAGGCGATAATGGTTTCTTGTGATCTAGTTCGAGCTCGTCGAGATGATTACGCTCGAGGGTGTCGTCGACAAGTAGGTCGACCTTCCAAAGTATCAGATCGTCAGCATCTGATTGTAGGTATCAGATCACTCACTTTCCACAGCTGGAGAGTGTCTGCAGCCAGGTCGCGAAATGCAGGCTTTTCCTTGATCAAATCTTTCAGGTCACCAACAGTGTCCGTCGATGCAATCTTGACCGGGAATATGTTCCTGGGGTGGTCACCTAAGAATAAGCAGTTGAGGTTGAATTTGGAGATCATTGGGAACAAGAGTAGGTGGCGCAGGTTGCACAGTCACTGTGAGTTGTCCAAAAATTCCGACGGCTTAAAGTTGGCTGGGGTGCTACCATTAGGGAGTGGGTTGCGTTTTTGCAGTGGATTTTCCGATTTCGTCGCCCCTTTCTTGGATAGTAACATCAAGGTAATTTGCAATGATTGATTACATATTGGAATCATGCAAGCCCAATCTACTCTCGGATATTCCTCAGCGCCTCTTCGACAATCACTTCCGGGAATTCATACTGAATCCAGTGCGAGGCATTTGAAAAGAGCACCGTTCTAACATCTTTGAATTTTGCGATGGACTCAAGCTTGGAAGGTTCGCCAACCAGAATCGTCAATGCGGCAGCAGCGGGCTTGTCGGCGATCAGATGCGAAAATGACCACGGCACGTTACCCTGGACCGATTCAAACATCAGCACCCTTTATTCTGGTAGAACACCACTCGCAAACACTGACATCGATGTGATCATCGGAGTTGGTTGATCTTCCAATCTGGGTCCCTAACACTCTCCAGATAGCATCTTCTCTCGTCCATAGAGGATTCAATGCTATATAATCTTCTGCAGTGGGGTTGGTTCTGACATCATTGGAAAACCTGATTCTCCCATTCACCATCTGCTCTGCAGTTATTTCCAGAGATGGGTCGATAAGAACCACCGAAGTAGGTTTAGTTTTTGGCAGGTACTTGAGAAGCGATAGTACCACGAGTGCACCCACTGAGTGGCCGATGACGATATCATACTCGGCAGCTTGAAGGTACGGTAAGAGGTCATCTGCCAGTGTCTGGACTTTGAAGTCAACTCCAGTGTTCCTGAGAGCATGACCAAGAAGATTCGGAGCAACTACCAAGTATCCTAAGGTGTCAAAATCAAAAAAATAAGCGCTATCAAAATGCTCAAGCGAAGAAAACTAGCCTTTGGCTGCAAGCGCCGATGCAACACGGTGGAAAGTGTGCGAAGACGAATTTAAACCATGTATAAGGAGTGCTCTTTTGTTTGCAGTAGGGGATCCCCACTGACTTGCAGATGGAACAGTACTAGTGGTCATGATAGTGAGGTCAGAGGTTGATAAATATTTGACTAAATGATTGTGGCTTTAATGATACTAGAAGCAATAGTACTTGGGCGGCTACTATTCTGTCACCAGAAATACTTAACGTGTCAACGACGTTTCGAAAACAGAATGTACGATGCGGAAGTTGATTTTTGTGGTACGACATAGAAGAAGAGATCTCAAGTGTTTGTGAGTTGTGCAGTTGTGGAGACAAATCATGCAGTAAAAAATCTCAGCGCGCTTAACATACAATAACGACATTCAGATCTAGGCCTGAGATGGCATCATTCACTAGGCTCGGGCCCAGCAGCTCTGGCGGGTACTGAAATGGCCAGCGCGTGGGAAATGGTGGGGCTTTAAAGGGTGTACACATTCGCGAGCTCTGAGGTGCAGCAGGGGCATGGGGCCGGGCCCCTTAGATAGACAACAATGTCCTGCATAGAGTAGCATACTCTCATAGGACAAGAATGGATGCAAAAAAGGGGTGTACAGCATATCCTGATTGGAATGACCGTAAGACGCCGAAGACTAGAATGAAATCACGATGCTTATCCGCCTATTGAGAGGTGCCACGAAACGATACATTATTTGATGGAAAGAAAGCAGTCTGCACCGCTCAGGCGTCGAATAGCAAACCCGATCCGAGGATCAGTGACGACGTGTCTAAGTCGTTAACAATCGTGTCGACCGTGTACTCTTGAGTCGGCATTCAGGCCGGTCCGGTGTATAGTTGCTCGCGCGCAGTGGGTCGAACCAAGGCCTACTATGCATACTAGTTAAAGAAAGTTAGATGGGGACACGCCTCAGGGTATTAGAAACAACAAGGGGTTTTCAGAAGTAAGTACATGATCGAATGCGATCGCCATAAACAAAAATAACACTGCAGAACACCATCCCTTCTCTACACAGCTACAATTTTGTTCTTGGTAGGGGAATTGCATCCATAATAGCATCCAGACACTCGTATTGAATCCAGTGACCGATGCCAGTAAGGAGTTTAACATTCAATCTCTCGATGTCACGAGGGATGTGCTCCAAGGGACAAGTCGTGCTGAGCTTCGGATCTGATGCCAGAATGGTGATCTTGACGTGAGGTGGTACATTTTTGAGTGCAATGGAAGACCATGATGTGTTTCGCTGTTGGATGCGAAGGCAGAACCTATCAGCAACGCATTCAATTTCAACATCTGAAATATTACCCGAAAAACCTCGACAGTGTCGGGATCAACCATCTCCATTCCCAGCGCTGTTAACACGCAGTCACGTCGTGACCAAGCAGGGTTCTCAGCCATGTACTCTTCCGCAGTTTTGACATTCGTCGTCCACTCTAAAAACAGATTCTGATACTTTTTGACCTGCACTTCTGTAGACTCGAGGGGAGGATCAACGAGTATGACCGTGGTTTCTTTCGTTTTGGGCAAGAACGGCAAGAGTGACAAGTTCACTTGGCATCCAAAAGAATGACTAATGATCACGTCGTAGGACGTGTCCATGGCGAAATATGGTCGGAGGTCTTCTGCAAAGTCGGATATCCGATATTTGGTACACCGTCTCCCTCCATGCCCAAGGAGGTTCGGTGCAATAACGAAGAAACCTGATCGTCTGTTAGACAGATCATCACTAAAGTATTACACCTGACTCACCTTCTGCTACCAGCAGTTGAGCGATACCCTCCCATGAATTCGAGCACATAGTCATGCCATGAATGAGAAGAGCCCGCCTGGAAGCGGCAGGAGAACCCCACTGGGATGCTGAATGGGACATGAGCACACTCAGATGGCTTAGATGCGTTCGAGGACTTGGTTGGTTGAAGAGGTTCGGATTAGGAAAGGGACTAGGTGTGTCAATAATCAGGAAAGGAATTAATACGCTGAACTTTGAGACGGAGAATCAAAGGTGAGCAATGTATGATGTGTTTAATGAGGAGATTGAGTATGAGAAAGAATTAGAAGGATGGGTACGTACGAGGTTCAGGCCCCCGCGATTTGACATGCATTGACAGGAGAAGCGACAGCAAACCTGGCCCCATCGGCTGCAGCTCACGAATTTGCTTATTCGGGGATGATCAATAGCAAGCGTATAATGGTTGCAGATAAAAACTAGGGGACGTAGACGCGCCATGGATCGTACAGATGTTGCGAAACACGAGAGTGGGTAGCATGGTTGGATGTAATCTGTGTTTAAAATTATGATAGAGAAGTGCGTACCGTGTGAAATACCAGGGTAAGACTTGCCAAGAAGCCAACCTAATAGTGGCATTGAGTGATACCCGACCGAAGGCTGCCATTGAGAAAAATGCATAGGACTATCTAGTGATCATAGCTTGACCAGACACAGACATAAAACGTTCTGGGTATCTCGCCCTGATGCGTGCTGCTAGATCCTCCTCAAATATCTGGTCCTGACCCAGCTGATTCCCAAGCGTTAGCCACCTGCAGAGCGTCATCTTCAGTACACCATATCATATGAAATCGTTCACTGCTACCTACCCAGGTCGCGTATTATGCTTTCTTCCGAAAATCTCAATCTTCCGCCCGCCAGGACACATCCTTTCGATCAGCCCGTACACCTCATCTGGTTTGCGACTCGTCTCGCGCACCTCGCTCACGATAACGTCAGTGTCAAGTCCACGGTTCGCCCAGGAAGGGAAAATGAGGTTCCCCGCAGCGTCTGTGCGAGTTTTGACACCGACAAGCATGTGCTCTTTCGTGTGATTGAGCCAGTGGCCTGTCCGACCAGTGCGGATCACGCGCTGGAGCTACTGAATATAAGTAAATAGAAAGGTTGAGAGGGTTTATGAGACATGTACTTGGTTAGTCTTAACCCAAACTACTTCATCGACACGAGTGTACCCCCATACTCGGAGGCATTCCCGACCGACTTCCATTGCACGTCCGGTGACCCAAAGGAAGAGTAATCCTTCGTCCTGGAGTGTCGGTATCGGCATGGCACGCATTTCATCGTCCGTCATCGTACCATACGGAAGCTATTCAAAATTCACTCAGGCTCACGTACGGTGGAATGGTCCTATAAGACGCGCACGCTCATGTGTATATCCCATGGTGGGTCTGCCATTATAACGTGGAATTTTCCTAGCACTGAGTAATCAAAACGGCGCAGGTCACAATTGATCCACTGAGGAGGAAGCTGGCCGAGCAACGTCAGCATCTGCTAGAGACACATCCACCATGCTTACCACTTGCATGTCTCTTCCATCAGGGCCCATCCCCAGTTCAATCTTGAAAGGTTTCTTTAACCTCTGAGTTTTCCATGCATCAACTGGAGCAAGGGGCCCATCCTTCTCGTCCCAATCAATCTCGAAATGCAAATACCGACATGGGGCTTTCTCTTTTCCCCTGCCACCTGCACCGAGACCAGACGGCAACGACACGCGCGCCCCAGTACCAGGTGGAAAAGGAGTAATCGAAGGTGATTGCGAGTATGTCGGCTCAGAGTAACACGTGTTGAGGTAGGAGCAATGTCCGAGGCTGGGGTCTGTGTGCGGTCGAATGAGAGGGCGGAAGTGCAAGAGGTTGCAGAAGGGATGGTTAGGCGGATTGAAAGGACCAGCCTCGGAGCGAGATTTGGCACACTCTACTTTGGTGATGTAGGTACAGATCGGTTCAAACCCACCATTGAAAGATCGAAACTAGTGCTGAATGTTCAAGAAAACGCAGCACATGAACATCAGTAGTACACGTACACGTTCTGCAAGTAACCGGCCCTTTGCCGTGCTCTTCTGAAGGATTGCGTAGACCTCCTTCAAGTCTTTACTTAAATTTCCTAAGGGAGTGTTCATAGAAATGGAAGAATCATTTTCTCCGTTGGATGACGAGATCTCATCAGGTGTGTTACCAGCAGCGGAGTCTGCATCCTCGTCTATGGGTGCTCGTTTGCGCTTCCGAGGATTGATAGCCTCAAGAACATGGGGATTTCCCAGATGGACATCTGTAATGTACAACTCGCCGCCTTCATGGGACAGTAGGATGGAGCCATGATCCCAATTCGATGAGAGGGCCTCGAGTACCTTTTCTACACGGGCTAGATCAGTTAGACGTGGTATTGTGAGGCGTGGAGCGGCGGAAGTAGATGGCCTGGAGGATATGAGAGCCAAAAGGAAATCCATTGAAGTTAATGGCGTTGAGATTCTGCCTGAAGTCAGGAGGGTCTGTAGGCCTGTTGATACCAGGAGCGACAGTTCATCATCGTCCATGATAACAAGGGTGTTCTCGATGGCGATGGCGAACACTAGTAGTAGTCGTTTGAGGAATAATTAGTTGACGATTCCCAAGATGGGCATGGGAAGAAAACCCGTCTACCAAAGAAAAAGCAAAATTTTGTTGGCGCCATCTTGAGATTTCCTTAACAGGATAGCGACAGAGGGTAACTCAAGCAGACAACGCCCTCGCCTTTTACTAGGGCGTTCCGTGGGCTGCCCTCGCTTTAATGTCGCATAGCCAATTTTTCAGCTCTCAGCTTGACCTGAGCTTCCAACCTTTCCTAGGTTGGCCTTGTTTTTGCGTCATTTTTTTTTAGCTCACACCCTCAAAGGGGTATCTTTCTCACAGAACGCATGGAGCACAACAAATGAGCGTGTACTGACTGCCTCGGCGGTCGAGTACGCGCACGGGCATTCGCGCGTCTTGCGTAGTAGACTAGCTAGTAGTGTCCGACATAGGTACATCACCCCAATAGACATAAATTGGATTAGTGACCTGTTACCAAGTACTCCGCCACCGTTAGGCTGCCAAGCCGTGGCGAAAACAAGGTACCAGGAGTGCAGCTATTAATATAGTACCTCGTTTACAAGAAAAAGAGCATTATGTAAGGTCCATGCTTGCTACATAAGCGGTGAGCGCTAGCCCGAGTTTTGCTCGTACCTCACCGAACAATTTCGAAGTGATAGTAACAGGTCACTCATCACCGAGAACAAATAGCGGACGTTGGCCCTGCACTCGCTCCGCAGATGTCGGGACGGTGGACACCGAAATTAGACGGATCACACTGACGGCAACGGGCCAGTTTGAAACTGTCTGGATGCGCCCAGCCTTCATGGGTCCCACATAATTACTGTTTCTCGCTGTTATTGAGTCGACATGTCTCATTCTCGCATCTAATAGGCCATCGCCATTATCTTCCGGTCTGTCCTCAGTGCTCTATCGATGCGTGTTAAATCACAACATCGGTGATTGACTGAATCCGACCCGGACAGGCGGGGCCGCGCATCCCCCAAGAAGGTTTAGATCCTATGAATGAATTTTATTTCTTACTCTTTCCGTGAGTTCAGAGTGATACTTTACTTTTTTCCGTAAGGTACGCCTCCGCTCTGTACGCAATCACTCTCCTTACACTCCTCTTTGTCTTTGTTTTAGCCGCCCTCAGTATTTGAAGTCAAAACTGAGCTCGTGAATTCCTAACCTCTCAGTCCCACCAACTTCACTGCCCACAAAAATCCGAACACGTCCAAGTCAGCTGAATACTATGTCTACACCCATTTCAGCGTCTTTCTGGGGTTCCCCTACCGCTTCTAAACGCGCTCTGCTCATCCATGGGTTGACTATGTCCTCGCAATCATGGGAGGGCATCGCTCGACTATTAGTAGCAGAAGGTCGGGTTCTATAATATCATCGTGATGATCCTCTATTTTAACGAGCTATCCAGGGTTCTTTGTCGTCGCGCCGAATCTTCTCGGACATGCATGGAGACGGGGCACTGATTATCGTGTGTCCGCCCTTGCAGAGGACCTCAGACCATATTTCGTCATGGACACGCACTACGACGTGATTATAGGACATTCCATTGGAGGCTTAGTGACCTTGTCGCTCTTGCCATTCTTGCCCAAGACGAAAGAAACCACTGTCATACTCCTCGATCCCCCCTTCGAGCGTCTGGAGACAGTCGAAAAGGAGAAGATCTGGTTTATGAAGGAGATTGCAGATGCCAGAACTGCTGACGAGTACATGGCCGAGAATCCAGCCTGGTCTCGGGGTGACAGTATGTTAAGAGCGCTAGGAATTGCCATGTGCGATCGCACTGCTGTCGAGGAGATATTTAAGGTAGTGTTTCTCAGGCTGATGCCAAACATGGGCCGCATTGCTGACAGATTTACCGCTGCCTTGAACAGCATAACACGCCTTGGTCTTTCAGCGGCCTGTTGAAAAACATCCCACCTCACGTGAAGATCACCTTAATGGTATCAGATCCGAAGCCGGGTGGTCTTAGTCATTTGGAGCACGTCCCTCGTGAAGTGAAGACCAAAGTTTTTATCGGAATTAGTCACTGGATTCAATACGAGTGTCTGGATGCTATCATGGCTGAAGTTCCGCTGCCTAGAGCAAAACTTTGAGCCGAGCATTTGAGAAGATATGGGTTTTTGTAGTGTAGTTCTCGTCTACAATCATCACATCCAGATACTGATACTCCCCCAGACTGGATTACCTAGATTCGCGACAATTCCAAAGTATGATGTAATTTCCTCGCACCACCATGAGTATCTATCAAGTTGCATTCAACTCGTCATCTATTGTACACTGGCCCCCTCTGCGGATGTGCACGTTTCCGAACTTGTGTTTGGGACAAATGGCACCAATATGGAATGCGTGCAACTGACAAGGTGTCTTCCTAGTCAAGTTGCTCAACACGTATCTCGACCTGCTAGACGAGGCTTTAATGCAATGTCGCATGACCAATTTTTGAGTTCTTCATAATGTCACTGAGGGCTAACGCGGTGTTCCTTAATTATAAATTAATTATGGCAGTAAGCTTTTGTGTAGTATTTGTTTACAGTGCCATTATACACCTTTTCCAGAACATCATGCATGATGATCTGACCCAGAGGACAGCTATCGTCATTCGTTTATATGGTCTGTCTAAGGCAGACGATATCAACACAGTGCCACATGTGACTGGACAAACTACCCAATTCAGTGCCGCCTGCACGATACTAGTGAGTACTAATCCACCTTGGTCGATAAAACTGGCGAGATGACACTGATGCGGAAGTGACAGCCCTGTCTTTGAATCATAACTTTGCGAAGTAGAGCTATGAGTATAAGATGCCATATTTTTTCTCATGGGACCAACGTTTCTTTGCTGTCATTTACTTGCTGAGCGAGGCAGACACGTCATCATCTGTTTTCAGCGCTCTGTTGTTGGTGGCTTCCCAACACACTCAGGTGCGGCCCGTCCTCCGAATCACATTGTAACTACCTCTCAAGCATACCAATAGCCATTCAAGTGCATCGGGGGTCGTATGATTTGTCACGATACTCTTCCTGTGAGGTACGCCCTACACCATGTACTCGCACCAAGTGAAGACAGAGCTGATGAGTTCTTGACATCTTAGTTCCCATCCACTCGCAAAGATATCTAGAAACAACCAACTCATCCGAGTATGAGCACGTCCATGTCCGCATCCCGCTGGGGCTCCCCTACCGCTTCCAAACGCGCTCTGCTCATCCATGGGTTGACCATGTCCTCGCAATCATGGGAGGGCATCGCTCAGTTATTAGTAGCAGAAGGTCAGGGTCTGTAATATCATCGTGATAATGCTCTATTTTAACAAGTTATATAGGGTTCTTTGTCGTCGCGCCGAATCTTATCGGACATGCATGGAGACAGTGCACTGACCCTCATGTATCCACCCTTGCAGAGGACCTCCGACCATATTTCTCCATGGACGTATCCTACGACGTCATTATAGGTCACTCTCTTGGGGGCTTAGTGACCTTGTCGCTCTTGCCATTCTTGCCCAAGACGAAAGAAACCATTGTCATACTCCTCGATCCCCCCCTCGAACGTACTGCGGAGCAATTCAAAGAAGATAAAATCAGGTTTATGAAGGAGATTACGCATGTCAGATGTACTGACGAACACATGGCTGAGCATCCTGCTTGGTCTCGGGGCGACAGCATGTTAAGAGCACTGGGAGTCTACATGTGCGATGGCACTGTCGTCAAAGGGATATTTGAGGTAATATTTTCTTGTGTCGAAATCAAAAGCATCACTGATAAATTTACTGCCGCTGTGATCAGCATAGCGGGCCATATTCTTTCAGAGGCCTGTTGAAAAACATCCCACCTCACGTGAAGATCGCCTTGTTGATGTCTGATCCAGAGTTCGGTGCTATTTGTCATTCGGAGAACGTCCCTGTTGACGTGGCGAGATTGAATGTAAAAGTTCTTGACGGAATCGGTCACTGGATCCAATATGAGCTTCCGAAGGCTATTCTGGATGAACTTCCCCTACCAAGAGCAAAACTGTGAGTCGTATAGACAAGGGACAATGATGTGCGGTGTGTAACCGCCACATTCAAATGTATGCTTGTCACTCTCGAAGGACACATTGAGTATGGTGCCTGGCTTGGATCAAAACACTTATCTCCGGATCATACGATCACCTCAATGGACATGGAGTACTGCCACCTCGAAGCAGATCGTAGTGTTGGAAGGGCACGCCGACATTTTACACTGTCTATGACATTGCCATATCAATGAATGGCCGTATCATGGCTAGCGCATTTGGCGAAAACACAGCGCGATTATGGAACCTCGACAATGGCCCATCAGTTCGCCCCTCCATGCAGATACAGTGAAATGTATGTCGTTTTCGGCAGATGGATTCATCAAAAGCTACTATTCAGCGGCTGCGAGAACATCGATGTGTGCGCATTGGCTGTTTACGCGATACTACGAGATACTGGCCTGGACGACCTTCTTTTGGACCAGTCTAAGCATGACAAGTCGATACTCGTTGCACGTGAAACTTTAATCGAAGGCTTATGCATTCTAGGTTGATGCTACACGATGTCCGTTAGCCAATCAAGGTCTCATAGGCTATCCCGAGGTTTTTTTGACGACACACCAAACCTTGTTCACGTAAGTCATTCGTTAATACATACCGATTTTTACTATCAACTCTTTAACGATTGCTGTACGTAGGGTCACTGTAACTGTATACGGTTACGGCCGTACAATGTATGGTAGCCATATGGTTACTACCCGTACCGTACCATATATCATACGGCGTCCTCGATACCCTCGGCGGTACGGGACAGTCATACGGTCGACCAATACAGGAGATGAAAAATTACAGTAGTGTGAGTATCAATTAATCACTGTGATGGCACACACCGAAGGGAAGTAGCATCGCAACCACTGAGACAGCAGACGCCAGGTCACAGAAGTTTACTAACAGCACACACATAGCGTAAGTGGAGCAATTTGGATTTCCGGATTGCAAAGAGTGGGGCGTTCCGAGGAAACGGATTCAGAGGCGGTTCAAATAGGTAATTCGTACGGGAAAACTCACATCATTACGATTTCAGTAACAATAACATTAGGCCATGAAATGGTCGTAATTAAATTGAACATGCCGCTCCTGCAGGTTCTACCGTAATTTCTGCCAACAGCAATAACAATTCTGCTAAATCATTCAGTATCGTGTCCATAAGAATATACAAGATATAAAAGCTGGTCGTCCAACAGTGTTCCCCCATCCTCCGAGATATCATTCGAAATCCCCCTCAAAAAATTCCATACTACCTCGCACAGAAAATGCGTTTCTCTTTCCTTGCCGTTGTTATTGCTTTGGTAGCATCTGTGTCTGTCAGTGCATGTACAGCCAAAACAGAAAAATGCCACACAACTCAGGATTGCTGTAAAGGCTTGACTTGTGTCTATGTAGTGAGTATGAGCAGGTCGTTGTGCAGCCAGGATTATATCATATGGCTCACCTACGCGCCTTAGAATGGCCCTAATGACCCCAATGGTTTGACCTGCACGTGGATCCCACCGCAAGTAGATCCTACCAGACAAACGGGCAGCTTGAATCTATAGGGCATGTTATGGCGTATTCTGATACATGACCAGTGTCCAAATCGAGATGATCTATAAAGAAGTCCAAAGCACACATTATCATGGCATCTCCGTATGATATAAGGGGATTTCATTCTATTTTCGAGCTCTCAAATAGATCATGGTTTGTTTCTTCTTGACTCAGGACATCAAGGGTCTTACTGTGTCAAAGATACATGGTAATTACAACAGCGGAACGTCTTGTCCGAGGGTTCTAGACATATGACCGTCCTTCAGGCGACCAAGGAGGATTATTAGTCTCAATGCCGCCGACACCGCCTTCGTAAACACCTTCAATGGCGAGCTGCAAAGTTGGACTGACAGCTTTCGGTTCCATAGCCCATAGTGCGATAGCAACAGTACTATAACGAAGTCAGTAATCATCTCATGGTCACATCAGGGATCGTACTTTGTGCCATTGTAGTCCAGAATACCTTGCTGGACAGGGAACTTATACTGGGGCCTGTGCCTTGCTATCAGCCCGGTTTGTATGACACATTGTACCAAGCATACCCAAGGTTGGATACCCTTTTACCCATCATCCATCCGTTGACGTATAACTGAGATCGATACGGCTGAGAGGTGTCATCAAACATAAAGGACATTGGAACATCAAATCCATCTGGGATGCTTAAGTTGAACGTCGTAACAAAGAACCCAACACCGGCGGCAGCGTTGGGCAGACCCTCAGAGAGGTCTCTCAGTGCCCAAGAAGAGGTATCAAACCCAGGTAAGTGCCAGCCCATGCGTTCACCATAGAGACCTCCTTCATTCAGCACCCCTCGCACCTTGTCGAGATAACTGAGGCGTCCTGAGCTGACGAGGTGAACAAGCCAGAAAAAGGAAAACGCACTTGGTGTATCCGCCAACTTTACCCTGAACCTTCCATTCACCAAAGTCTCCAGTATTGAGCATAAAACCACGGACGCCACGAGGGGATTTCTCTTCATCAATAACAGCTAAAATTGTTATCAACATCAGAATCACTTCGGTCTGAGTTCAACGTGTAGCTTACAGCCCGACTCATTGAGGCCCATATTATCCTAGTTCTGTCGTCAGTGACGACGACGGCCTAAAACATGAGATCCCACCTGAAGGATAGTAATGATGTTCTCTCGCTCGTAAAACAAAGATTCCGGAGGGAAGTAGAATTTATCATCCGTTTCTTCCAGAATATTTTGGTTGTTCGTGGAGCTATGTAGTTGGGGTTAGTAACACCCCCAGATCATATTCATGATGATTTACTTTCCATAGGATGTATTCAAGAACACATCGTTCACCCAAACAGTAGCAGCGAAAGCTAGTTGACGTAATCAGCATTCAGAAATCTTTCACTCCTTTAGACCCACCTTCGCCACCATTAATAGAGAAGTTGACGGATTGTGTATTTTCTGTGGCATTGAAGTGCCCACGCCAAAGTACGATGTTCTCGCAGCTGTCAATCAGTGAGCTATAGTAAATGACGCAGATCAGTCGATGACTGACTATTCATAGTCACAACCATAGAGAACCCTCCCGTCACCGTAGTAAGGCTTGAATGGTATGTTCGTGGTGGTATGATTAGCAAGAGTCCAGTTGGCATCAGAAAATCCGGTGCGAATTTCTGGTAAACTGTCTGCATATCTCCAATTTGTAAGCGCGGGTGGAGCAAAACCAAGCACCATGGATGAGGGCTTTAGTTGTGCAACAAAGCCTCCTTGGGCGGTCAAATTCAAGACCGCAGTAACATCAGCTGAGATAGGAATTCCGTTCCATGTGACCGTCTTCACATCATCAGGCGCGATGACCGTAAGTTGAACGCTATCGTTCAAGTCGCCACGAAGGGCGAGCGTCGATCCACTAATTGTAGCATTTCGAACTAAATAAGGACCTCCGACCAGGATAGAGGAATTCGTGCCAAACTGCCAATAGTTGGCAAACTCGACGGAATCATTGGTAGGGATTTCGGGCGACCAAAAGGTTCCAGCGGTGTTGGTATCACTATAGAGGACGAGCTGCTCACTGGAATCCCAAATCGTGATGAGTCCTTGAATGCCCGAAAGGAAAGTGACGGTAGTGACGCCATTAGAGGATACTGAAGAGAGTTCTGCCCCTTGTATGCGAGGCGCACCACTCAATGTCAGAGCAACCTCTGACTCATATGTAGGGTCGCCATAGAGGAACAGTACATCTCTTCCACCGATCTGGCCAGCAAAAAGAACCTGCGCTGTAGAATAGAGAACCTTCGATGACGAGCCAAATGGGTAATCGGTGACAATAATTTTTGATTGTCTGCCCCCGAGTGTGATGCCAGATGTGAAACGGGGGACCTCAAGGTTCCCAGCAGAAGTAGTGACATTCAGCTTGAAAATGGTTACATCCCTAACGGAATTGTAAACACCCGGGTCAGCGTGACGGCATAATGAGCTCACGTTGTTGTGGAATTCCTTTGTCTTGCGATGTAGAATGACGCCGCTGAATCGGGGTTCCTTAACAGAGTTACAAAGGCAGCTGGATTAGAGACGGACACCATGCCGCCAGTACTGTTTCCAACCCAGTCCGTCTTATAGAAATCTGGGGAGCTTCGCAAGAAGAGACCCTGACGCTTAAGTTCCGGATACTTGACAGTCAGTTCTCTGTTCTCTGCAATAGCACTCCCGTAATCGTACGAAGCTATGAGTCGATAAGCTAGCAGTATTATTGTTAGAGGTAGAATCTCACTGTAAACTCCGGGGAAAGGAAGAGCACCCCATGAGGTTCCTCTGTAAGCGGGTTGAGTTTCGAACCAAGAACAATAATAGAAGGCTTGCCCGTATAGCATGTAGTAGTTGATTAGTTTTGCGTTGGACGCCCAAAGATGAAGATTAAAGACATTCTCAAAATCGACTCCCGTGAGCATGCGGCATTGATCGTACCCTGATAGGAAGGTTATGCGAAGGCGTAACTAAGGCGTAACTGATCATTTACCTGGTGCCGTCGGACCCCAAGCATCAAAAGAACCACCCTGGAACTCTGGGAAATACCAAGGTTGTCCAGGGTCAACAGCTGAATGCTGACTTAGTATCAGAAGCAGGAGCTACCAGTATAAACCACATACTCTCATGATAGCTATGATAGTCCGTGATGACCGGGCTCCAGACATCTGGGTTGGAACAGTCAAACCCTTGTGGGTAGGAATCCATACTTGAGGACAATAATCACGTCAACAACAAGCCCAATTGTCTCATAAATGGACTTGCCCATAGATATTCACGGCACCCTACACGTCGTACAACTCAATATAACAGTCATCTGCAAATCATTCAACTCACCGTTCCATTGATCCACGCCCATCCTTCCCCCGGGTCGTTAGCGGTCAACGGGACAACAATACTGGAGTTCAAATAGACAGCTTCCAGCTCGCGAAAGTATTCTGCATGCGTGGCTGGTGCCTGAGAGTATTCGTTGTCTTTACGGATTCAATCTAATAGGCATGCCAAATGTGATGGCCACTTACCGATTTGAATTGCTGCAAATGGAGCGACTATCAGACAAATTAATGTAAAGCATGATCAAGGCTGGCTTGCCTATTACCGGTCCGCCTTGGGTCACTTGGTAAGGAGCAGTTTCAGTAATGATACCTTGTACGTAGTCCTGCCAAGCTGCATGCCAGTCCGTCGTGTTTGTCCGCATTTCGCCTGCAACTTCTGATGTTATCCAGTGTGCAATACCTCCTGCAGTCGTCTCCGCATTGATATAAGGCCCTAATCCTCATTAGCATGAACCCCTTCAAGATACAAAATATAATACCCGGACGGAGAACAATCCATATGCCAGTCTGTTTCGCAGCCTCGTAAAGGGGCTCTAGAGCACGGTAATCGTTAAAGTCGACAACGCCAGGAGAGGGATTGATCAGAGCCATGTGAGAATAAACACTGATTGCGTTAAATCCAGCAGCCTTTACTTTCTGCAGAATATCAAGCCATAGTCCAGGCACAGGCAGTCGAAATGTGTGAAACTCTCCTGAGCTGGGTGCGCGACGTAAATGTGTGAAATGTGATTTGAATGCCTATCAAGTAGGCTACTCACTGGATGAAAACGCGCTGCCCTCTGATAATTAAACTATACTTATCCCACAGGATATCAGTCGTACGTCCATTTCCAGTGAAGTCCATGCCTGCTAGCATATCTACTTGTTCCGCCCTCGAGAAATCAAGATGAGAAGCTGGGGAGAAAATGCTTGACCGCCTAACTGGTGACACCAGAACGCACAGAACCGAGAAAATTACAAAAAGGACCCATGACGGTCCACGACGTTTTGGGAACCTAGGCGATGTAGGCCCACTGAGGAGTGGCATGTCTGACTGCAACGACTTGGAATCGACTGCCTCAAGAGTTGCTTTCCCCTTCTCAGCGCTCCCGAGTGCATTTATACTGCGCTTCGAGTCTTGAAGTAGGGTAGCATTATTACTAGCCTCATCCCTGGATGTCTTGAGTCGCATGAGTGCAACCTATCACACGCGAAGCTGTTATGATATAATGTCGAGGTTCTCTGTGCTACACCGCGGTGTTACGGGAGAATGTACAAGATGAACTTGGGACGAACTGAGGCGCGGGAAGTTCGTCGGTTCATCAGAGTCGCGGGCCGCACCCGGAAGTCATCATACTTAACATCATGATCATGTATATAATAAATATTGTAGATTACGGCGATATAACAGATTCAATCATTCAACTGATCACTGAGGGCTTTTTCGTCATTGCTCTGAATTTCCTTGGGCATGGATGGAAACAGTGCGTGGACTATCGAGTGTCTGCCTTTACAGAGAACCTCTGAGCTCCTTCGGGCATACTTCAACGTCGTAAACACCTCCTACGATGTGAGACGCCGCGGAGATCTTTGTCGTCGCTTGGTATTCGCACTGCCTCAAAGCCGTTGTATTTGTGGTAAAGTTAAACATTGCATGATTTCCAGTGCACAAAATCTATACAAAATCGTGTATGCGTAAAAATATACGTACCAAAATGAACAAGTGTTTCTGAATAGACATCAACTAATAAACCAACTTATGGTGCATAATTAAATTGTCATGACCGCGAGGCGGCGAAGAGATGTAGTTGCTCCCCGGCATCGTCAAGCTCGGCGACGAGAAGCTCATTAACGGCCGTGGGATTATCCAGGTACACTGAAGAAACCAGATCAGATGGCTGAAGGAGAGACAAGACAGAAAAATTACCGTGGTGACCAGCGTATGGTATATTATACATCCTGCTCCGATAATTACCTGCTTTGCGTAAATTCTCGAGAGACTGCAGTCCGCCTTGCGGGTCCATCCAATCATGCTCTCCGTCTAAGAGAATGCTGAGAGATCGTTCAAAAACAAAGCTAAAAATAACACGTACAAATGAAGGTTACCGGTAATTTGAGCGCAGCTATTCTATCGACAAGCGGCATACGAGCATGAGCGTAGGGCGCAAGGATATGAGCTAGATGAAACCCTATTAATGGGGGACTGAAAATGAAAGAGTAGAACTTACATATGCAATACTCTCCCGAACCCTTAGAAAGTGTTATATTTAAGATGTAATCATGCATATCGCGTGTTTCCTCTTCCGTCAAGCCGGAGAAACGACGACTTGAATACTGCATGGAGTAGAAACGTTAGTATCCCAGTCTGCTTGCCGGTATCATACTCCACACCTTTCCTACAAGCATGGGACTCCAGAAAAGGGTCGAGCGTACAACTTGGAAGGGACTCCAACCCTCCTCCCATAGGTATGTGAGGAGTCTTCTTGACCGACTCTCCTTCTCCTTGATGGCTTTCTGCTCTTCCCGTATCTTGTTGACTCCCGCAGTGGATGCAGCGACCGCAGAATGACTCGCTGATATCGTACTTCGTGAGTCACCTTCATCAGTTAGTTCGCGCGAAGGCGCGGTAAGATTATTCGGATCATGAGGAACACCAGCAGGAGAGAGAAGAATGAGTTTGTGCACGCGGGTAGGGTACCGCAATGCATAGACAGCACTGAAATAAGCGCCAAGCGAGTGTCCGATTAGCGTCATCTTCTCGAGGCCCATCTTTATTCGCCACTCCTCCAGCGATTCAACGAAGAAGGACTCGGCTTCATTTACACGCCCGGAGATGTCATCCCGCTTTGCTTTGATGGTGAAGGGTACTCGGGCGGAACGGCCCATGCCCAGCCAGTCCACAGCGAATACGTCGGTGCCGCGGTGCCCCGCCCATTGTGCGAGTGCGGGGAAATTACGAAAGAAGAAACCAAGACCTGCACCGTATCCATGAAGGACCACGGCTGGGGGTGGTGCGGTCGGCGAAGGATTCGTGGACTTGATTGATAAGGTGTTTAGGAAGTGCTTCGGTGCCGCAAGTTGCACACGCTCCCTGAGTGCAATGACGGGACTGTCATTGGTTGAGGAAGCCATCCGTTCTGGCTGAAAGAACGGAAGTCGCCTATAATGAGGTCATATGCATGCTTTCAATGCATGGGGGTATGTTGCATACCTGAGTAGCCGCTCTTCGGACGCATTGCCTTGCTTGTCCCCAGCAGCCCACCTGGTTCGGATGATCAGGGTTAGACAGTAACGTGTATTAGCCTTCCTTTCACTCACCAACTCTTCAAGCTCGCCGTGAATGTAACAGGTATATCCTTAGCCGGGGGGAGTGGGAGGAAGGCAGATGAAGTACTAGCTGGTATTGAAGCTGACATGACGCCTGCTTGCCTACGGAGAAGGTTGATCGCTGAAATGGTGAAAGGAGAGGGATGTATTATTATGGAGAAGGGCTTGCGTGTGGTCTAATGTAATTATACTATGAGGCAGTCGCCCTGCCGCTACCATAACGCGTTCAGAGCAATGACAAATGCCGTGGACCGGCTGGACTACAGTTTAAACTCCGATTCTATTTGTAACACTGAACCAGTTCATCATCATCTTCATATTCTCCCGAACGTCATGTACAACGGTATCGGATTAACCACTCCCCGTGGAAGGTGTGTTGCTTTCGGTCATTGTCGAATTCATCATATTGATTACATATCACAGCGGCACAAATGGCTATGTCATGCGTAACCTCTCGGCACTTCGTGTGCACGAGACGGCCGCAGATCGAGCTGCTGCCTGGGACGTAGCTCCCCCAAAGCATAGGGAACCGGACGAAGCTATTCTAGAACACGAGAGAAAGAGGAAGGTTGAAGTCAAATGTCTGGAGCTACAACTACAGCTAGAGGACGATGGGTGCGTAGACTTGAATATTTGTATTAGCGGCTCTCTGACCGTCATTTTAACAGTCTGGATGAAGCAACCATCGAAACGCGAGTTGACGAACTTCGCACAACTTTGAACAAGGATTTGGCGTCACTCGCTCCATCCGCGAAAAAATTAAAACCATCTGACACGCATGGTATTGCAGCTGCTAAAAAGGCTGAACTCGACAGAATGGCCCGAGCACTAGGCACGAGAAGTAACTACACGGAGGGCGATGCATTTGACCGAGAGAAGCAGGAAGAAAACAAGATGCGTCGTATGGTTGAGCGAGAGGAGCGCGAGAGGAAACGCGAAGAAGACAAGTCAAAATGGTTGGAGCAAAAGCAGAAGTGGGAGGCAGAAAAGAGGGAACGTGATCGCTTGCGTCGGAGGGAGGAAGATAGGATCAGGAGAGAGAAAGAGGAGACCGGCCGAAGGAAAGAGAGAATGCCCCCTCCTCCCGTTCCTGCATTCAGAGATCGACCAAGAGACTATCGTGGAGAACGTGACCGCAGGAGCCGAAGCCCACGACGTGAAAGAGACATTCGACGCCGCAGGTCACCTTCTCGGTCTCCTCCACCTCGTCGGCGCTCTCCATCTCCTCTGCAATCCAAAAGGTCTCGTTCCCCCGACCGAGCAGGCTATCGGCATTCTGGGTCTGTAACACCACCATCAAGGCGGTCACCGCCTCCCGTAGTTCGCCGCTCGCGTGAGCGTTCAGAATCACCTCCTCGCCGTGGTCGCGATCGCTCAGAAACACCACCCCGCCGACGTGGGTGGGATAGGTCAGAATCTCCGCCTCGCAAAGACCGCGAGCTCTCACCACCACCTCCCCGTAATGAAAGTGACCAAGATCGTGGAAGAAATAGCTCTCGATCACCGCGACCCACAGGACGTGGTCGCTCAGCTTCTTCGAATTCGTCCATGTCTGTAAGCACGGGACGCAGTCGCTCCAGAGATTAAGATGCAGCACTAGCAGACTCGTATTCTGAAATCTATTTTGTGAAGCTTTTGCCCACTTTACTTCTGCTTTGTATTACAATTTGTACAAAATTTGGGCTGCGATCATTATGCATGGTGATTAGTGTTCTTTTTTTGAGTGCTGTTGTAATGCTAGTGGCTCAGTTGCTTGCCCTATGACCCAGAATTATAACCGGTGTCATAAATTATAATTGTGCTGGACTGGTACTGCTGTCAGAGTCGGACTTGTGACTCATATAAGACCGCTCAACGTGTGGTTGCCGTTGTCTTTTCTACGAATCCATTACTCCAACGAGAGTTGGTCCAACTTGATTTCAGGCATCCATGCACTCTACTGTGCGTCTGGCCCATCCTCTTCCAACCCGGCTGCAAATTTTGGCTCGAGGCTCCAGTGCAACCCCATTAGTAGCACCCAGGCGATACGCTTCAAATGTTGTATCTGAGGTACGCCAGCCTATGTTTTGTAACTTCTGTTTACAAATGTAAAGAGATGTAGCTTCCCACATCCCCCAGCACACGCTACTTGAAGTCTATATATGACTTTTCTGTAAATACACAATCTGCTGCGACCAAGAACACTATAGCGCTCGGGGATGAATACATCCTTCCTGTCTACGCGCGTCCTCCGTTCGTACTCTCTCATGGACGTGGTAGCTGGGTCTGGGACGCAGATGGCCGAAAATTTCTTGATTTCAGCGCAGGCATCGCAGTGAACGCATTGGGACATGCGGATCCAGGTGTCTCAGAGGTGAGTAATTTCTACATTTTAAACTGTCTTTTCCATTATGGATCAGAGCGTACATTGTGATGGGAACTTACACTATAACATCATAGGTGCTCCAGCAGCAGTCGGCAACCCTTCTCCATACCTCAAATGTATACTACAACGAGTGGGCGCCAAAGCTAGCGGAGCTTCTAGTGACACTCACTAACAAAGAAGGTGGACTAGGTTACGCTGCTGGCGGCACCTCTCCATCTTCTTCAGCCGCTAAGCAAGGGGCCAAGGTTTTCTTCTCCAACTCAGGCACCGAAGCGAATGAGGGTGCTCTGAAGATAGCTCGTAAAGTTGGAAAGGACCGCTGGGCCACCGCCACTGGTGGAAAAGTTGACGACCCATCGTGTCCTAAAATGCGTATCGTGTGCTTTGAAAACTCTTTCCATGGTCGAAGTATGGGTGCTCTGAGTGTCACTTCGACGGAGAAATACCAGATGCCCTTTCGACCGCTGATACCTGGGGTCAGCGTTGGCAAGCTCAATGATCTGGAATGCCTGCATAGGCTCATCACTGATGATACCTGTGCGGTTATTGTCGAGCCCATACAGGGAGAGGGAGGCGCCACTGCCGCAACAGAAGAATGGTTGAGAGCTCTGCGAAAACGCTGTGACGAGACAGGGGCAGTGTTGATCTTTGATGAGATTCAAGTTTGTTTTACTTGGTAACATCGTCGCACACTGCCTTCTGATAAAATTGCATTGTAGTGCGGCCTGTACAGGTCAGGGAATCTTTGGGCACATTCGGCGTTGCCGATTGATTGCCATCCTGATGTTATCACGATGGCAAAACCGCTGGCCAACGGTTATCCAATTGGTGCCGTATTGCTTCGTGATACCATAGCATCTACAATGACAGCAGGTAAGAATGACAAGTCATGAGAGTTGCCCACAGGAACTGACAGTCACTGGCAGGCACTCATGGGACAACATTTGGAGGGTCACCCACGGCATGTGCAGTTGGACATCACGTTCTGAACCGCCTAAGTGATCGTGTATTTGTCGCCCATATGAAGGAGATGAGCGGGTACATGAATGACCGGCTCGAAGTTTTGCCGAAATGGTTCTCAGCAATATTACAGCCTCACGTGCGCGGTCGTGGTTTCATCCGAGGCCTTGGATTCAATGATGTGTCACATCCTGGAGAAGTAGTGCAACTAGCACGGGAGCGTGGAGTGTTCCTGCTGACTGCTGGAAAAGATGCCGTACGTCTGGTGCCCTCTCTCAATGTCACTAAGGAGGAAGTGGATATAGCTATGGACGTGCTTGAAGGGTGCCTGTCATCTTTGCGGGGTTAAGTAGGCTTAAGTAGTTACTTGGTTACAATGCGGTGAATACCTAAGACATGGTCAGAAAAGTTTTATGAACAGACATCATTCTGAGACATATTTATCCCACATCACTGATTTTGCACGGTAACAGACTGACACGTGCACATCACTGGACTCTTTGTCGCGTCAGCTGGCCGAAGAACGAACCGAGCCGATGCGGTCGCCATTGGGGTATGCCAATTGGGGATAGTCTACTCGCAGCCGGATAGTGCATGATTTGGACACTTGGCCCATATCGTACGAAGCAAAGCAAAATCAATTCAGAGCAGTGTGACACGGGGACAAGCGCCGTTGTAAATATTAATATTGATTGAGCAGGCCGCCGACTAGATCTTTTTTTGGTTGTCTCAGGTGTGAGTGCAGTGTACACTGGCAGAGAATCAGCGGACCGCTCACAAAAGGGGAATAGCCACGTGATTCTCATCAGCCAATGGGCGCTTTCCTAATTTCCGATATAACCTTTGCCATAAAGTTTCAAATCCCCGATATCCCATATTGTCCCGGTTTACGCTCATCACGGTTTGCTTGTAAGCCTACATATCTGTGCTAGTATCCATCATCTGAGTCACTAATCGTTGATGCTACTGTTTCAGATTTGGCTATATATTCCTTGAGCTTTTTCAAGAGCTCCCAGTACTTGACCATGGAAAAGTTTTCTTCGCTGGCTCGTTTCAAGAGTTCCTGCCCGTTTTTGGGCGGGACGAAGACTTCAACCCTTCGCGCCCTCGGCAGCGCCATTTCCCCTAGATTCCCCTCGATCTCTCAACTCACTGAACGAGCTGCGAGTTGTCCCATCATGGGTCCGGCCCTGGTGATGCGTTCCACCCAAATGGTCGCAGGTTACGCCAGTGTCGCAGGTCAGGCCGACGTCCAGAACATCCACCACAGCAAAGGTATCTTCCCGGGAACCAGTGTTTCCGAAGCGGATATTTCCAAATGCCCTCACGCTTCCGCTGCTCGGGCTGCTGCTCGCATGGCGGACGATCTCGCTGCCGCATCTACTGCGAAGGCACCTGAAGCCAAAAAGGAAGTCCCAAGCACGGCCCAGAGGGCCGCTGCTGCCGGATGCCCTTTCCATAAGGCTGCTGCTGCAAAGGAACAACCCGTCAAATTGTCTGACGTGACAAAAACCCAGACTACTCCTGCCACTTCAGATGCGTACAACTATGACAAGTTTTATGCGGCCGAGCTCGAGAAGAAGCACAAGGATCAGTCCTACCGCTACTTCAACAACATCAACCGGCTTGCAACCAAATTTCCAGTTGCGCATACTGCGAGCGTCAAAGAAGAAGTCCAAGTTTGGTGCGCTAACGACTATTTGGGAATGGGAAATAATCCTGTCGTCCTTGAAACCATGCAGTACGTACAGCCTCTGCAATCATATGATTTTGTCGTAAGCTAACGTTTTTCTTATGCAGTCGGGCATTGGACAAATACGGTGCAGGCGCTGGAGGCACTAGAAACATAGCTGGAAATAGTGCTATGCATCTCGGTCTCGAACGTGAACTTGCTACCCTTCACCGCAAGGAGTCCGCGCTCGTATTTTCGTCTTGCTATGTTGCCAACGATGCAACTTTATCTACCCTCGGTTCCAAACTTCCTGGTTGCGTCTACTTCTCAGACGCTTCCAACCACGCATCCATGATACAGGGCATTCGGCACTCCGGTGCGAAGAAGGAAATTTTTAAACACAACGATCTGGACGACCTCGAGGCCAAACTTAAGAAGTATCCGAAGGACACTCCTAAAATTATTGCATTTGAGAGTGTTTACTCGATGTGTGGTAGCATCGGGCCTATCAAGGAGATCTGTGATCTGGCTAAGAAGTACGGCGCCCTAACTTTCCTTGATGAAGTCCACGCTGTCGGACTTTACGGGCCCCGCGGTGCAGGCGTTGCTGAGCATCTCGATTGGGAATCTCACCAGATGGCCGGTCAAACTTCCGAGCCGATCAAGGATAGCGTGATGGATCGTATTGACATGATTACTGGTTAGTCATTATCATGCATGTCTATCTGAGCGGCTCGGCTTACCGCTGGCAGGTACACTCGGCAAAGCATATGGCACTGTTGGAGGATACGTCGCGGGGTCTCGCGATTTCATTGATATGATTCGTTCATACGCACCTGGTTTCATTTTCACTACCTCACTACCTCCCGCTACAGTCGCTGGTGCTCGAGCTTCCGTCATTTACCAGAAGCACCATGCTGGTGATCGAGCATTGAAACAGGTTAATGTTCGCACTGTCAAGGAACGTTTCGCTGCTCTAGACATACCCGTCGTCCCCGGTCCTTCTCACATCGTCCCAGTCTTGGTTGGTGATGCGGGTCTCGCAAAAGTAGCCAGCGACAAACTTCTTTGCGAACATGGCATCTACGTTCAGGCAATTAATTTCCCCACCGTTGCTGTTGGTGAAGAGCGCCTTCGGGTCACTGTCACTCCCCGCCACACCGCAGAGCAAATTGATGGCTTGATTACTGCAATGGACACAGTGTTCACGGAGCTCAACATCAACCGGATCAGCGATTGGGCAAAGTTAGGTGGACGTGCCAGTGTTGGTATAGGCAAGGAAATTGTCGAACCCATCTGGAGTAACGCTCAGATCAACACCGCTGGACAACCACAGACGTTGCATGATGGAGACGTGGCTTTGGTTGACGTTAATGCAGTTCAGGTGGTTCGGAAGAGCTTTGAGGACCTTTTGGGACCTATCGAGTTAAGCGAGACGGAGACGGTTCAGATGAAGGTGGAAGCTGTGCTGATGACCGGAGCGGTTGAGCACATTGCTGGGGCTCTGCCAAAGAAAGTGAAAGCACCACGGGTTCCTGTCAATCCAATTGACATGCCCGTCGCACCTACTATCGCAGTTTCGGCTTAATGGTTGTTGACACTGTTAAATAAGATCCATATTCCAATGTCAATGCGGTCATCGCCATCACTCTTGCTAGCATTGTGTGCCTGTCTGCTCAAGGTAACATGAAGTTCGCAATCCTTGGACTGATAGTTCAAATAGCTGCACCACGTAACGTCAGATTGAGTTGATCTCACTGTACATCCGACAGAGCACCCAGTAAGCTACGAGCTCTCATCACTTTGGTTGTGATAGTGGACCCTCCATCTGAAAGATCAGTAGGTGATACAGCTGACTCTGAAGTCACAGGATCCGGTGTCTCCGAGGCCTCTACAGAATTGCACATCTGTATGAGGTTCTAGAGAAGAGCATTATGAGACTATTGGTCAAACAAGATAACCAAAACATACGTCTCGAATTCCCCCCTTCACATCTGCGAGATATTTGGTCACTAGGGCAAAATACTTCTCGGGTATCTGTAGTGGAAAACTAAGATCAGCCAACCGACAAACTCACAGGAGAAACTCATCACCATTTCTTCCGACCACAATCTTTTAATTAGCCATATCTGCTTGGCCTTATTGAATTTCCAGTTCGGTGGATCCTCAAATCGTGCATATGCATACGACAACGCTGTAAATCATTCTATGCTCAGTAGACACAAGCGGAAATTTCGCGACATACCTTTCCGACTTTGATTGGACAAAGACTCGTCTACACAAGGATCTGTGGAGGGTAAATCTGGTGGACAGTGGTCTTTCTTTCTTTTGGACGGTTTGCTATCAGATGTTTCCTCCAACTGTTCCTCCGCCTTTCTCTTCTTCTTCTTCTTCTTCTGTTGTGGTTTGTCTGAGGCAGCCTCTTCTGGTGTTTGGACCTTGGTGTCGTTCAAATGTGCGACCTGTTCATCAAGTGCGGCGCCCTCATGTTTGCCTTCGTCTGAGTGCTTAAGTTTCTTTTTCTTCTTCTCCTTCTTAGGTTCGTCACTTCTGTCTTTCAACTGCTCATGCGCCACGTCCCCTGAGTAATTCTTATTCTTCTTTTTCCGCTCCGTATCACTTGTAGTTAAGTTTGCTAACTGGTCATTTTTGGATGCAACATTTCCTGCGGAGGGTGTACTTGAAGGAGATAAGGGAAGACTCGTGCTCTGAGAGTCTCGTGTCGTAGAAGTCGCTTGGTCTTTTGGCGTGGTCATGAGCAACGCGTCACTGGTAGCTTCTCTATGCTTCCTCTTCTTCGACTTTATGCGTTCTTGGCCTGCATCCTTGACATGAGAATCCGCGGACCTGGACTTTTTGTGTGATTTGGGCGATGCACCCCCTATGTCTGTTACAGACATACTGCACAGGACAGGATACGAGGGCTAATGATGATATCGGTAGCAACTAAGTAAACCTAGACTTTTGGATGTACGAGAGCCGGATGGAGGTGATTTCACTCGCTCACGTGATAAGGCCGCCAGCTAAACGCCCCAGAAATGGTATTTACTATTTACACTAGTACGACTACTACAAAGTAAACTCACATACTGATTCCATGGGTCTTACAATATCTTCCCTTTTCACGTCGTTGTCATCGCTGGTACGATGGAGCAAAGATCAGGATGTCCGTATACTCATGCTCGGCCTGGATTCGGCCGGCAAGGTATGTCCACTTGCAAATATGATGTTATTCGGGTTGAAATGGACTGGTGTTTTCGTAGACGACAATCCTGTACCGATTACAGGTGAGTAGTGTTGAAAATATTTAGTGGAGGTCCAAATAAATTTGCAGATTGGAGAAGTGGTTTCTACGATTCCGAGTGAGTATGTCCTCATAGGCTTTGTGGAGTCTGGGGCTCACGAAGAACAACCCAGCAATCGGCTTTAATGTAGAGACCGTTCAGGTGCGTTTCGAAAAAAAATTCCGCATTCATCTGTATTGACAATACTATCTAGTATAAAAACATTAAGTTCCAAGTATGGGATCTCGGAGGACAGTCTAGCATACGGTGTGTACAACTTTTTCTCGTCAGCCATTCCTGACTGGTGCTCGAAGGCCATATTGGCGGTGTTATTTCCCAAATACATCTGCTATCATATACGTCATCGATTCTTCGGATCATGCGCGGTTGACGACGTCACGGAGTGAACTATTGACCATGCTTTCGGAAGATGAACTCAACGGCGTGCCACTCCTTGTTTTCTGCAATAAGCAAGACGTCGAAGGAGCACTTAAACCCGAAGGTATCAGTGAACAACTAGGTCTTGCAGGTCGCGAGACGTCAAGACCATGGAGTGTACGTGGAAGTTGTGCAACAGAGGGGACAGGTCTAGAGGAAGGATTAGACTGGTTAGTGATGTGCCTTGTCCCATTCTTACGATATTGACATGTCTGAATGACAGGTTGGTAAATGCAATACAGAAAAAGTAGAATATGTGGTCGTCCTCGCGCACGTACATCTTCATCGTCTCTTGCATATTTCATCTGCTCGTCTTTGGACAATGGCATACCCATTGGTACAGCAAGCATTAATGTATTTGTCCCATAATTTGCGCTATAGATTTCGATTCCATTTCACGAAGGATGACCGGGACCCTACCCCAGCGCACACTTCGAGGTCAAGGGTCCCGTGCTACTACAAAAAGTAAAACTTGAGGTTCATCAATATTGGCTACTGTTGGTTAGCAAGCACTTCAACAATTTCCTTGGCCTCTTTGTTGTGTGGACCATCAATTCAAACAAAAAGGTTACCACCCTGCGGGCCATCAAAATGTTTGACTCAACACTATTCATATCACAGGTTTGATTGTAAAGAGTTTTTTTTCAATGACAACTACTACACTCACGTCAAGATGTGTAGGTCAATGAATTCAAGTGGACCAAAGCCAATCCCACTTTTGTTCCTCCGAGTTGGAGATACAATTTTGATACACCTCCAAATCAGGCCTCCAGATTCGTACTGTTCCGTCATCAGCACAGCTCGCAACCATGTCCTGTGCCCAGTCGACTGCTCCAATTTCACCCGATTGTCCACGGAAACGGACTGTTGGGGAAATTGGTTCATCAGCCCTCTTGCCGTAAGATGGCGCTACCCTGCCTGCGTTACTGATGTCAAAAAGGAACAAGCTTCCAGCTTGGCTCGTGCTGCCGCTTGCGAGCCAGCGTCCACATGGAGAAGTAGCTAGTCGGACATAGAACGAGTTCGTTTGGAGGTTCGGGTGGGTTTCAGTGCGAAGTGGGGTCAGGGTAGGGTAAGAATAGATGTACAGGCGAGAATCGGCGCCAAGAGCAAAGAGGAGGCCTGCGCTGGGACCTGATCCTTGAGACATGCTTGTGATACCTCGAGAACGAGCACCATGACATATAGTCGGATCCATGATAGAAGAAAATAGCGGGTTGTGTGATGGTTTTTTGGGGCTGCGCTTTGATGACTTGTTCGAAGGAAGGCGAAGGTCCCAGTAGTGTAAGATGCTGCAGGGTCGATTAACTACGCACTTGTAAAAAAAAAAGTAGAACCTTTACCCATCAAAAGATCCGCTACTGACTAGTCCATGAGGTCGGTCATCGGGGTAAAGAATATTTGTGATACCTCTGGGTAAAGGTCGAATCTTTTGTCTGCCTCCAGAAACTTTATCCTGTCCGTGAGCAGCGGTAATTGTGATTACAGCACTTCTTGCGGGGATTTCATCTTGATCGGATAAGTTGTTGACTCGCAGGTCATACAAGCAAAGCATGCCGTCCCTGCCACCCGTAGTCAAAAGGTCTCGATGCGCTGGATCCCACGCAACGCATTTTACAGTGCTGGTATGGCCATCAAGAATGGAAAGCAATTGTTGCGTCTCCACAGAGGATATCCTCGTGCTTTTGTCTCCAGATGCCGTAGCGAGAAGTGTGTCATCCGCATTCCATTTGACGTCAAAAATACCATTGTCATGGGGCTCGAGGGTCACTCGTGCAGGTTCTTGATTCAGGTCAGTAGCGGTCAATGCCGAATTGACATGATTGAGACCTACCACAATCCCATTCTTTCCGTTTGGTCGCATCGAGAATGTGGATGGACCCTTGCTCCGTGGCAACAGCAAGAAGGGGTACACCACCACGTTTTGCTTCTGTATGAAAATTTAATGGGAGTAATATTTCAAAAAGGAAAGTCATGCCATTGGAGTATGCACAGGCGTAAGGGGGTGCAACGTAAGAGTCAACTGTTCTTGAATGACATTTGAAAACATCCGATGTATGCGAGGACACAAATGACTGAAGAATGTTGCGAGATGGCACTGCAGAGGTTCCTCAGGTGGATATACAGAATAAAGCTATTTAACCTACAAAGCATCCGATGAGGCTCAGCAGGATAGCCATTGGAAGCTAGGTCCAACGTTCGAAACACTGTACGACGACAACCTTAACGTCTTTTGACGACAACGTCAATTGCATCATTGCTAGATTCTGCAACCATCAGTCTCGGCTTCTTCGTAGGTGTTTCGTCAGATTGAGATATACGGCGCTTTGGTTTTTCATCGTCTAACGGTGTACCTGGTGTTGGAAGTTGTGATGCGTGGAAGTGTAGGCTCTCCCGAACGTTGGTAGCATCGGAGAAAATTTCGCAGCGAGGAACCTCGGAACTATCAAGCATATCCGAAGAATTGTTTGAACGAGGTAAGTTAGGTAAACGGTGGTGGCAGAACGACCGCGTTCTCTCATACATAATCGCGTCGCGCTGCATCACGTGCTACGCGACTACCACTTTTCTGATTAATAATCGAACATCAAGATTTTACTGCAGCGATGGTCACCCATATTGAATATAGTGTTAACGTAGTACATGGCGTTGCCTGTGACTTCGCCGAAGTGCAGTCAACATTAATATTATGTTTAATGAGCAAGTCAGTGTCCAGTTTGGTTGCCCATGCAATCAATAGCCGTCGCCGAAGATTGAATAAGGTACACAGTAAGGTAGTACGAGAGGTGGAGTAGCATCTGACAGACACTCTTGGCGTACATGTAAAAGACGTCACGCGTCAACGTTTCAACGTGCACGCCTGTCGCGATAAGTACACATGTTCACCTGACCACACGGCACTCACTTGCACCCGGAACGCAGCCGAAAGCCGGTCCGCATGTAAGGAAGTTCGGCTCTCTCCCGAATTATCCTTTCATTCTACCGCGTCTCAAGCCTACGACCTGACAACTAATACTATGGTATTCAGAGTGCCCATTCGTTCGATGGCCACTGCTGCCCGGCAGTCATTAAAAATTGGGATGCTCCCAGCTGACGGAATTGGCAGGGAAGTTTTACCTGTTAGTGTTGGTATTTTTCCACTGGTATAGATTGATAGACACGCTGGTCAGGGTGCGAAGGCTGCCATTCTGGCTCTTGGATCATCTATACCGAAGACGGAGTTTATTGACTTACTCGCTGGTTTCGAGTACTTCACGAAAACAGGAACTGCACTTCCTGACGAGACTGTTGAGACATTGAAAAATGAATGTGATTGTGCACTTTTTGGGGCTGTCAGGTATGCACTCTTCACCTTGTGGGCAATACACCAAGCCTAATACATGAATAACGCTAGCTCTCCGTCTCGAAAAGTGACTGGGTATTCTTCACCAATCGTCGCACTTCGCAAAAAGATGGATCTATACGCCAATATCCGGCCAGTGAAATCAGTGTGTTCAGTTCCTTGCTCAATGCTACTCGGCCTGTCCATTGATATATATTTCCGCCAGGTTTCCGTAAATCCTGAAGGGAAGCCAGGTGTAGACCTTGTTGTTATTCGTGAAAACACCGAGTGCCTGGTAGTACCATTTTCGTGCGACATTTCTATTTAACTTACAGGCACAACAGTACGTCAAGCAGGAAACACAGACTGTCGGGGAACACGGCAAGGAGGCCCGGGCTACTCGCCTCATCACAGAACGGGCTTCCCGCCGGATTGGCGAGTTGGCGTTCAAAATGGCCTTGGAGCGCCCTCATAAGGTACTCGAACACTTATTGCTTAAACATCTCCGGTGACACATCGGCTTAGCACTTGACCGTGATCCACAAATCGAACGTCCTTTCTATTACGGATGGTCTGTTCCGCGAGACAGTCCGTGCAGTACCAACATTACCTGGTGTGGATGGCAAGTATGATGATGTAACAGTTGCCGAACAACTTGTAGATAGTGCTGTGTACAGGTGCGTGAGATGTTTTGATTGTTAGCATGCAATGACGTATTCTGTGTTCCAAGATTGTTCCGTGAGCCCGAGTAAGTCTGTCTTGGAAAGCCAGATTGCGCCCTGAATGAACTATTTCCTAGAATTTATGATGTGATGGTTGCACCCAATCTCTATGGTGACATACTTTCGTATGTCGTTCGTCAGTTCCACTTTTATGTTGTTTGACCCGCTTGGTGTAGGGATGCAGCTGCAGCGTTGGTGGGGTCGCTTGGTTTGGTGCCTTCGGTCAATGCAGGAGATTCATTTGTAATGGGGGAGCCGTAAGCAACGACATCTGCTAGGGTTCAGCTCATTGATTGACTTTCACAGTGTTCACGGCTCTGCACCAGATATCGCTGGACAAAATATTGCGAACCCATTGGCAGCAATTCGTTCAGCGGCGATGATGCTGCGTCATATTGGATATGGTGATGGCGCGAATCGTATCGAAAGAGCGGTAGATTCTGTTCTCAGGGAAGGCAAGGTCCTGACACCTGATTTGGGTGGTAAGAGTAAAACGAGTGAGGTTGTGGACGAGGTGACAAAGCGGATCTAAGGGATGTAGTAACCTTACGTTAAGGTTAGGTGTTAATGTAAAGGGATAATCATTTCCACATGATGCCTGGTTTACGCGTGTCCTGTCTATCTCCCATTGCATCTGAGAAAGTTATCGATCTACGCCATTTGGAAATCTTCTATCGTAATTTGCCCTGATCTTGTTCATTTACTCGGTTCATTATCCTCGAGCCTTTCATTTCTTGTCCTTACGCGTGTCAGTGCGTCACTAAACACGAGTCTCACAATCTACGTATTTCGTGTGGGGTAAGATGCCCAAGAATAACAAGAAGGGCAAGCAGAAGGAGACTCCTGCTGCTCCTGCTGCTGCTCCACCTCCTGCTGCTCCACCTCCTGCACCTCTACCTCCTCCTCCGCCACTTGCACTGCCTCCTCCCCGGATAATGACCATAGATACGATTGAGGAAGAGGAGGATGATTTCGGTGGACTCGGTGAGTCCTTTTTGCCCATCTCATATCCATGGACACAGGATTCTGAATGTTATCTCCCACGAAGGTGACATGGATGCTGGAGAGCTTAATGAGGATTCTTGGGAGCAAATGTATGACACGGGCGATGCCCCACAGGATTTGAATGGCTGGGCGTCCAATGATCCTCAAAATAGCAATGGTGACTGGGCCACTGATGAGCAATGGGAGACGGGCGCTCCTCAGGCACAGATGCCACCACGACAACCGCAGAAGGACGGTGGCAACACTAAGTCTCAAAAAAAACAGCAGCATCAATACCAGCAGCAGCACCATCAGCACCATCAACAACACCAACAGCATCCCCAACACCAGCAATCGCAACATAATGATGGATGGGGAAGCGGCGGCGGAGCTTGGGAAGATGCTGGAGGAACGCCAGCACCAGCGAAAAAGCAGATCTCGAAAGGTAACTGGAGTCAAACCACTCAGCGCGCTATGGATGAGCCTGCCTGGAGTAATTGGGGCCACGAAGCTGGCTGGGAACAAGACGGAGATACCTCGGAAATCGAGGAAGAAGAATGGTCCGCTGAGGACGGCTCATGGGGAGCGCCGGCGGCAGCCTGGCCTCAACAGCAGTCTACCCATGCACCACAGGCGTACCCTCAGAAGCAGTCTACTCATGTCCCACAAGTGCATGCTCAGCATCAACCGAATCAGCAGAGCGGTTGGCAGACATGGGGGGAAGAGGCACGAAGATTACCCAAGGTGACTTTTTATTCCACTATTTATCTTCTCCCAGTTCCACTTGGAGCATAACAGTCCTATCTTAGTTAATCTGATATCGTTACTTATTGAGTTACCACAGAGTCAACAGCCATATGCCGCTGCCAATCCGCCCCCAGGTACTGGTGGCTATTTCCAGCCGCAAGGCACAAACAAACAAGCATCTCAGCAGCAATCTGCTAATACACAGTGGTCTCAACAACAGGCTGTCATGTCAGCGGCATTCCGCCAGCAACAAGAGCAAGCTTACGCTTTAGCTCAGGCGCAGAGTCAGCACAAGCAGTTGCAACAGCAGCAACATCGCCATGTTCAGCAGCAACACTCTGAAACTTACGCTTTAGCTCATGCGCAGAACCAGCACAGGCAGCAACACCACCACCAGAATCAGCCGCAACACCGCCAGAACCCCAACCAATTGCCACACCACCAGAACCCCAACCAATTGCCACACCACCAGGACCAGAACCAGAACCAGCCGCAACACCATCATGACCCGAGCCAACCGCAGCACTATCATAATCCAAATCAACCGCAACACCATCATGACCCAAACCAACCGCAGCACTATCATAATCCGAATCAACCGCAACACCATCATGACCCGAACCAACCGCAGGACTATCTTCATCCGAATCAACCGCAACACCATCAGGACTCGAACCAGCCACAACACGAAGGGAAGAAGCACAAGAAAGACAAAGAGAGTAAGCAGAGCAAGAAGGAGAAGAAACGCCAGCAAAAGGAGCAGGAACAACAGGAACAACAGGAACAACAGGAGCATGACAACGATGTCTGGGGTTTGGGCGAGGGCTGGCGAGATCTTGAAGACGATCCTGATGATTACGAGGATACGCACGATGCATGGGGTCGAAAAGTACATTTCTCGCCTCCTCGCACCGCTCCTTCCGTTGCTCCATCTGCAGTAGTAGAAAACATTATCGTCAACGCATTTCCCCCAAATAAGCTCGGGTTGTCGACATACGGCGGCACGCCATCGAAAACACTTACTTACGCATACCATGGAACAGCAGCACCCATGGAAAATCGCCCAGCCCGCAACACCACGCATGATTTTGCAGACTTTATCGAGTCTAAGGGAGCTGCAATAAGTCCTGTGGCAGGTGCCTTTTTCGGTGGAAATTCGCGCATGGCGAAAGACCGTTTCCACTGGATGTTCCCGCCTGACAAAGACGAGCGCGTCGCTTCTAAGCTGGCATGGATCCAGTCGGTATCACCCGGACTGGGCTCGTTTGGAGTAAGTCGAATCTCCATATGTGATTATTCGCCATGTTGAAACCGTTTAAAGCTGCAGAAATTTTTGCAAACACGCGAGCGTGGCGCTCTCATAGTGAACGCCGATTATCGGCCTTCAAAGTCACCGAATGAACCAGCTTTTGACTGGTTAACATACCCGGAGCTACAGAAGACCATGGATCGTACTCTGCAAGAGTCGGTGGCCTTTTACGACCCCTCCGCGCTGGTGGTCGTTTTCGTATTTCTCCCATCTAAGTCGGGCAATAGCCTGGCTATATGGCGCCGCAAGATCGCGGTGCCGAGTAATGTGCGCCTAGCGTATCAGGCGCAGATAACCCAAGCTATAGATTCTCTACACAGAGACTATTCTGTATATGTAGATGAGTATGTCGCTCTGATGGCAGTGTTGGTCTTCGTTCGATTGACTTCCGTGATAGGATACCTCCCCCTAAATCCGAAGCTCCCAGCCCTCCAAAGAAACGCAAGTGGTGGAAGTTGTGGTTATCTACGTGAGCGTTTGTTTTTGTACATATGTATACCTTTCTTGCGTGGAACTTGTATTAGCCTTGGCCCGTTGCGCATCTTACACGTTATGTCTTTCTAGTGTGATACCAGTTGTATCAACTGTATGATGGGCTTGCTTTTGTCGTCACTATTGTATCATGTTCACATATTCTACGTAGAGCCTTTTGGAAATGCTTTGCCGTTGTTGTAATAAAAATCAAGATATGGGTTCACTCGGCTCACACAACACACATATATATGATACAGTACTCCGATGCTCAGATATCGATACATCATGAAATGTATCATACAGCTACCCAGACCTCCTAGTCTATCCCAATCAATTCTGGAACCATCCCATGATTCTCCCACTGAAGTAGGGGTATCTGGTTGACAATTATATGTGGCTACCTCAGCCCCTCCGACTGCGCTATGTGGAATTTGAGTGCAAGTCGGCGAAGCCTTTCCACACCATGACCATCAATGACACTTGACGTAATGCCGTGATGTAACTCTACTTCGTACATGAATGCGGCAACATCAGCCAGTGAAGTGCCCAGCTGGGGAAGAAGTGCCAGGCGTTCGCTGTAAGAAAACGACGTCAGCAAAGATGGGCGTATCACAGAATGACTGCAATTCCAGTTTCCGCTTGCCTGGTCAGCTTTCTCTCTTCAAGAAGCTGCTTCAGAGCGTTCCGTGTCGTCATCTCTGACGCATCGCGTTCCACGCGAAGCTGTTCGAAGCTGCGGCGCAGCTGAATGAGTTCCGTTCTTGCAGCCTCAAGCGAGGCTGAGGTGCGATGTGATTCCAACTTCCGTGTGGCATTCTCAGTCGCAGAAGTCTTTAATTCCGCCTGCAAAGCAGTGGTTGCGGCTGAGAGTTCGTCCAACCTTCTGGATAGAGCGGAGATACGCCTCTTAGATAGCAAATATGGCACTGTAGCAAGTGGTGTGAAAAACACTGCTAACACTGTAAAATGGGTGATGGCTGGATGTCTTTGAAAAAAGTTGACCCGTGCATCCAGCACGGCGTTTGTGGGTGCAGCAGAAGTGTTAGTATCAGTGTTTTCTGGCGGTCTGGCCTCCATATCATGAAGAGAAGCCGAGCAGAACGCTTGAAGTAGAAGTACCGACAGTGACAGTCGCAACTTGAAGACCTGGCGGCCTGAGATCTTCTCCCGCCGGCAATTGAACCGAAGGCGGTCCGGCTTAGGTAATAGATGTACCGGTGACTAGTAGGCTTAGCGTTTAGCGCCTAGGCCTCGTTGAATTCTGCAGGCAAACGTGCGGTCATAAGACTCTGCTATCTAGCGTTACGAACTTATCTGCAGGCAATGCGACATTTTCCTGGCTGATAATTTTCATATATTTGTTAGTCTTTATCTTACTGGATGTTGCCCGAGGTGCCTGGACCAATAGCCACGCCAGCGGCTGCTTCATGTGTTTCTCCAGATATGGCGTCCGGCACGCCTCCACTCGATCAACAGGCATTCGCTGGCTCTGATTCGGAGCTCTCTCAAGCTCAAGTCTTGCAAAATGAGGAGGAACAAGCGTTAGAGATTCATGAGGTCATTGAGCTTCAGGCATTCAGCGAGCGGAAAGCCTGGATAGAAGATAAAATCAAAGTGCGGATGTGTCATTATTATCCCTGTCTTCGGGTTAATTTTTCTTTGTCCCATAGTTCTTGGAGGCACTTCCTCCTATCGAGGTTTTTGTCGGGCTGGATGCCATACGAACCTCCGCAGAAGACATCCCCGGTTTACCCACGCGCAAACAGCTTCAGGAATGGCTTGCAGAACACGACAGGATTGAGAAAGAGACAGAAATTTTTGACTCTGGGGAGCTCAAGAAACTTAGGGCACTCACTAAAGGTATAGGCCTCCTGTTCTTCTTTTAAATAAGTGCTGACGATGGCACCAGCGGCTACACAGAGGCATCTTTCACCAGAAGACACTGACGTTATCGAACTCACTCTCACGACCATCTATGAACTCGACAAGCTCCTCCACCTCCTGCGGGACCGCTCCGAAAACCTTGATCTTCTGGGTATTAGGCTGACGTGGGAAGAGCAACGTCGCGCAGCCTGGAGTGACCGCCAGAAGATACTTGCAGACATTGAGAATTTCCTCACTACTCGTGCTAGATGGTCGCCTTCCGTGTATGAATTCATGGTTAAACCTGAAGAAAAGCCCTCAAATCGTCGTGGCTCTGTTGCTTCCATAGCTTCAGATACGTCTGTTACGTCCAATACTGGTTTCTCTCGCAGCGCCCGTTTCAAGCTTGCAGAACTCCTTTCGCGGGATTCGGCACAGGTTGCTGGCAGAGTGTCGTCTCTTAGGCATGGAAAGGTCGCTGCGGCTGGCAAAGCTCTAGACAAGTTGATAGACAACAGTCGCAGGGCTGTTCCGGAGGAGCTACTGGACGAGCAGGACAAACTCGAGGACAAAGGCATCAACGAGATGGAACACGTCGGCAAATTTGTCATGAATATTGTTACGCAATGGCGGAAGTGAGACTTCTGGTTTTCTAGATGGTCATTTCGCTAATTGCTAGTCAGAGCTGATGAAATCTACGTCGAAACAATGAAAGATGAGAATGCTGCCCAAAACCTTTTGGAAGAAATCGAAACTTCGAAGCTTTATCACCCGACTTTCCGCCAGAGTACCAGCTTCCTTTCCCGTGCAGAGACTCTGGTGAAAAGGCTTGCTGTGAGGGGTAATCCTATCGCAAGTGGCACCTTCCCGCGACCACAACATGTTCTCTTTCCTGACCAACAATCAGCCAACGAGGCGATCAGTCAAATCTTGTCCTCAGAACTTGCTTCTACTTCGAATCTCGTTGCCAAGGTTGATTCTCTTGCTAAGGAGTACAGAGTTGGTTATGAAGCTGTTAAGGATGTCGAGTCCTTGTCCCGGTCTGCTGATAAACTAATGGAAATCTTCAACTCCGCTATTAATCGCCTTGAAAATGGAGTCACTGCCTGTGATGGTGACGGCACCCCTCCTAGTCTCATATCGGAGGATTGTTTGCATCCTACGGCTCATTCCGCATTCATTACTTTCCTACCATCAATCACTCAAGAGGTGGAGCAATCATGCACTCAAGCCGACCATCTACTGCGAGCCTTTCGGGTGGCACTTCTCAATGCAGAGCGACCCGGTATTGACCAAACATTCAAGGACAATGCCACCGCTCAGATTGAGGCTTTAGTTGCTGTTCGCGACAAAGCTGCTGCTATTTGCGCTGACGTGAACACAAGACTCGGCAGACTCCGTGTAGCTAGGAGAGTTTGGTCGATCATGGATGGTGTTTTGAATGAACTGGAGGACACACGGAGCGAGGTCGCCGACCTAATGGAGAGAGAAAGATGGAAACAGACCAATCAAAGTGCAGAACCTCTGACTCCGGAGACGCCACCTCAAGATGTTCTTCCTACACCCTCAGTGTCGTCTAGCGACATAGTGGGTCGTTTAGAGGTCGTTTACCAGACCCTCACAAATGATGTGATGCATCCCCTGGCTACCTTAAGTGGAATGCTTGAGAAGCCCCTGGACGAATTCCTCTGTCGTACCTCTGAAGGGTTATTTGGTCACTTGGACAATTTGAAGCAGATGGTCGTTCTCCTGGACGCTATTCGGTCACAATATGCAGCTATGACCTCTTTTCAGGACAGCGTTCACGAGCTCCAGGTTCGGGTTGAGGACCTCAAGATCCATTATGATGCCACCATCGAGGAAATTCTTAATGGCCAACTTTGTGGGGAAAGCTTGGGTAACGCGCAGGATCAACTAAAGGACGAGTCAGATGCGCTTCGTAATACTGCCGACGCATTCACGAACACCGTAGCTCAGCGGATACCGTTCCTCTCTCAGCATGTATCCGATCAAAGGAACGCACCTATTCTCGTTCGGAAAAGGTTTTCCTCCGCAGGAAACATAAAACTCATCTCATTCGATGTACCAGCCACCATCGAACCACCCTTCACGTTACGCAGCCTTGATGACGCCGTTCGAGGAGACTCCAATTTGCTAGTTATGCATCTCTTAGGGGATGTACAAAGCCTCGAGCAGAAGACTGAACATCTTCAGCTGGCATGCATGGCCAAAGATGTTGATTCTGAATTGACCTTGGTGGCTGATGACCTGCGTGGTGTCACTGAAGAGCTTGGCTCGCTGAGAACACTACTGGACTCTATCTCTCAAGCAGACGATAAGCTTACTCCGCTGCAAGATCTATCAGAGGAGCTTGACAGACATTCATCGCAACATCGTTCTCGCTTATCGCGCCGCCTCTCCTTGATCCGTGAATCCTTGCGCCGAATGGAATCTTTGCCTTGTTCGCACGATCATCGTATCTACGAGACTCTCATCATGTCACGAAGAAGGGAGGTGGATAACCTTGAGGTTAAATTGAGTACCTGGGCCGATAATGCAGCTATGCTTCGGGGCAAGCTGTCGGTTGCGCTCACCACGGAGGCAAAACGTATCGAGGCTGCTAAACTCAGAGAGGAACAAGAAGCGGAAGAGAGAAGGCAGCGGGTTGAACTCGAACGCAGGGAGGCGGAGGCGAAAGCCAAAGAAGAGCAAGAACGCAGAGAGGCGGAGGCCAAGGCCAAAGAGGAGCAAGAACGCAGGGAGGCAGAGGCGAAAGCCAAAGAGGAGCAAGAACGCAAAGAGGCGGAGGCGAAAGCCAGAGAAGAGCAAGAGCGCAGAGAGGCGGAGGCGAAAGCCAGAGAAGAGCAAGAGCGCAGAGAGGCGGAGGCGAAAGCCAGAGAAGAGCAAGAGCGCAGAGAGGCGGAGGCGAAAGCCAGAGAAGAGCAAGAACGCAGAGAGGCGGAGGCCAAGGCCAGAGAAGAGCAAGAACGCAGAGAGGCGGAGGCGAAAGCCAGAGAGGAGCAAGAACGCAGAGAGGCAGAGGCGAAAGCCAGAGAAGAGGAAGAGCGCAAAAAAGCAGAAAGGCTAAGGATTGAGAAGGAGCTGCGTGATGAACAACAGGCGCGGGAAGAGCGTTTGAAGGCCGAGCAGCAGCAAGCCGAGATGGAGCGTCAGGCGCGAGAACGCGAACGTCTTAAAGCTGAGGCTCAAAGAAAGGCGGGCATTCAGCTACAGGAAACCGAATACCAGGAAAGAGATGAATCGCAACTATTTGAAGGTGAGGGGCCCAGTCTTTGATATTCAGTGATAAGTTCTGATTATTTGCGTTAGATGTATTTGGGTTGCGTATTGCTCCTTCTCCGTCACCGACGAAAACCCATCAGAGGGGCGATCTGCTGGATAAAGTTGTCTCGCTGAGGAAACGACTTCGTTCTATCGGCATCAATGAGGTTGCACATCCGGCAGCTAATTCGAATTCTTCCAATCATCTACCAACTCTGGAGCAATACGGGAAGATGAATGCTCTCTTTGCGTCCATAGTTTCTGAAGTATCCGAGCTTGCTGCGTTACCTTCTTCGATGTCATCCCCTGCCGCAGATATGGAGTTGCGATCGGCAAATTCGGAAGTCGAAGCATCCACCGAGCTGATGCAACGGATTCGACAATTAGCCGACCTATCTGATGTCGCTCATCGTTGCGATATGGCTCTCAGCGATCTGCTTGAGCACATTGACAGCTACCCTTCTCCTCCTGCTGGACCACTTTCTAGCACGCATGTCTCGACCTCACGTTTGCCTCCAGAAGAACAACTTGCAGCTCGCCTTGCTTTCACGAAGCGCATTGTTACTCAAGTAGCGGCATACATAGAATCAGTCAAGGACGATGCTCGCGCCAGTTCTGAATATCGACGTGTTCAGCAGACATGGGTCGAGTTGGAAGAAATGGCTCACGATAGGATCTGCGGCAAGAAATCCCGTCCTACTAGTGTCCTCAGCTCTGGTAGGAATAGTAGTGCATCTGGTATCAGCTCTGGGGCGACTGGTCACGCCAGAAAGGCCAGTGGTTATTCCAATCTCTCAGTAAGAGGATCTGCCAATGGGCGTTTCCTAGCTCCAGCGCATCCAAGCCCCCGCCGAGTAGCGTCTGGCGATTTGCAAACTCGACCCCGGCCGTCCAGCAAACTTTCTATGCTATCTACCGCTAGCATGTCAAGATCAGTGTCACTAGCAGGGCCAATGGCAACGCCTTCATCATCATCTTCTCTGCACGGTTCAACTTTTGCATCTCGTCAGCGTACTGCTAGTCTATCTGGTAATGCAACTCCCAACACACCGACGAAGCAACCTCCAGTTCCTACCCGTCCCCGTGCGCAGACACGTTCGAGGGCCTCCCCCACACCTTCGGAAGCTTCTGTCGTCGCACGGTCCACCGCAAGTCACTCAAGGTCATCTTCATCCATGTCCACGTGGGCCCGCGCACCGCGACAGTCATTTCCCGCGTCAAACAAAGTCCAGACACCCCCGAAGAAAATGCAGCCACAAACACGGAAAACCTACGTCGCTAATCCCAAGAACAAACTGGACGTCGCGGTTGGAGACGTCGTCAACAAATTGCCAGTCAACATCAATATCGAGGTAGTCGCCGACACTTGGAAGGATCAAAGCGGGAAGTATTGGATTGGTGATCAAGAGCCAAAGCTATGTTTTTGTCGCATATTGCGCTCGCAGACTGTTATGGTGCGTGTTGGTGGTGGTTGGCAAGAATTATCAAAGTAAGCACGCGGAGAGTCCTGGCCTGATGATTTCACTAACATAATATACAGGTTTATCAAAGATCACTTCGCAGATGTGTTTCGTATTATGCCTCCAGAGTCTCCTCCCAAATTTGGCTCTCCCCGCTTTGGATCTCGAGAAGAAAAGTGGATTAGCTCCGCGACTTTGCTCGAAGCGCCTGAAATTGTGACTACTCCTCCCCCCTGCACCCCCGAACCTAGGGGACCTTTCCTTCCTTCCTTCACCATCTCGACTCCAGGAGCGCATAGTCCACATTCAGTGAAGTCTACGCCATCATCGGGATCTCCCTTGGCTCCGCTTCAGTTTCTGAGGCGAGCGGATCCTGACGCAATGCGCCCAGTAACGCCATCGAAACCACATCGACCTCGAAAAAGCATTCCTAACACCCCAGCTCGGCATAATCTATGGAGACCATGATAACCTACAATTTCTTCTACTCGCATATTATCCAACTGACTCTGTTGCCGATACCTCCCTCATCTATTAATTAGATATTCGTGTTTCATGTATCAAACACAATTGTACATTGATACCACTAAGTTGCACCACTTTTTTGGTTATGTATTTGTTTTGTTGTTTAGGCTTTGTTGACATCGCTGAGGCCTGGACTCAACTACAGTAGTTTCCTTTTATGAACAATTTTAAATCTAAAGCACTGGCAGTGCCCCTTTCACCTTGTCCACCGTGACTCTACAGAACTCCCTGGCCTGAAGTACTCGTACTGCGAGGATGGATGCAGAGTTACGATGTAACCGATTGACATGTCGCAAGACTCTCATTGATAAGGCAGTGGTGGTAAGCCCATCGCTTTCTTGTTCGGATTTTGCTCTGTCCACAACGATTTTTCTAGACAACATGTAAGTAGTCAGGCGTGATTTATGGTTTATGAATAATCATTTTGCCCTAGGCTCGCATATATTCTGCGGTAAGATCTGAAGAAGGCGGAACGACTGAACGCAAAGGGGTCACTGACTGGAAATGACTCTTGTGGTTCCATTAGTTGACTGTGCGAACGAATTGTTCAATGCCTCACGGTTATGTCCTGGTAATTTTTGTTTTTTTGTTTGCATAATGTATTCTGATTGACGTCCTAGCTTGTGAAACAACACTGACCGAGCCGTAAGTCACTTGTCGATGCTGTAATTCGAGGCGAATTCATCAACTGTAATATCACGAAGAGACGATGTGGTTGTAAGCCACTTGACACACTACGTCCTGCTTCAGATTTCTGAATGTTTTCAGGTGTGCTCATTACATCCAACTAATGACTACAAAACGGTGAGTATATGCGCGAAATTCTTCATCAAACCCAAGCTTAGTGTCGGTAGTCTGTTCTTTCGGGCCTCAGCCCGTCCTTAATCATGGAAATTTGCAGCCAGTGAGCGTCTTGTTTCTCATAAACCCTCTCTCAGTTCCCCGATCGTCTAACGTATGTGGTGGAGGGCTCTATCATTCTGGCAGTATCAGGTACACCAAGAGAAGTACGTGCTATACTACTCGTGGAGTAGGGGTATTGTATCAGTATATTAGTTCATTCCAGCAAGCGGTCATCCGCAACCTCAATGACAAACAAGCACAATTGCAGAAGCAGCTAGACAATGTCATTAGAGAAGGTGATGCTCCTCCTGCGTTAGACTATCTTCACTCACAGCTTCCAGCTAATGGGGAAATCAATCTTCTGAGCAACAAGGTCGCAGGTATAGTGAACCGCCTCACTCACAGAATAGCAAAGGCTTCAATTGTCTCAGAGTTGGAACGAGACATGGAACTGGAACGGCGAAAGGTTCATGAACTACAAGATTCTTCCAGAGAACGCGAGAAGGAGTATCAAAAACTCAAGGTCGCTTCGACGACTGCCTGGAGGTTTGATATACTGACAGTTGTGCTAGGCCCAATACGACAAAGCCAAGCGGAAGTCGTTACTTGCTCCGAGCGCAGCCCCGCATGGGCAGGGTGTCGGCGGCGGGAATATGTTTGATCGACCTCCTCAAGATGACCATAATAAAGGTACAGCTGGTGTGGATATTGGCCCGGTGATCAGTAGAATGGACGCGAATGGGGTACAGGATCCCTACTTGCGAAACTGAATTTACCTAATAAAACCTCAGATACAAAGAACTCCATTGGTTAATCGCACCATGGCTGGCCCTTTCGGGCCTCATCAAAGCGCCGCTTGGCCACAGCCTGCTCGCCCTCAGCAGCGCACCAACGTGCAGCGACGACCTTTTGCTGTCAGCAACAACGATCATTCATATAGAACAAACAGTATGTCGGACCGTTCCGATAGTGCCAACGAAGTTGAAAACATGCTCCTCCCACACTTCAATCGTTCAAAAGTTCCTCCGCCATCCGGTGGTTCGGGTGGGTCCGGTTGGGGCGGGCCAAGTCCAAATGCTAGACCTCGTCTTACCCAGCAGCATCGTGAGCTAACCATCGTCAGAATCATAACTGTCCTAACACACCGATCTCGCAGAGTTCAGTAGCAATCAGGCCGTCAAACATGGATTCAGACCTGCAAGGTAAATCTCAACACAGTAACAGTCTATTCCGATTGCGGCAGTAGTGTAGTCCCAGAAACAAATAATACATGTATCATATAGACGAGTCGGAGCACGAAGTATAAAATGTGCGAGCGAAAAGCAAACAAAGCATAAATGAGCACTGTCAGATCATACATGACGAGAGGATGGATTAGTCATGACGTAGAGTTCCATTTTTCTCGTCTTCGAGATATTGCCCAATAGCAAGGATATCCTGGCCTGCCCTACGGAGATACCCTCCAAGGACAGTTTTATCGGCCTTCGGGAGCAGAGCAGCAAGCTTGTCCACCTGGCGTGCGAATTCGTCTGAGTCAGTGGGTGATCCGCGGTCGGAATATGTGTTGCGGCCAGTGAGTTGCGACGGTCGGTGTATAACAACTGTGCTTGATCGGTGGTGACCCAAGCCATTTGGCACGGACTGAGGGGATAAAACTATGGTTTGGGACCTTTGCATACGATTAGGGGGTGCGCGTGGACCCCCTGGCACAGATGGGGAATTCGGAATAGTCATCGGTCGCGGATTCGGCTCCTGTCGTGGTGGACTTCTAGACAGCGCCCTCCCGATTACTGGAGCTATCAATGCCACACCTTTATCCTTCTTCAGACTTGTTTTCCGTCCCAAGGACGCAAGGAAGCTTGCTGGAGACTTGTTCGATGAAGTAGGGGAAGTCAGTGAGCGACCAGAGGATGAAGATGAGCTAGCAATGATAGTGGATGCCCTATTTGGCCCATTGCGTGGCGCTGAAGCAAGCGCTGGGTATGGAAGCGAAGGAGGTGCATTGGGGGGACTGGAGTCACCAGAGGGAGGTGCCGACAAATCTGTAGCCAGGTATGCGTCTGGGCGTCTAGGAAAAGTAACCTCAGAGCCAGTCGAGGACTCCGAGATATTACGAGTTTGGGTGCGGGGAGAATGTGTCGATGGAACACGAGCACTCGTGTTCGCAGGGGTGCGCTTTGGGGGGTTTGCAGCTAATCATGCTGTAAGCGCATATATGTATGAAGGACCAATGTAACTCCCACCTTTATATCTTGTCTCTACGATCCAATCACCTAGTCCAGAATCGTACAAATAGAGTTCATTAATCTTTTGCGCATATCCTACCGACCGATCGAGTGTGTTTTTCTTCACAACCACATCTGCGAAATGCATGCATGGCGGCCACGCTGACTTGACCTTCTGAACTGGAGGTAGTGCTTTTGGCACTGGATGCCCCACGAACGATGGCGACGGCGTCCTCGAAGACATTCTGATTTCCGTAGAAGGCTGGGTGAGCGATACCGGTGAGGGCGTGCGTGGAAGAGACGAAAACCGCTTGATACTGAGCGCACTTCTAACTCGTAAGTCTGAAGGCTGAGGCTCGTTCTTCGCCGGCAGGGGCGGAAGCACTTCAGGTTTACTCTCACTCTCGACGCTATCATTGTCATCTAGTGGTGGCGTGGGTGTTAAGGAGATGCGTCGAATGTCGAGACCAGATCGGTTGCCCCGATTTTCGTTATGCCGTAAGGGCTCAAGAACGGTCGGGGGAGGAACGTCAGATGAACGGATTATACCCATGTCATCAATTGCGTGTCCGATGGTAGCAACAAGGTCATCTATAGACTCATGGCGGGGAAGAGGAACAATCGTTCGACCTGGGGACACAGTAAGGTTTGATTTTGTGTCTGAGGTGCAAATGCGTGAGGGAGGGAAAGCGCCTTCACGAATATGAGCTGGCGTCTGGGGAAGTTCAGACTCATTCTCCTTGTCTGAGGTATTGGGCCTGTGGGAGGGTCATTCGATACGGGCAGGAACACAAAAGAAAATGGCGCACTGAGACTTTGGCTCCTCTGATCGGGATTCGGAGGTCACTGGTTGCAAGGGACCTATCCCTAAAGGGCTAGTACTCGAAGTCGGAGCAAGCTCCTTCACTGCTTCCAAAGGCGGGGAATTGGCACTAGTAGTCATTCCACGCTCTGCCTTGGGCTCCGCGAGAAGTATTCGTGTTTTGAGTGCAGCTGCGACAGAGGGTGGCAGAGCCAATGCTTGCTTCACAGCATCCATATCATTTTTCTTCTTCAATGGCTGATGTCGAGGTGGTCTAGGTGGAGGCGGCGCACTGGGATCAATACTAAAGACAGACATGGGAGGAGGAGGTAGCGGTCCTGCTTTTGCATGCAGACCAGGCTGATAGTGCAAGTAGGGAGTAGCAGGTGTGGCTGTAGATGTATTGGATAGGCTCTTAAAGTGCTTCCCAATCATAGGTGTAGGCGATTCGGGCAAGATATTGACGATGACAGGACCGGCCACACGATCACCAATGCTCTTGCTCTCTCCTATGCGTGGCGTCACCTCAGGAGCGGGCATAGGGCTTGCTAGGGGAGACGCAGTTTCTTTCAGCTCCTTAATTGGGCTTATACTAGGGAAGAGCGCGTCTTTCCTCTGTCTACTCTTGGGAGGTGCAGTGGAGCTCCCTGAATCAGACGTCTCAGGTGTCCCAGGGGAAGGTGAACGGGATTGGGGCGTTTGAAATAGGGGTGGTTTGAGGACTTCTGTGACAGAAGATGAGTAGCCCTGGTCTGATGATTTACTTGAAAGAGATATTGTGCCTACGACAGCCACCTCGCGCGATGACTTCCGAGAGTGCTTCGTAACTTGTCCAGATACTCTGACCGTCTCTGATGATGAGCGTCCGTGAGAGGGTGCAGTGTTCGAAGAGGGCTGTGATTGGATGGACGGAGGCTGAAGAGGTGAAGTGAGTGGATGGGCAAAGCCGAAAATTTGTGGCGACGCGTCCGGTGGTGCAACAAATGCGAGACCACCTAGTAGCTGGGTCTCACGACCTCGTTGGGGATATAAGTCGCTTGAAGAAGTGTTCGCGTAGGAATCACTCTTCGGGTACTCGCCAACATGTGTGCTCATCTCAACGATAGCAATGCGTCGTCTGTCTGCGCTACCCTCGGATGGTATGCTTGGGCGGCGCGCTAGCCCTCCTTTCAAACCAAGTGGGGAAACAGGCCGTGTCTGAGGAGGTTTATACGCGCTTGGAGCAGTCGCACGCGCCTTTGAGGACTCAAAAGAGTAAGCGGAGGAAGAAGATTGGGTAGCAATAGACGTCGACGAGATCGAACGAGAATGAACTGGAGAAACAAAGGTGGATGAAGGACTTGAACTGGGAGCTAGACTGCTGACATCCGACATTGCTCCATTAACCGCAGCAGACTTGTAATACGATAAAATCGCCTCGGTATCTCCGTTGGGAGGTGACTGTAACGTTGATCGCACTAGTGTTTTAGCTTGGTCTAGTTCAGTTACTACAAGCAGGTTGCCAGGGATTACGAACTGACCTGAAGCAGGCAAATCGGTTCCAGTGAACGCAACCATCATTATGATAACGACTGTGACGGTATCAAAGAGTGTTAAGTTTATCACCACGTTCCTTTTAACAAGGATCCTTGATCTGGTCACACGACGAGAGCCTAAATTTATGGTAAGAGGGGTGTTGTTGTCTGGAGAGCATTTGGTCACTGGGTTGTGTCTTTTATTGAACTTTTTGGGGCAGAGCTTGTGCACGGCAGAAGCGCTCTGGAATGACGTTAGTTTCTTCTACTGCGCTCACGACTCGCTCCATCGATATTCGGACCATTCGTCTACAGCTTTAGTCGCGTGTCGACACGCGTACGAAGACGGTGAAATCACCCATGGCAGTTGTTTCATTAAATTGGAGATCATTCATGACCACAGTGGACGGCTGCGCAGAATTTCAGGAATTTAGATCGAACACTGCTCTTCACCGGTATGCGCTTTTAGCCCTGTCACAGCTTGCACTGCCGGTTGCACTTTCTTGGCATCCTCTCGACCCACGCTTGTACTATCCAATTATCATGGCGGTTCCAGCCTGAATGGGTGCTTTATCAATCCTTATCAACAATAGCCAGGCGTCTCTTGTACCATCTATTCAAAAGCCACGTTGGGAAGGAGGCCGTAGTGACTTCATCACCCATCCATGGAGCTGGTTCCGCTAGTTCCCCCCCTTGAGGTTTGTTCATGCGATCACCGTGACACGCACCGCACGCGTGCGTGATGTCATTAATGCAAACCAGTACCCTCATGTTGAACGTACAAAGTTGGTTCGTTGAACGACTTCGTGAGTGCTGTAGAAAAATTGGTATAACATTGCTGAGCAGGGAGATCCACCAGTAGATTGCCCTTCGCAGTGCGATAAGTCCGAGTCGCTACAGCTTTTCTGGACGCCGTTTATATGCAATGAACAGATCCCTGACGATGTAGAAGCGATGTGCTTCTTAGTGCGATATCCAGCCTTGTCACGCAAGCCCCTATTGACCATCCAGTGCGCTATAACATCACGGCCTAATGAAATACCACAGCCGTTTGGAAGCCTCGGTTACACACGGGAGTCGATGACCATCATGTTATTCGGGAGTGTTGGAAATATGAAGGCTGTAGACGTGAAACTTGCTACATGCGGGCCCTTGGACCTTCTCAGGCTGGCAAGTTCTCCCTAATCCATCCTTGGTCATTGGTCGCAATCAAACGGAGTTCCGTGTTTATGAATATGAATGGAACACAGCTGAGGTAATACAGAACATGTGCAATGTGTACTTGGTATATGCACCCCATGGTTCTCGCAAATTACAGCCGGCAATGTGAAATGGTGACACGGATTTGCACATGATCAATCTCATTGAAAAAGTCTGCTCAAAGTCACGACGAACATAGCTGAAGAGGACATCGACAGTAATACTTCCACACACCATTAGATTCGTATGTAATAAATGCAAGTCCGAGTCTGTTTCACAGTCGGAAACTCCGAGTCAAAGTCACGAGGCGAACGATCACGTGAGCATGCTGTTGGACGCGTCAGGTTGATTTTTGAACGAGGCATCCGGCAAACTCCTGCATCTATACTTCATAATTGCTCGCTGCGTCGAGCTAACATCTTTCATCGCGACCCCATACAGTGACAAACATCCATTTCTTTTCTATACAGTCTGACAGTCCTTAATTGACAAGTCATGGTTGCCGCTGGCTCCATCACTGTTGCGGGTAAGCTTCTTTGATAACATGCTTTTCATAATGTAATATCCCCCAGTCCGTGTCAGACCTCCCACAACGTGGGAAGCTGCGCGTCTCCCAGAGATCTCTTATGATACTACAATTCGCGGTGACGGCACCCTTGCAACACCAGGAAGACCTATAACTCAGTCAGCACCTCTTCGCGACATCGTGCAAATCGTCGATGACCGCATTCTTACATTTGACCCAGAGGAGAGAGATAAGACCCGTGCATTTGTTGAGCGCGGGTTTGTGCCCCCTGGGACAAAGAGATATAAGGACAAGAGATTCATGTTTGATCGAGTATTTGACAGTGGGGCAAGACAGGGTGACGTCTATGAAGCCACCGCGAAACCACTATTAAATGGCCTTTTGGACGGCTACAATGCTACCGTATTTGCTTATGGGGTATGTGAATTTCACTAAAGGCTGTTGTGTAGCTTTTGACGATGCTCCTCCATAGGCAACAGGGTGTGGTAAAACACATACCATCAGCGGGACTGAAGGAGACCCTGGTATCATCTACCTCACAATGGCGGACCTCTTCCAACGCATCGAGGATCGAAAAGATGACTGGAACATAGAAGTCGTTGCTACTTTTCTCGAAATCTACAATGAAGAGATTCGAGATCTACTCTCCGAGCCTGGCATGCCTACACCGCGTGGCGGTCTGCAAATTCGCGAAGACAAATCTGTCAAGGTCGTGGGCCTTGTCGAGCTCCATCCCACGAGCGCGGAGGAAGTCAAACAGATTGTTCTACAGGGCAACTCGCGGAGGACACAATCCCCGACCCATGCGAACGAGACATCGTCCCGATCGCACGCAGTCCTCCAAGTGCATGTCACCCAAGCGCCTCGTACGGCTTCTCTGACTGAGCAGCGCACCATGGCGACGCTCTCCATTATTGACCTTGCCGGTAGTGAGCGTGCTGCAGCAACAAGCAATATGGGACAGCGCATGGTTGAAGGTGCTAACATCAACAAGTCACTTCTCGCGCTCGGCAACTGCATTAACGCGCTCTGTGAGAGCGGCGGCGCTATCCGTCATGTGCCCTATCGCAACAGCAAACTCACTCGATTGCTGAAGTTCTCACTGGGCGGGAACTGTAAGACCGTCATGGTCGTTTGTGTTGCTCCTACGTCGCAGCACTTCGATGATACACACAACACCCTCCTTTATGCAGAACGTGCTACGAAAATCAAGACAAAGGTTGTCACCCGTAATGTCGTCAACGTCGACAGACACGTAGGTCAATACGTGGAGGCTATCAATAGACTCAATCTCGAAGTTGCCGAGCTCAAAGCCAAGCTTTCTGGCAAGCTCGGCACTGAGAATGACATTCTCAAGCGCAAGAGAGCAGAGGCTGCTGCTGAAGTTGACCGCTCTAAACGAGATATGCAAGATAAGATGGAACAGACTCAGGCGAGCATAGTCGAGGGCGCGTCGTGTGCTGGAAAGATATCGGTGGCAGAGATGAAACTTTCCATTATCCGCTCTCGGCTTGCGCAGATTGATGCACTGGCCTCATCATCTCCCCCGCTTTCTTCAGACCTCGAAGCGGAGCGTGCCCTCCTCAAGTCTCTGGCTCGCCTTGAGGAATCCATAATAACTCCTGATTCCCCCCTCGTAACTCGTCTTACACGTTCTCAAAACTCCCGTAACATGTTTGAGGCAACCTTGCGCGCAGTCTCCGAGCGACGGTCTGATAAAATAGAGGAGTTGCATGTCGACTGCATCAAGACAGACGCACGCTGCCGTAAGGCAGAGATTGAGCGCGTACGAGCCGAAAGAGAACGTGATGCAGTCCGGGACTCGGTGCGCGCCCAATCAGAAATGATGATCAGTCTCCTGGGTATGGTCGGTCGGTGCACGGTTGTGCTAGGAGAGACGGCTCGTTCTCTAGAAGCACAACATGGCTTCGAAGGAATGGTATCTGTACTTCGCGGTGTGGTGCAGAAAAATGACGACGCATTTGCAGCCCTGGTAGGACAAACTACAGCAGCATATGTGGCTCATGGGACGGGCACTCTTGATACATCCCGCGTACCATCAGGTTCGGCACTGCCGCAGGCTGTCAAAGCTTCCAGAAAGTCCATGTCTTACAATGCTATCGCTTCACCTTCACGACGGGCGTACAAGTCACCGCGACGCTCCCTGCGTTCCAGTATCGGTCAACCCTACCGTCGCGTTTCTGATAAGGAGAAGGAGAAGAAGGTAGTTCAATGGAAAGATGAAGCCGGACAAGGTGCACTAGATGATAGGGGAAGCGCCCCATCCCCCCCAGTTATTCTCGTTACGTCCAGCGATAGCAGCGAAAGTGTTAATGGACGCTGTCATTCTGTTGCTGGGTCCGAGAGCGAATGGGAAGACGAGCGGACAGAAGACAGTCTCAATCTGAGCAACGTCATGCTTCCCACATCATCCTCTTCATCATTCAATTCCATGACCCTTCACTCGAGCACAAGCAAGCGCCCACGAGCAAGCCGCCTGGACCCGAGCTTTCTCAAAGTGAAAGGCGCATCTTCCCTTGGCTGTCTTCAGGAGGCGGACGAAAACTCACCAATGCGGCGTGCACTGCCACTCTCAAACCGCACTATGAATAGTCAAGATATAGAATCTCTACACATTCCGAAATACAAGGACCGTGATGCTAGCCCAACGCGACGCCTTCCCACATCAACTTCCCGTACAACAACGCAGTCCAAAAGCTCCCGACGGCGCTCGAACATTGGACCTATGCGCAGCGAGAAGGCAAGGAGACGATCTAGTATGATCCTCCAGCCATCTGAAGATGCTCCGTTGCACGAGTCCACGAGTGGACCCAGACGCGTAGAAACGATCGGGCGTTCACCTGCGAAGAGGCCAAAGAGACTTTCACTTCTTGCCAATGCATCAAGGTCCTTGCGGGTGAAGGGACTCAATGTGATGGCAACCCTCCCGGTACCCACCAGTGATACGAGTGCTAATATCAGCGCGGACCTGAGTATTTTACCTGACTCGAGCATGAGAGTATCTTCAAAGCCTACATGGAGATGAGTACCTGCATTTTTTTCTGTTCATTAGATGGAGAGGCGACGCCTCCCCTGTACTTCTATATGTGCATTACACAGTATCACTCCTTATGCTATCATGACGAATATGATGAATCACACATTCCTACTGTACTCGCTATACCCCGTGTTGTCTCATTCCTCGTATTTTGTCAGAGGGTCCAAATCGCACTTGCACATATCCTCCCTGCATGCTACCGGCCATTATATTACTTTACATCGATCTATGTATACCTGCTATTCTGTTGTTTGTATAATCGAAGCTGTCCTGTCAGGCAAGTCATCGAGATATTTTTGAGTACTTGAGAAATGTGCGAATGACAGATTACGGGCA